GCCTGGACAGTGTTGACGATATCGTCGGCAATGGCCCCAGTGTACAGGGCTCCGGGACCCTCGCGCGCGATAACCTCGAGCGTGTCGGCATACTTGTGTCGGCTGATCCAGTCGCCCTCGACCAGCAACGTACCCTTGGGTGCATACACCTCGGCCCAGACGGGGTCGTCCAGCATGAACGTGCCAAAGATGCGGATACGGCGCGCAAGCTCGCGGCTCACTTGCCACTGGCGTGCCAGGTCGGCGACCGGCTGCACGAGCTCGGCCCAGGGAACCTTGCCATACAGCTTGTGCGCTGCCTCGAGACCGCGCAGCTCGCCGGGGACTCCGACGGCCAGTCCGCCGACCTGCGATGCCCCGCGGTCCTTCTTGTACATTTTGGCAGTGGACGCAGCCGGCGACGTCTCTCGAAAGTCAATGGCCATGACATTCGGCCGTGCTGGAGGTTTGGGCTTGTTCTTGCCAGCAGCAGCCGCAGCGGCGCCATTCTGGAAGAGCACGCCGCCATCGTCCTCGGCGTTCTCGTGATCCTTGACGTCAAAGGCGTATTCATCCTCAGGGTCGCCGTGGGCGGGGGACTCGGCGTCGTCGTCGGCCGTCGCTGGGGGGATGCTAACAAGCGCAAACCCGCCGCCGCCGATGCCAGCACTGAATCCATTGAGCAGACCGACACACAGTGTCGACGTGATGGCAGCGTCGACGGCGGTGCCATTCTTGTCGCGCAGAATGGCCAGACCCAGGTCGGAACACGTAATGTCCTCGCTGGCCACCGCGGCCTTGCCGGGGCCCATCAGGTAAGCGGGGTTGCGGGGGAGACCCGTGGGCTGAGGAGGAGGGGGGAGGCATGAGCACATGACAATGGCAATGTAAAAGACATCTTCGTGACCACGGTCGCAGTGCATAACATGGACCTGAGCTCTGGTGGCAAACACTCACCGGTGGCAACGAGTAGACGGGCGGAACCATGGGCGGCCTGGTCTTTGGGGGGTGCTCGATGAGGAGTGTACCGCCCACACCGACGCCCACACCGAGGATAAGGAGGAGAGCGTACAGGGCATATGTGCGGCGCTGTTCGGTTTGCTTGGGTGCTGCATCGCCGCTGCTGCTGCCGTTGCGATTCAAGAATGGTACAGGCCAGTTGGACAGGCTTGTGCGGCGGCCCGACCTGCGCGGCGAGCTGGGTGTGGGTTCTGGGAGGAGGGGCGTGTTCTCACTCGCCATGGTGGTGACTTGGTTGGGGATGGCTGTGTGTGGTATATGACAAGAAGAGTGTGAGTGCAGACGCAGGGGGAGAGATGGTGTCGAGTTGAGGATTGTTGTTGTTCATATGATAAAGCGACGGTCGTGTGGTGTCACCCAGCCATCCACAGCAGAGGCCGTCGGCGATGGCCGCGTGATTGGCGCCGAACAGGTCGAACAGGGGGGGTTCCTTGCTGCGGTGGTTCCGCCCGAGATAGCAATGGCGGGCATGCACAGCACACCCAGTCATGACACCACGGCCATGCACTGGCGGCCAGCGCTGTCGTTACTGCGCGTCTGCACACTGTCGTCCTTCATCTTGAGACACACCACACCACTGGCCATTGGTGCGACACATTGGTTGCCACAAACGCACCACCTCGGCAGCTGGGGGGGATTGGTGTGGATCGCCGGATGGATGACATGATCAACAGGAAGCTCAGAATCAACGTGTGCATACTCTGTCCTCGTCTTTTGCTCTCTCTCCTAGAGTGCTTGTGTGTCTGTGGTCTCTGGGTGTATATACATAAGCAGCTCTGTGCAACTCATGCTCACCCCCATACTCGAGGACATGTATATCTCTCTCCCTGGCCAAAGACCCCCAAAGAACGACGGACCGGTCATAAGGCGGAAAACGGCGCCTGGTCTCCCAACCATGTGGAGAGACATGTGGCCCATTGCTGAAGTGCTGAACCTGGTGAACCTGGTGACCTGGTCCAACCGTCAGGAGACGGGGATATGCATAGGACACTTCTGGGGCCTATTCGCACTATACTCGGTCGGTGGGATCGACACACGCAGCCCGCATGCCGCCGTACCGCCGTCTGGAACGCCTCACTTCCCAACAACAGCCGTTCAGGCAAAATCAGGCTCGCGAGACTACGCCGTGTCCTCTTTCCAGTCCCACAGGCCACAGGTACAGCAGATTCGAGATGACAGAGCAAAGAGAGTAGGTGTGCCTGTGAGAAAAGACGATCACTCACCAAGCCAAGCTTTGCGAAAGCCGTCGTACGCCATTCCGTTTCCAGAGCGCCAGTGCTGTCACCCCTACAGCTACTGAGCAGCAGGACCACCCCTCCCCCTCCCCTCCGGCGCTCCAATCCAACAAGGACAAATTATACCCCTGGTGCCGAGTTGTTGCGCAGGCGGAAACAAGCCCCAAGGCAACCACGTCCCGCATACCGTTATCAGCCCGACGCAGAGACCCAGGGTGTGACTGGTGAATCAACGGATCAACGGCCAGCACACGCCATGAACGGCAAGTACGTTACAGTCGTAGTCAAAATACAGCGGAAGTGGGCCGCCTCTGACAGCATGCTTGAGGGCATGCTTCGCTCCAGCCCCGAGTAGGCTCGCTCACTCATGCCGCAGTCCTTTGCTTTGGCGCCGTTAGCTGGTACGCCGCCAGCCGGCATTGCCACAACACCAAAGCGTACTTGCTTACACCCGCAAACTTCAGGATCGCTCGTCCAACCTTGTGAGACTGGTATCCACGAGGGCTTGATGCACAGAGGATCCCACCCGCCAGCACAAGGGCTAGTCCGCAGGCTCTAGGTTCTGTGTGTCGCGGATCCATTACGCTGGTTCTCGATCCGTCCCGGGCATGTCACAGAAGGGAACGTCCTCTGATCCTCTGAATGCAGGTCGCCCGTCGCGGGGAGAGGATGTCTGAGCCCCGCTGTGAGTCACTCACTCACTACTGCTGTACCCCGTTTGGGCTTTGGAGAGTTGCTTCTTGTCTTCACCTCTCACACTACCTTGTCAACCTGCGCGCAACCATGTCCGCAGACAGTCATGACAAGACGGTCACCTTCCTGGAGCTCGAGACGCCCTCCTCCCCGTTGAGGCCACGGAGGACCACAGACCGTGAAGCCCCACTGGTTCCCTCAGAGGACGCCACCGAGGACCGTGAGTGATGGCACCCAGGTGGGGTCCTCCGTGTCGCCAGGTGCTGATAGTTCAATTCCAGCCACCATCAACCAGCAGCCCCTCGACGTCTACCTGCACTATGCGGCCAAGGAGCGTAGACGAGAAGCCAGCGACCACCGCCCAGTCCCCGATGCGCCCTGGACAGTCTTTTGGAAGCGGATCACCGGCGAAGGTGTGGCTGTGACGCCCAAATCCGAGTCACAGCGGCCACAGTCGCCGACGCTGTTGGGCTGGGGTTGGACGGATGGTGTCAACGATGTGCCCCACCACGGACCGGCGTCGCCAAACACGTCCCACTACACGTCGTCGGATAAACACCAGTCCAGCACAGAACTCGCTACCCGCGATGTCGATGGGTCATTCATCCTGACACCGCGGGAGGCCGAGTCGGCATATCGGTGAGCCACAATGCTCGTCCTGTCAGTATGTATATACTGGAGCTAACCTTGGGGGAAGCCTGATGCGCACGGCTAGCTGGCAGGTCGTCTTCTTCCTGATCGTGTCGGACATGATGGGCTGGTTTACCGCGCCACAAGCGTTCAAGCTGCTCGGCTACGGACCAGGCATCCTGGTCTTCACCCTCTTCTTCCTCCTCGCGTTCGCCAGTGGCCAGATCCTGTGGAAACTGTACCTCGCGCTCGACTCGGAACGGTACCCTGTCAAGTCGTACGCAGACATTGCCGAACGGACGTTTGGCGGTTGGGCGAAATACGTGTTCAACTTTTTCCAGAGCGCCCAACTGCTTGTCCAAGTCGGCATGTTCCTCATCATGGACGGCAAGGCTCTGTCGCAAATCATCAACTTCAAGTTTTGTTTTCTTGCACTCAACGTCTTCTTTGCCTTGGCAGGCTTTGCACTGTCACAGTCGCGCATGCTGCGTACCATTGCCATTATCACAAACCTCAACTTTTATCTAAACGTCGGCATTATGATCCTCACCATGTTTGGCGTGGCAATGTACGACCCTGTACCCTCGGAATCGAGCCACAAGGACCTCGGCCAGCCCGTCAAAGTGTCTGGCTGGGTCGGCCGTGAAGCAGCAGGCGGATGGTACCAGCAAGTCGGGGCTGTACAGCTCTGCGTCTTTGCGTACGGAGGGGCCACGATCTTTACAGAGTTCATGGTCGAGATGCGTCGACCCGCCGACTTTTGGAAGGCCGCCCTCTGGGGTCAGTTCATCTGCTACCTGACCTACATGTTCTTTGGACTGTTCTGCTACTCGATGCAGGGCCAGTATACGGCCATTCTCCCCACGGTCAACATTGCCAACATTGCGTTCCAGGCCGTCACCAACATCATCGGCATGTTTTGCCTCGCAGTCACTGCCATCCTGTACGCCCACATTGGCGCAAAGGTCGTTTACCGCGTCTTATCCCGCGGGCTGCTGGGCGCACCCTCCCTGTCGTCCAAGAAGAGCGCCGTGTGGTGGTCTGGCACCACGGCGCTGTACTGGGTCCTCGCGTGGGTGATTGGCTCGGCAATCCCCAACATTTCAGACCTCAACACCGTCATTGGGTCGGCGTTTATTCTTCAAATGACCTACACCTTCCCGCCCGTTCTCCTCCTCGGCCACTGGATACAAAAGGATGCCATGGCGGGCGACTACCCCTGGCGCCCGGGAATGGAGCCATACACCAACCGCTCGGACTCGTGGCGCGACATTTCTCGCTGGCGGCGCGGGTTTGCCGCCTATTGGTATGCCAAGGTGGCACTTGTGCGTCTTGTCGTCTGCTGTGGCCGTGGCCGTGGCACAAAACGACAAAACGCTGACATTTCTCAGATCATTCTCGTTGCAGGCTCCCTCTCTCTCGCTGGCGTCGGTGTATACGCCGGTGTGATGCAGGCCAAGGCTTCTTATGAGGCAGGCGTCACGGTCGCATACTCGTGCAAGGCCCCAGGCCAGGTTTTCTAGCATTTGTCAACCCCCTTCTCCAACACGTCACCGTCTGTTATCATTAGGGTGTACAGTAACTGTCCATTTGCAACGGGATTCATTCTCGTCCGTTGTTCCGTCCACACACGCGTATCTCATGTGGTTGTCTATCGTTATAATGCAAACCCTTGTTGGGCCACTTGGCCACAGTTACAGTACTTGTCTGCCGATTACCTTTCGGTGAATTGTCAGCTTTCCTGGAAGCCGGTCACGCGCAGTTGACTCGGAGAGGTTCTACATAGTACTCTTCTGCTTCGAGACTCAATAAGATCTGTACTGGTGGCCTACAACACGTCGTTCGCTACATGACTCTCTCTCTCTGGCTATATACAGTAAATGCAAATATGCCACAACACATGGTTTGAAATCCTAGTACTCAAAGTCCGAGTTCGCAATCAGCCTATCCCATTCGTCTTCGTCGTCCATCTCCTTTGTCCATGCCAAAACTCGGACGCTGGTCATGACACTAGTCCGTTAGCGTCATTTCACCCTTCATGCGTTATCACCCACCGGGGGCGCGTGTAGTTGAAGATCTGCAGACCCGACAGAGACGTTGAGCGAGAGCAAGCGACATAGGCTTGGCCGTCCTCAAACACGCCTGCAAGGTTGACAGACACGCGGTCAAGCGTGAGGCCCTGTGCCTTGTGGATCGTCATGGCCCAGGCCAGAATCAAGGGCACTTGCACACGGGTGGCGCGGGTGGTACCATCGGGGTTCTCCATCTCCAGTTGCATTGAGGGAACCAAGTGGGTTTGAGGCGGTTTCCACTGCGACCCGACTTTGTGGCCATTGAATCTGACCAAAGGCCAGTTGTGGCCAGGAGGAATCCGGTCGTCCTTTGGCATTCCCTCCTTGATCGCCTCCTCGGCAGTCTTGAAGCCAATAACCTCGCCTGGTGGTCAGCTTTGTCGCAGTTTTGTTACCATATAAACCCACCAAGACTTCCGTTTACCAGTCCCGAGTGCCAGTTCTGCAGATTGTCAGGTCCCGCTTCGGCATGGTACATACCTTGACAAGCATCACCTGGGCGCCGACCTTGACTTCCAGAAGCCTAGGCCAGCGGGAATTATCATCCAGCAGTTTGGTTGCCACGCCGTCCGGAATAGGCACGCCCTGCGCGTCTTTAAACCCGGTGTCCACGGCTACGTATTCTGTGATCTTGCCTGGCAGCTTCAGGAGATGGTCGAGGTTTTTGCTGTCGACGTCGTGCCGGCGAGCGTACAGCTGGACGGGGAGGGTGCCTTCGGGGCACTCGAGCGACCGCTGACAACTCTGTAGCAGCAGGTCGTCTGCAGGATTCAACTGTCCAACTCTCATTCGCTCAAGAGTCTCCACGAGCTGGGCGTCGGTCTGCCTGAAAACCCGTTGGAGAGTGATCATGCTGGACCTGGGGAATGCCGCATCCCAGACCTTGGCGTCAAATGCAAAGTCCGGGGGGCCGTCCTTGGTTACCGGAGGGAGTTGAAGGAAGTCGCCCGAGAATACCAATTGGATACCACCAAAAGGCTTGCCAGGATGGCCGCGGACGGCGCGACCAATCTTGTCAAACTTGTCGAGGAGGGTTCCATGAATCATTGAAATTTCATCGACGATCAGGACGTCCGTGTCGTTCCACCGCTTCACGAGTCTAGGATTCCTCTGAACTTGTGCGACGAGGATGTGGGCCTCGCGCTGTGCCAAGCCACATCCGGCCCACGAGTGAAGAGTCACACCAGAAATGTTCCTGTCTGTTTAATGCGGAGTCTAGAGGCAGGTAGAAAGGATACTCACAGTGCCGCTATTCCGGTGGATGCAGTAACTGCTACAATTCGGGTGGGGGGCGCACCAGGATCGAAGGGAATGACCACTGATGGGTGGAACGCCTTGATGATGGCGCGCAGGAGGAGCGACTTGCCGGTACCTGCGGAGCCGGTGAAGAATATGTTCTCTCCAGCAAGAATACGAGCGAGGCACGCAGCTTGATCAGGAGAGAGCTCGGGATCGGGCTCTACTTGTGGGGGTCGATCGGGAATGGGGTCGACAAGGGTTGGCTCATCGGATAGCGAAGATGATGGGGGAGAAGGGGGAGAGGGGAGATGGCCTGGGATGTGCGGCTGGGGGGGTGGCGAGGAGGAACGGTGAGACGGGGAGCTCGCTTTGATTTGATCACGTTTGAGATTATCGTGTGGGCCAGCGCGTTCAATTTCAGGGTCCTCAAAGCTGCAGCTGAGGTCATTGTCGGCACTTCTCGACATGTCGACGAGGTCCGGGCCACGGTTGACGCGACCATTGACCCCGGCTCCTGTCCGATCCATGGCGCTCGCCCCATAAACAAAGGCCTTATAGTAAGCAAAGCGCCAGACAGACAATGACCACTTACATATGCTTCATCCTCGTCGTCGAATGACTCAAAGTCGGGGTGAGGGAAGCCGTCCATCTGATGTCAATGTTTTGGCCTGAACGCACATACACTCACCTGCACTACTGCTTCCTCCCACGTGCGATACACGCCGGCCACGTGACCGCGGCTCACGGCGTAGAAGGTTGTGGGCATTGTGCCGAGTCAGTCATCTGATGGATGTGTGGATGCGAGGAGCGACAGAAAGGATGAGTGGATGGATGGAAGGAAGGCAAGGAAACACAATCCACGAGCTGAGGTGGACGCCGCAAGTGGAGGGCATGGAATGCGACGGGGCACAAGGTCACGTGATCTGCGGCGTTTGGGTGTGCATGAAGAGGGCCTACACAACTCGGTCGGCTGGGGAGGAGTAAATGCATAGTCCTTTGCATAGGGTATCACTGTTTCAGCACAGAGGTACAGCTAGACAATGCTTACGATTCAGTATGCTGTCCAGTGCACACAGAGGTACAGAGGCCTGAGCGAGCCAGGTCTCGCCACTCCCCGGATTCGAGCGCGAGTCATGAGATGTGTTTTTCCGAGGCTCACCCTGCCTCCACCCGCCTGGTAATGGACAATGTGCCCACCAATATTCGATACCATCCTGCCTTGCATCGTCTTGCAGTCGAAATAACACAAGAACGGAACACCATGGACCCACCAAGGCTATCTGCCGACGATGAAGGCGCCCCTACCGATCCCGAGGAGCTGCAGGAGGTAAGTGTCGGCTTGCCCGGTTTCAAGCGAAATCTGGTTTCCGTCTGACAAACCAAACAGTACATCTCCCTCCTTGCGTCCGACGACGACCGCTCGTCCATAGCATACGAGCTTGAGGCCCTCGAATCAATCTATCCCGGATCTATACGTCTCCGCTCTCCAGGCCCGTCGCGCGTCAACTCGCCTTCTGTGTCATCGCCTGCTGGCTCTTCCGCTGGTGCGGCCCCCTCCTCAGGCGATCGGATACGATACGAGCTATCGATCCCAGGCTGGGAGGACGGAGCAGAGGATGTGCCCAAAGTGAGGGTGTTGGTTTCACTGCCACCTACATATCCCCAGAACGCGCCTCTGTTGCAGCTGCTGGGGAGATATGTGGGCGCGTTCCCTATCGATTCTGGACTTTGTGAGTTGCTTCAAGACGTCTGGGTTCGGCGTCGCAAGGAGTTTGCGGGAGACGGACGTGTCCTTGCAGTTTGCAAGCCCTGTACAGCTGCCCCTGTTCAAGCTCATTCAACACTATGCGCTTGCCTCGTCCACCTCCGCACATCACACAGCTAACGGTCCCAGTCGGCGACATTACCCGCACGTATATCACCTCTGCAGGCGTCCCCTTTGTCCCCGGGGACGTATGTGTCTTTGACGGCCTGGTCCATGTCCAGTCCCTCGTGGGCACATGGCACGCCGCGCGGGTCGCAGAGGTAGGCGCTGGCGAGGCAGCGCGTACGGGCGGTCGCTCGGGCACCGGCGCGTCTACACCCGCTGAGCGCGACCCTGCTCCGTCCCGCGCAGAGGCCGCAGCAGTGGAAGCGTCACTTGCGCGCCTGGCACTGGAGAGACCCAAGCCCTCCGCCAAACCCGCTCGGCCACTGCCGAAACTGTTCACGTCCGAGCCCATCCTGGACCGGAAGAGTGCGTTTGTCGGACACGCGTGCAAGATCACCGACGAGGACGACGTTATGGCCGTCGTGGCACACCTGCTAGAGGACAAGAGGGTTGCGCGGGCGGCTCATCCGACCATCTGGGCGTATCGTGCCGTGAGGGAGGCTGGGGGTGCGGCTGGGCGGGTGGTTGAGAGTGGTGAGTGGCACGTACTGAGGCGAGCGCAGAGCGCAGCAAGACGAGGCCGTCTCTCAACTATAGCTGACCTCGTGACCAGACTATGACGACGATGGCGAGACCCAAGCCGGCTCACGGCTCAAGCACTTGCTCGACATCCTCGAGCTCGAGGACGTGCTCGTGGTGGTGACGAGGTGGTTTGGCGGCATTCACCTGGGTCCTGATCGGTTCAAGCACATCAACCAGGCTGCGAGAGACGCACTCGAGCTTGGTGGGTTGTTGGATGAGGTGAGCGGCGGAGGGGGAGGAAAGAAGAAGGGTAGAAAGTAGACCTTCCTTCTTTGGAACAGAGGGATATTACATAGAACTGCATATGGTCACAGGGGATGAATGGGACACAACAAATGCGACTATAAACACTGCTTGGGTCTCTGGCTCTTGTGCTCGTCTTTGCTACTTGACTGCCTACCTCTTACCGCGTCCACGCTTCCAACCGCGAGCCTTGCCACGGCCACCGCGACTGGGGCGTCCGCCGAAACGGCCAAACCCACCCCTCCCGGGCTTGCTGGCCTGGACAGCGACGCCAAACTCTTGTTCCTCGTCTCCATCGTCGCGCCTTCCTCCTCCTCCTCCGCCGCCGCCGCCATCCCTTTCATCATCACTGTTATCTGCACCGCGGCGCCAGTGGTCTCTGTAAAACGCCTGCCAGCGCTCGTCGAGTTGAGGCAGGAGCGTGAGGTCGGCAAACTCGACGACGGGCAGTGAGGTTGTGTTGGCTAACGCTTGCACTCCGCCTGTCGCACTCGTCTTGCCCTTGGGTGTCTTGGTCTTTGGGCGATTGGTAATACCGATCGCGGCGAGGGGATCACGGTCGTCGTCGTCCTCGACCATTTGGGCACTACGCGAGCGGGCGGCAAAGTTGGGCATGTTATAACCGTCGCCAGGGAACGGGAGGCCGTATAAGGCAGTGGCGTCCAAGTCGTCAAAGTCGAACTCGTCAGACTCGTCGGCGTCTGATCCACCCGATCCACGGTGAGCGGTGCGGCTCTTCGAAGCGCCTAGCCCAGGGAGAGCCTCTGGCTCCACTTCAGGCTCGGGCGTAAACTCCACAATAGGCCTGGCCTTGCCCTTGCCCTTGTCTTTGGAAGCCGGCTTGGTGAGCGGGACACGGTCGTCGTCGCTTTCGTCCATGTCGGTATCGGAGACGACGCGGCGGCGGGTAGGAGGTTTACGAGGTGGGATTGGGGAGGTGTCCATCTTGTCCGGAGATGTCCTTGACGAGCGGAGAAGAGGAGGAGACGAAGAGGGTCCAGAGAGGTCGATGGCGTCCGTGTCCCAGTTGGATGATGGCGGTGTTGCTGGCCGTGTTAGCATCGCCCGCCCCGTCAGCTCCCCACAAAACTCACCATTCTTTGTGCCAATGCTCGTCCTTGGGCGTTTGCGCACACTGCGGGGCACAAGCTCGGGCGGAAACTCGGACTCTGATATCTCTTGGATTCCCTCAAACTCGTCGTCGTCGTCAATCATCGGAATGGAGGACGGGGGAAGATGCGAGGAAGGCTTAGAGGAAGACGCCGTTGTGGGCGAGTGTATTGTCGAGGTCGTGCGTTTATGAGTGGCGGTGCGTAGCGTACGTGTTGTCGAGGCAGACGGTGAAGCTGTGCTGGCCGTGGACCTGTCAAGGAATCCCGGGATGAGTGAGGGCAGTGTCTGTTGCGCGGACGTTTTGGAAGCTGTCGGCGGCATGTTGTTGTTGTTGACCGGGGTTCTTTCTGGGTCCGTGTCGTCGTCGTCGTCGTCGTCTTCTTCCGCTAGCCCCGCTGGGGACGAGGATACGGGGAGGAACTGTCGTCCGGGGGTGATGTGCTTGGTGATCGCTGCGTGTGGGATTGCAGCCCGTTCACCAGAGATGTCGATGGCGGGCATGCACCAAGAGTGACGGGAGAGACGACAACAACAACAAAAGGGGTGAGTGGACTTTGCTCATGTGGCCCGTCCGGGCCTCTGGCGCCTCTGACCTTTCACGCGTCGACGCGTCTGGTGGCAAAGTCGTGGAATTAGCTCTTGGTTATTAGCGGAAGTATATATTAGAAATGTGCCTTTTTATGTCGTCCTAATTGATACGGACACTTAAGAATACACGTCAATGTGCAATCAATCTCCCCGCATTCAGATTCAGCCGTTCGCGACGATGGTCTTCGTGGTGGTCGCCAGCAACGCTCCGTTCTGGTCATCAATCCTTCCTCTTGGCCCACTTTCTCCCCCGCGCTCCCCCGGCTTTCAACTCAACGCGTCATGCTCCCCGTCCCCAACACGGCGCGCAGGAGCATGCGTGCTCCCGCAGGCGCCTACGCCCCGCTGCCCTTGAGCGGATCCGTCATGGGCGTGCTCCGACAGCGCACCCGGTTGACCAACCTTGCCGTGTCGTTGTTGTTTGCCATTCTCTGCCTGTCGCTACTCACCAATGTGCAGTATGCCCTTGCACCGCATATCCAGCCGAGCCCGATCGACCTGGCTAGAAAGGAATGGGACGAGGTGGTCGCTCCCGAACAGCTGGACTCTGGACGCCCACCATCGGTTGAAGCCACTATCAACCGCGATCGCCGGATGGCGAGTGTCAACCATCTCGTTGTTGTCCCTGGCCATGCCGTGTGGACGGGACACGATGCGACCGAGGCTCACCACGACGACCAGTGGGTCCTCGAGACCATGCAGCGTGGCGGCAGCGTCAACACGTACATCCAACACATTGAGACTGCGGCCGAGATGCTCGTCAAGGACCCGCACACTTTGCTTGTGTTCTCTGGGTGAGTCAAGGAGAGAGAAAGGGGAGAGCGTTGCCAGGTGTCTGGTACGATTCATCGCACCGGAATGGCCTGGTGCAGCTCGTAACGTCTGCTTCAACTACGTCTTGCTCCTCTTGCTCCCGTCCACAAGTTAACCTCTCAGCGGCGCGACCCGACCTCGCCTCACCTCCCCGCTCTCCGAGGGCGCAAGCTACCACCGCCTAGCAGCCGCCCGTAACCTCCTCCCCACCTCGCCTGACTCGTCCTCGGTCTTGCCTCCGTCCATGCGCGCAACGACAGAAGAGTACGCTCTCGACAGCTACGAGAACCTCGTCTTCTCCATGGCGCGGTTCAGGGAGGTCACTGGGCGGTGGCCTGACAAGGTCACCGTTGTTGGATATGGCATGAAGAAGAGCAGGTGAGTAGAAGGTCCAGGCGCGGAGAGGAAAGACTGAGGCTGACGTTGCGGTCCAGGTTTGAGCAGCTCCATCGCGGTGCCATCCGCTTCCCTGCGGCGCGGTTCACGTATATCGGTATCGACGACGAGGGCGACACGACTGAACACTATGCTGGCGAGGTGAGTAGAGTCTGTCGTTGGTGTTGGCACCAGCGCACGCTTCACCAACGGTTAAGCCATGGGCAAAAAGCTAACGAACCCAGCTCAAGCACGGCTACGCCCCCTTCCTCTTCTCCCCCTCGGGCTGCCGTCCCCCATTATCATTCAAGCGTGCGGACCGCAACCCCTTCTCGCGCTATCCACCTTACCACGCTTCGACGCCCGAACTCGCCCAGCTGCTCGAGTGGTGCCCGCCCCTGACACCCGTGGGCGACATTACGGTACCCACAACACTGCGCGAGGACGAGAGTGGCAGGGGTGACGCCATGGCCCCGCCAGCCGGGTTTGTGGTGTTTGAAGGGTCGTTGCCGTGGGATGGCTTGGTGACGTTTGATCGCGAGCGTGACTAAGGCGATAGTATGTCGCCAAGGTAAGCGCTCCTCGGCGACAGTTTAGACGGAGAGACGAGAGAGACGGCGAGGCCGGACTCGGGGCATGGAGTACAGTAGAGAGTATTTCTGGGCCAGAGGGAGGGTCCTTATCGGCGGAGGACGTCCGGGGTGATCCACCCACCACCCCACCCACGACCGCGAGTCCCGGCACGGGCTCGGCGTGTAGACAAGAGAGCATTAGAGAACCATCAACCCTAACGTAAACCTAGCATGACATTGTTATTCGTCCATGACCCATGACCCAACGCGTAAAGCGCTCCATTAGTGGCGCCACGCTCACAGCCTCTCTTCGTTACCGTTGGGTAGGGTCGCCTTGCACCCCTTGTTCCAAGCATCGTCCCAAGCGCCACTCGTGATCCCGCGTCGTCAAGGCCGTCAAGGCCGTCGCGTCCATGCGTCGAGACCGGCGTACCGCGCCGGACGGCCTCTCCATAGGCCCGGTCGCGCCCGCCAGTCCGTTTTTTCTCACTTTGTGTGTGTCTGGTTTCTCCATTCCCCGTCACGTTCCTTGCCAACATGACATGACATTGCGCGGGGGCGTTCCTCGTCGCTTCGTCGCTTCGTCGCTGCATCTCATTGTCAATCCTGCCCGGCCCGGTTACGACGCTTTCCGAATCGTCGTGACGGCGCAACTTTGTGACATGTTTTATCGGTCTGGTCTTGGCGACATGGTCCGTCTTCCCTCACCCGGTTGCGTTGTACGCCGGCACCCGAGTCTGTACGTCTGTACCGGCCGGTGTTGCGTCGCCCGCATTTCGTGGGCACAAGCGAGGCTGACACACAAACTTTTTCCTCGTAGCCTCCCTCGGTCTCTCAACGCGGCCTCGGTTGGGCGCAATCCGCGGTCAATCTCGGTCAGCTGATGTTACCTGGCCCACTTTCTCAAGCCTGTCTTGTCAGTCGCCCGCTGCTGTGCAACTGTTGTTGTCTCTAATGGGGGTTTTCATTTTCATTGTTGCTATATCATACAAGATGTCGTCTCCGTGGTCTACATGAATCTGGATGTCGGTCACAGTTACTGGACGGCGCAGGAACCTATCACTAGGCTAGCCGGAAGGATGCCCACAGGGCACCAACCGGGTCACGGGATGGTTGAGGCGGTCGTAATAACTGGCAAGGAGGGTGGGGTAGGGAGTAGTAGTAGTAGCAAGGGTTGAGGTGACGGGCTTCGAGCTCGGAAACGAAAAAGCGGTTGGGGATGGGCGAAAGTGGATTGGTGAATCAGGGTGGTAACGATGGTGTGGTGGTTGGTGGGGGAGGGAGAGGGGAGTTGGAGTTGAGGGAGGGGGCCTGGCCATCGGCCGTCATACCCTTGGTCCATACCTACGCGGGGCGTAGGTTCTCGTTCACTCTATATGCCGCCGCGGCGACGGTGCTGCGTTTTGGACAGTGCGGGGATAGAGGAGAGGAGGGGGACGCGGTATGACTCTAGAGAGGTAGAGCCAGGAGAGGAATGGTTGGGTGGGGGGTGACAGCGAAAAGCATGTCAAATTTAACAAGGGGGGGGTAGAGCGCGACGAGGGCAGCACGTTGGTGACAGACGCGGTCGTTATCGGTGACGACGACGACGACGACGAAGGTGACAACGGTGACCCCATCTAAGGGGACGCTCAAATGAGACCGCCAGTCTCGGCGCGACGCTGCATGCGCGACTGGGCGCGGACGACGCTGGGGCTGACGCCCTGGCGCTTTGCGTCGACGAGGGGGCCGTCCGAGTGGATGCCCTGGCGGTGACGCTCGAGGTCGTGAAGACGCGAGAACGAGCGCTTGCACATGGGGTGCGGGCACTGGTGGGGCTTGGGGCGGAGGGGGTCGTGGGTCTGGACGTGCGACTTGAGGTTGAAGGCGCGAGCAAAGCCACGTCCGCAGACGTGGCACTTGTGGCGCTTCTTGGGGTCGTCGGGGGTCTTGCCCGGGATGTAGCCGCGGCCACCGCCGTGGAGGTTGGGGATGGAGCCGTGCTCGCCGCCGGGGGAGCCAAAGTCGAGCTCGTCCTCCTCGTCGCCGTCCATGTCGTGGTGGCCTGCGCCGAACGAGGGACCGTTCGAGTCGGCGGCAGAGTTGACACCGTTAGCCGACTGGTAGGTCGGGGTGGAAGGGAAGGGAGGCGAGGCACCCGAGACCGAGGTGCTACCCGAGTGGCGGGACCAGAGGGGAGGGGGCTGCTGGGTGGCGTTGAGGCCGGCAGCGTCGACACGGGCAGGCTGGGGCATGTAGTACATGCGCTGGGTGGCGGCAGCCTGGACCTGTGCGGCCTCGGCGGCCTGGAGGTGGGCCTGAGCCTGCTGCTGAGCGTGGAAGACCTGCTGCTGGTGCTGCTGAGCCTGCTGGGCCTGCTGCTGCTGCTGGTAGGTGAAGATCTGGTTGTTCCAGAGGCTCGGGGCCTGGGTGGCCGGCGAGGGGACGAATTGCTGCTGCTGGATGGCGAGCATGTTGCGGTCCTTGAGGGAAGGGAGGTCGTCAGGAGCCATCAGGTGGCCGTTGATGTACGAGAGGGAGAGGTCGGCCTGGGCTTGGGCAGCGAGAGCGCGGTAGTGGAGGTAGCGCTCAAAGTGGTGCTTGGAAAGAGCGTCGACGGTGGTGGCACCGGCGGGGTTTGCGGCCGAAGAGGAGACGAGGTCGAGGTCACCGGCGGCGTCAAAGGTAAAAGCGGTGGTGGGGGAAACGGTGGCCGTCTTTGGGGAGACGAGGGTGGTGGACTGCGGGGTGGTGGCGAGGTCGACGAGGGAGTCGATGTCAAAGTCTGGGGGTGCCGAGTCTGAAGCGACGGAGAGGGGCGGGGAGGGGAGGGATGCGGGACGGGTGGGGAGGTGGTGGGCCTTTGAGAGGAGGTAGGGGAGTGCGTCGGGCGATGACATGTAGTGAGGGCAATGGCCTGTAGCCTGATGTGTGGCCGTCTGGCGAAGGGGGGTAAGCACAAGTGGTGGGGGGGTGGGGGGGTGGTGGAGAAGGGAAGAGAGTGTGTGGACTGTGTGTATATATGTGGATGGGTGGGTGGATGGATGGATGGAGAAAAGAGAGTTTGTCAAGACGACGAGAATGGAGTGATGAAGAGAAACGGGGGGGGATGGGGGATGGGGGTGTGTGTGTCGTGTCGTGATGGGAGGGAGGGAAGGCGGGGAGGGAAGGCGAGGGAAGGCGCGACACGCAAGGGGGGGAAGACACAGACGCTACGGCCGCCGGTGTGCGTGAGGCGGTGTCTTGTGGGACGGAAGCAAATTCTCTCACACACACGTCATGCGTATGGAACAATAATATGCCTCCGCGGCCACCCAGACACACACAACACCATGTACTGCGCGGCGACCAACCCGTCCGTGTCATACGAGGGACAGGTTGCAGGCAGGTTTTTCAACACGCACAGCGCACAGCAAAACCCCCTCCTCCTCCAACCCAACTGCAAGACAAGACGGCCGTTACGACCCCCTCTCCGGTCCAGGGCCTCCCTGGGGTGAGGGTTTGGTTTCCGCAGTTTGCCGCTCGGGCCCTTCTCTTCCTCTCTCAAACACGCGCCGAGAGCCCGAGAGACGGCTGCGGCCTCCAAAAGAAAACACCCTCTCCCAGGTGCGGCCTCTTGACGTTTTAGGGGTTTTTTGGAGTGATCCGTGATCGGGGTCTCATTCTCGCTCTCTCACCGCATACCGCGCGCTGCACGGTCGGCCCGGTCCCAGGCGAGCAACCTCCGCCCGCTCTAGCACCATCACGTCGGTACGCAGCCGACAGCGACGAGCACACACCAAACAATGGCAGACACACATTCCACAAAGCAAAAAGAAAGCGGGAGCAAGGAGGCAAGGATCCACAACGATGACTCACACTGTCTTGGGCCACTGGTAAACACCACCGGATCGATCTCGGATGGATCTATTCCCTGGGGTGGTCTTGTCGGACACGCGGCGCGCGGCACTAAGCGGGGGGAGAGAGGGTGAAGGGGGGGCTCGTTCGGTGTTGAAACAGCAGACAACGGCGACGATGCAAGCGAGAAGAAAAGAGAAACCTGCGTTTGCGGTGCGATGCGATGCACGAGGAGAGAGGAATATCCGCAGTGGTGGTGGTGGTGGTGGTGGTGGTGGACTGCTGGAGTTGCGGATTGCTTTGGCTTATGTGGACGGCCGGTTACTACTGTTGATTGACTGATTAACTGATTGACTGATTGGACTGTGCGATGCGCAGTCTGTTGTTGTTGTTTGTTGGGGGAGGGGGGGAAGAAGAGTGTGGGCGCCTGTGTGAGCCGCTGCGTAGCACGGTTATATAACATTGGGCGAGCAGGTGGCTGCCGGTGGCACCATTGGGCGGACGGGGGGAGAGACACACTCTTTGTTGCCAGGCCAGAGGCACAGCAGGCGGACAGCCAGCACAAAACGCACAGGCGCCATCGCGCGCGCGCACATACACTACACAAGACCCAGAGACACACGCAGACACCGGGGCAGGCCCAGGATGCACAACGGGCACAACGGGCACAAAGGGCATTCCTTACGCTCTTTCTGTCTCTTTGTGTCTCTCTCTTATCCTGGGCATACACAAACGGCACAACAACGGCAAGGGACCAGAGGGCCATGGCGTTGCGCTCATCCCTTTTTCGGTGCTCTTCTGCAGCCACCAACGTCTCGCGGCCCACAAGATACGTGCTCACATCTGGCCTGGAGTATACACATTTAGATGGGCTGCTGTCCCTGTGTCTCTTTTCTCGCACCACGAGCACACACACAACGTCTAAATCGGTGGACACAAAAAAGTCCACCCACCTGTGGCACCCATCACCGAGAACCTGACCGAACGACTCCTGAGGTTCAGAACAGATATCAGGAGGCGCCAGGCGGACAGGAGGACAGCCAAGGGCAGGATGGTGGGTTTATCCCTCTCTACACCACACACACCTACAAGAGAACCCGAACCGAGAGGCCCAAGGCACCTCACCTGCCCAGGGGCTCTGCCACATACCCCCCCATGTCGCTGCTCTCCACAAGTTGCCAAGAGAAAAACGATGGTTGCCGCGATAATGCACTTCTTGGGTCTTCGGGCCTGGAAAATGCCTCAGCGCCGCCGCCGCCTATACACTGCGCAAACTGCCCCGCGGTGTGACACCCACGTCCGTTGTGCGCGGCCCATGTCCTGCGCCGCAGTCCCAGCGCGTCCGTCGTCCAGAGGCCAGAGGCGAGCGGGAAACCCGGCGGGAGGCGTTGGCCTGCCTTTTCGGCACAAGCACATGTCAGAGGCTGTAAGCGACACGCCAGTGCCACCCACCCACATATCCACAGCCATACTGGCTGGCTGTCTCGGCAACCCCGCTTGGAAACGCGTGGCGGCCGCCGGGTAATGCAGAAAAAGTGGGTGGGTGGCGGAGCGCCGCCCCTCGTTTAGCACAGTGGCCACGACCCCCCGTGCGTCTCTGCCCACCGAAGAACAGTGTGTGCGCAGGAGGTGGCCAACTGGGCCCTCGTCAGCGGTCCGAGGATAGCACGCAGCACCCGTGCGTGCGTCCAAGGCGGCCGGCCAGCTCTCTACGGCCCGAACACGGGCACGCGGCCGCGCCTCGTCAGTATCAGTGCAGAGCTGGCGCAGGAACAGCGAGCGACGACGCAGGGGCAGGGCAGGTGTCTGTGGCAACTGTTTGGGTACCAGGGCACACACACCCCACTGGCACAGTGGTGGCGCGCCGCCGCCGTGATGCCGGGCATGCCGAGTGGCCGGTGGGCGCGGGGGCGACATGGACGCCTCCAACAGGTGCTTCTTTGTTGTGACGGCCTCGGTAGCAGATGATCAATGACTAACCGTACTCCACCAGGCCACGGTACCACAGTGTAGGTGTCATGGACCGACCTCGGTGTACCCCACAAGCCTGTTCCTGCGCTATGACAGTCGACGGGTCGGCTGGCCTTGTCGTACGTGGTCGGCGGCAACCTGATGAAACGCACACGAATGGGCCCAGTATGCTCTCGTCACGCGAGCTAGCCAGCCCGCTGCTCCAAGATCCCAGTCGGCCAGTCCACTCCACATGCATGCATACACGAGGCACCGAATCTATATGGTATAGCCTCAACCCCCCCGGTGTTGCCGATCGTGCCGACGGCCACGATCTCGATGACGGGGCCTGCTGACGCGGTGTGCGGCGTTCAGCGAGAGCGGGGGTGGTGGTGCCCAGGGTTGAAGGGAATGCATGCTCCAATATTAGACACTGAAATTGACTGTTGTGAGTGTCTTTTCGGTTCCATAGGAGGTCCCTTGTGCTCTCAATCGGCACATGTCGGCATCTCCCAAGGACACAATTAACCCCCAACGTCCTGATCCATCTTTTGGATGCCGCAGATCCCGCTATGCCGCGCAAGAGGCCGCCGCCAGGATCTCAATGACGCATGCTGCGCCGTAGCCCCCGTTGTGCGGTGCCAAGAGTGCCAGGAGCGGGGTCGTCTAGTCGTGACGTGCTGCGCCAGAGCTAATCATCGGTGACCCCACAACCTAAACTATACCTCCATTGTTCCAGAGATGCGTGTGGTGGCGCCATACATCGTCTCACGTCCATTCTCCCCGTCGGCGACCGGCGGGCCCTCCCTCCGCCCCGTTCCTCCTCGCTATCCGCTGCGCGCCTCAGCGACAGGTGCCATGCGGGTCCTCCTCCGCGAATAGCGACGTGCGCCACCGAGATCGAGGCTATTCAAGCACCAAACAAGACAATATGGTCCCCTTGTCACGGTCGGTTCCAGAGTAGTGCCACTATACATCCAGGGCAACCCCCGCCTATAGCCGTGGGTAGATGCCTGGCGCTCGCTTGGGTGGCTCGGCAACCTGTTCACCACAGGTTCCCTCTTGTGTTACCTGCTGTGCCCAAAGCTCTGTATCAAACGGGCAGGTGGGCCGCCTGCGGATACGGACACGGTCGGACTGGCGGATATCCTCTTCCATGCACATATGCACTGGGGTGGGACGCTCAATTCAAGGTGTGCGGACAGCACCACAATCCTGTTGAACACCGAGGTTGTCATCCAATGTTAATAATTAGTCCCAGGTCAGGGACGCAGCAGACATTGACAGCAAGACTTCTGTTTCTCGGCCACCAGCAGATTGCGGCTGTAGTTGTGGTGGCCGGGTTGGGTAGTACGCATCCTCCCTCTCCCTCGTGAGCGACCGCAGCAACGCACAGGCATACGACTGCGCGCGACCACGGTGGACGCCTTCCTCTGCCTCCGCTGCCACAGTAGTGTGGGACTGTGGCAGCCACATGTCGCAGCCTGTTTGATCTGATGCAAGTTTCACACTGGCTGGTGTGAGACCAAGGTCCCCGGCCCCAACCCATCGCGCGCAAGCCGCCCGAGGACCGATGCATGACGTCCAGTTCTGTACTGGATGTGGAATGAAGTGCTACATGAGGCAACAAGTACAACGGGGCTGAGTTATCCCTTTACTTTGCCCTCGGCCATACCTCCGTGGCATGCATTATGAGGGGTGTGATGACACTACTTGCTCGGACAGACACGACGAGTTGACAACAGCGGCCAAGCGCCATTGCCGACATACCTCGCATGCCCGCCACCAATACGCCATGGCCTCCAAGCCACAAATCCGACCAGCTAGCCCTTAAACGACTCCCCCAGCTTGGTTGCCGGCACTTGAATGCTGTTGACGCTCTCACTAGGTGGATTTTGTGTGGAGACTCGGCACCTGAACATACCATACTCGACATCCAGACCAAACATCCCCCCCCCCTTTTGCTGTCGTAGCGGTCGAGTCACTATTGTCTCCCACATTTGGAGTCCAACGTTGGTGTTTTCCCAGATTCCCGCGGCCAGGCATGTCCAGCGCGCACCACCTAAACATGTTCCCCGGGCTCCACTCTAAACACTCACCCCATCTATTCCTGGGCCTCAATCGCTTTAGCCAGCAAGACGAGTTTGTCTCTCACCTCCTGAGCGTCAGGTATGCGGACGCTCGTTCCAAAACGCCATCTCTCCGGCCCTTTATGGCGCACCCCTTTTCGCCACTTAACGCCACGGACCCTTCCTTGGTGGATGGACGCCGCACCCGAACGGACCCCCTCGAGCCAGCCCGAGCCCGAACAAACTCGGCTGGGTAGCACCGCGTGCAACTCGGGGATCGGGGATCGGGGATCGCTCAAGACAGGACGAGGCAGCAGAGAGCAGGAACATGACCGTGACCATCCAAGCGTGGTTCAGCGGTGGCATGTCCGTCAGCGAGGGCTTTCGGAAATCTTGCTCGGCATCCTCCCTCTGCCAACCCTAGAGGATGGCTCCCTGCTAAGCCCGGCCAAACCGTCCACTTGCACGGGGCCAGGCCTTCATCACCACTCCACCCGTCCTGCACCTCGTTTCGCCTCGCTTGCTCATCACCCCTGGTGTCATGTAGCCAGCGCTTGAAACCACCTACGCCGTTGATTAAGGCGATACGACCAGTGTGGCGGTGTCCGTGTCCAGAACACCTGCTCAGCTGACGTTCAGACATGACGTGTTACTCCCCCCCCTGTCTGTGGGTGCCCATGTCCGTTCCCCTCATGTCTGGGCACCGTCAGGCCGCCGGTATCGCTCATCCCTAGCATCTCCCTACAATCCCAAAGCAAATAAGAAGAAGAAAAGAAATACCGCAAGCGAAAATTATTTTTCAGTGACAATTCCATCTAATTTCCCTAAACTCCGAGTTACGGCCGAAACACACTGGGGATGGCGCAGGTCGCAGCAGTGCTGGGGATGGCGATGTGCCGTGACGTGACGTTTCGGCGATGAGTAACAGAGTAGTATGTACAGAGATCAGCGGAATTCCTCAAGGCGGAGTTGCCGTGAGCGGAGCGACCGCAGGTGGCCAAAACGGCCCCCTCCATGCCCACACCCCGCTGGGTGGCGGTGTCTGCGTTGTTTTCTTCTCATGAAGCAGACTTCCCGGCCGCTTCACGTATTCAAGGGGTTGTTTGACGAGTATTCTATAGTGAGGTGGGGATACAGTGGGACGCTGGTTTGCACGACATATCTGATTAGCGACGCGCAGCAACGTAGTCACACAAAGACGCAACGCCGGGGCCACATCACCCTCTCTCGAGTGGGATGGAACGCGACCTCATCTCCAATTAGCCTGCGGTGGCATGGCTCCTCGCCTGACAGGTGGCACCGGTGAATTGCTTGCAAGGGCAGACGCAGGAGTCGACAGATCGGGGGAGGACCGGTGGACTGCCATACAGCTGCGGACAATGATCCGCAGATGGACGCCACATCCGAGAAACGAGGACACGACGGGTTACCAGCCCAGCAGCCCAGCGGGGCCGCAGCCTTTTTGATTGTACTGTAACAGCACCGCCATGAAGCCAGCCCTCGTGTTCGTGGACGGGACCTTCGTCAGCCACGGAATGCCACCACCAAACCAATGCTGTCGATGATCCCGGGAGGGCTGGGTGAGGGATGTGGGTAGCCCAGCCCGACGACGACGCGCGCAGCATTGTTTCTGCTTTTTGCACCCTGCCTCGCAGTCGTGGCGGCCGCCGATGAAAGGGTGTGAAGGACATGCCACTTGAGATTCTGTGCTCTGCGTTCCACGCCGCTGCACCTTTTTATGCCTGCGTGTCCTGTTGCCATAGAGCGCCAGAGGGGTTGGCCAGCGTCTCGAAATAGCGTGACGATAGGCCACCACGGTACCCGTGATCATTACAGACGACGGAATGTGGCACTGCGGAACCTTGTGGGTGCTGCGATGCGACCGCAGACGTTCATCGCCATCCGCAGTGTTACAAGAATCCTTGGGAACGCCTCGCCAGTACCGTGGGCAGAAAGGGTGTGGTACATATGCACTGGCCTCGAGCTGTGAGAACAGGCAAAGGAGTAGTGTCACGCGTGCGACAAAGGAGGGAGGACGTCGGACTGTTTGTAACACGGTTCCTGCGCACACTCCAGAGTGCCACGATGATCATTCTCATTGCCGAGCCCCATTTGAAGCATGCTACCTAGATGACCATTGTGGATGGCAATTAATACAGCCGCCTGAATCCTGGACATCGTCTCCATGCAGGTTTAGCAGCGACTGCCTATGCCGCTACTGGGTGATAGGACGGCCGAAAGTTGACAGTCTCGCTCTCAATGTCTCCTGGACCTGACAGAGGGCATCGCCCTTCGTTTGTGCGGGGGTGTGTTTAAAGTCATGGCTTTGCTTTGATGTTTATTCGAAAACATGAAATAAGCAGACGCTTGTTGTAAGGACTGCGCGTGAGTTGGAATTAATCCATGCGGCCAGAGAGTAAGTGCGTGGCAGCGGCACTGTCAGCTACGGCTAGCTGTAAGAGTTGGGCCGCGGTGCCGTTCTCAAGTAGCGGTACAGTCCCCAAAGTCCCATGTACCCATGCAGTTCTGCATTCCAGTCACAATGGGCGGGTCCCATTGGAAACACTGGAAGCGCACAGTGAACAAGCATTGCCAGCACCTGGCCTGTTCATAAGCCGCCCCTACAGACACCAAGCGGGACGCTTCTGTCGTCCTTCTCGAGGATCCATCTTGGCCGAGGACACCCAGTCAGCTTCTGTTCGAGGCCTCATTTAATAGCTTTCTGCATGGGGGAACAACTGTTGCTCGTCCCCCCTTCATGACCGTGACGTCAGCCACAGCCCCAGCAGCGTTGTTCCACCAACATTAGATATCATTCCGCCAGATAACCTCTACAACGACTTATAAAACCTATCTCTGCTGTCTGCGTCTGTCTACCTTCTCGCTTCTTAGTTCACTCCCTTCATTTGCCTCAAATATGCAATCTGGAAGTATGGATTGACAAGAATGTTCCTTTTTAGTGGTCTTCGTGGTTGATTTTCGTTTGGCCACATTGCTCTGGTTTTATCCAAACCTTCTCTGTCAGCATGGACTGGTCTCGCCGGGTCATGGCTTAACAAGTGTGGTCTGCTCGAACTTCTTTCATCGTGACCATCTTCTTCGTTCGGGCTGCACATACCGTTGCTGTTATCGGTAGCGTCAACGACGATACGTAAACTCGGCGAGCTCGGCGTTGTGTAGCTTCTTGTGGTCGGGGCTCAATTATTTCAATGGTCCGACCCAGAGAAACGACCTTGCCAGTGCCGCGTCACAATGTGTGCTGCTGTTGAGCTCTCAGCTGTTGGGGGAGGGGTAGTGATTTAATTGGGATATATTGGGTAACGTTGATATCCGCCAGCATAAGCTAGCCGGAATGGGCATAAGAACCAGGCGCTCGCCAATCTTTAACAAGACGACTTTGAAGAGACTGCGGCTTGATTCACAATCTGTGGAGTGTTATCTAGTCTGAAACGTTAAGCGAAAATGAATGTACTGTAGTGGCACAGTGACCTGCTAGAATCTGCGTTGCCGAGCTCTGGTTCAGTGAAGTGGTTTGCCAATGATTCACATGTGATCGCCACTTGAATGGCTTGAAGCGCTCCGAGTGACAAATCCTCTCTGCCACAGCTCGTCGCTCCTGCCGACCAATGCCGGCTTGAAAACAACCAGGCTCAATCTGAACTGAATGGTGGTGCATGCAGATTAATGCTTACAGATAATGTACAAAACCACTCCTTGGTGGGCAAACAGGGGATCATCTCCCCCAGAGGGCGGGAAAGATATTGACCGGTGTTTGGGTTGGGAGCAGAGAGCGTGTGTATAGGAGAGTGTTGCCGACAGACAAGGGCAGCACATCTAGGAGAAGAAGTACTGGCTGTCCTTGATGCGGTTGACATCAAACTCGCCGCGGGGAGGAGGAGGAGGCAGGACATCGCGGAAGCGAACAAACTCCACGCCCTCGATGATGGTCCTCTTGACATCGGTGCCACCGATGTCGGACACGTCAAGGACATCATCTTGGACGTCCTCATCCTCGTCCACCTCCTCTTCGGCGTTGAGAATTTTCTCGTCGGCAAAGGCCGCCTTCTCCTTGGTCGCGGCCGCCCTCTCCTGCTTCAATTCCAATTCACGCGCACGCTTCTTGTCAATGGTTGTCTCGACAAACCGGCTGCTTGTGTTGCCAACCGGGATCAAGTAGTCGCCGTAACGGTTCAAAAATTCGTCCCGCAGACTGCTGATAAGGCTGGAGCCGTGGAGGTGGATAAACGTGTCGCGAATGGTATCGGACATTCTCTCAACCGTCGACGCGTGAGTCCAATACGAGTCGTGGACCGAGGCAAAAGTAATGTCCTTCGTGTTACACATGACGGCGGTGAGAAGCATGTGGGTAGCGTCCAGTGAGTGAATAAAGTTGGGAGGGAATGCCGAAGCCTGCTTCAAGCCATTGACGGTGGAAGGGGCCTGAGGGTCGTGGATGAAGACGGTCTGGAGCGAGGTCATGACCTGTTTCTTGGCCTCCTTGCGGTAAGGCTGGGCGACCGGGAGGCCGAGGGGGCTGGTCCAGACGACGGCGGTCATGAGCTCTTGAGGGATACGCTCGCGGAAAGTGGGAACTTTCCTTGGCGGCCTGGAACCCTTCTTAGGGGGTGGCGGCACGGCCTGGGACTCCTGGGCCGCAGCGTACACACGTTCGGCGCTGATGGACTTGGAGATGAGACGAGCACAGAGGGTGAGCCAGTCCTGGATCGCCTTGGCACCAGCGAACAGGTCACCGATGGAGGCGAGCACCTTCTTGGCGACGTAGCCGGATACGTGGTACAGCTCATCTGAAGGGATGCCACCACGGGCAGCAAGCTGACGACTAATCTGGTCGCGAGCACCGATGAAAGTGACACCGTACACGGTGGTCATGACGGTTTGCTTCACAATCTTGCGGCTGAGGGGACCGTCGATCCACTGGGCGATGGGAACGTTGTTCGCCCGGTCCTCTGCGATCGACGCATTGACGAGTTCGGCAACACCGTTGTAAATGTCGGCAGGACGGTCACCCTTCTCGAGGTTGACCGCCTGGGCACCACGGACGTCACCACCAAGCGCGGCATAGTGTTGCATGCCGTTGCACGTACCGTCCTGGTGGACAGGGAGCGACGACATGAACTGAGTCGGGTCCTCGGAGCGGAGAGCTGCGGCCAGCTCGAAGCAGCATGCCAGACACTGCCAGGGGTCTTCAGCCTTGAGCCACCAGCGGCTGCCACCAAGCGGGTCGTCGGCAGAGTCGAACACGTCAGCCTCGTGCTTTTTGGCAAAGTCGACACGCTCCTCAAACGACGCCTTGTCAAAGCCGTAGAGGTTGGCAAGATGGATCTGGAGCCACTTGAGACCGGAGGTACCGAGAGGCTTGGCAACACCAAACGTGAGGAGACCACGGCAGAGGTCATCACCAACAGGTGACAGGTGTGGGGGAATCGGGTACGCGCGGCCACGGAAGTCCAGGTTGTGAGGAATGTAAAAGACGTCGTTGACGTACGACCGCGCAATCTCGAGGTTGTAATTGTACTTGCAGCGCTCGCCGTGGTCCTTGGCTTGCTGCAGGGCAACGGCCCTGTACCTGTCAATGTAGTCGGAACGCACGCTGGGGTCGTTCTCGCGGGGGTCGGGCTTCTCGGGGTAAATGTATTCGGACTTTTCGACAGACGCAGGAATGTCGCCAATGGCGTCGCCATCGTTCCAAGCCTTGAGGACAATGTCAAACACACCACGGTTGATACGCCAGGGAGTCGATGACAGCACATCAAGGCCACGATACACGTCCTTGAGGAGACCCTTTTTGCAAGACTCTTCGATGTAGTTGGCCTGTTCCTTTGAATCCTTGAAGCGCATCATCTGGACCTGGCTCGCGAGGTAGGCACCGTCCTGGAATGAACTCCAAGGACGAGGCTGCACAAGCATAGGGAGATGCTTGGGGTGGATAACCTGGCGAAGAGAGTCTGTGCCAAGGCACCGGGCAACCTCGGGGTTGACACGGATAACGCCGAGCTTCTTGCCACGCACATATTCGTAGCTGTGCGAGAAGACGGGCTGAGTCTCGGAGATGATCTCATCGGTAACGGGGTCCCGGGCACGACGTTCAACCCTGGCGGTTTCGATGAGACCCTCGACAAGGAAGGAGCCGACAGAGATCTGCATCATCTGGGTCCAGTTGGGCGTCCATACGGAACCCAGCTCAGTGGTCGCGGTTCCTGCGGTGGAAGTGTTGCCGTCGAGAGGCAACGAATCCTTGTGCGGATTCTGGGCATGCCACGTCCTCGTAATCTGCACGCGGTCGGGCCTTTTGGTGTGCTTGTCAAGGGAGCTCTGCCAAGCGAGAGACTTTTTGCCAGCGACCTGGCGGATGGTCTCGGCACGGTGTTCGCCCTCAACGGCCTTGCCGACCGCCATGATACCACGTAGCGTCTTCATACCATCTGTGATACCGCCCGAGCCAACCATGCGCATGAGCTCGAGAATGGTGACGAGGGCCAGTTTCTTGGGGGGCAGAACCGTAAGGTAAACGAGCATGGTGGTATCCTTGATTGTTTGAGTCGATGACCACTTGGACTGAAGGTCTTCGGGGTTCCTGTTGTCCTTTTGGCGCATCTCGCCAATCTTAGATTCGAGGTAGGCGGTAAGAGCGGTATGCCATTCATACATGTGCTTTTGGAGGCCCTTACGCGACAGATTGCTGTTGCCCACAAGCTCCGTCAGGCCGGCCAGCTCGAGCTGCCGGGCAGTGTGCTGAAGTTCGGCTTCGGCAGCCTCGTATGAGGCCTGCTCCAACTGCATCTGACGATTCCTTGACGTTGTGGGTGCCTCGATGTGAGCAAGGGTTCTGCGCAGGTTTTCGATCATGAAGCGCGTGTTCAAACCGCCGTCTTTGCCGGCCTGGTTGTCGACGGTATTGTCACGCCGCTCGAGAAGGGGCTTGACTTCGGGAAGCGGTTCAGACTGCTCGACCATGGCACGGCGCTTGAGGATGGGGCGATAATCCTCAACCTGATCCGTAACGATCTTGTTGTTGCCGCGAAGGGCAGATTCCTGCACAACGTCCAAAATACGGCTGAGGGAGGGCTCCGTGACGCCGTCCACAAACGCGGGCAGCCCAATCGTCTCAATGTAGGGAAGAATGTCAGTCATGGGCGAACCAGAGCTTGCACTGTCAGCTTTATTTCTTGGACGGGCACAGGACTTTTGCACTTACTTGTAGAGACCGTCAAACCAAGCACGGTACAGCAAGATGCCATTGTCCTCAAGCGCCTTGAGACCCTGCAGTCCAGGCTGGGTTCCGGGTTCCGGAAGGGGCATGCCATGCTCCTTGGCCTTCCATTGCTCCCACTCGACCACAATTCCTCCAGCACGAAGACGCCACGTCCTAGCGGTCGACTCGGGGAGGGTTGCGTCGGTGAGGAGACTCAGCGAGCCCGTGATGACGGACGCCCAGGCCTCGGCAGGAGGGTAGGGCACAATGCCCTCCTTGGCATCGGACATGAGCTGGCGGAAGATTTGGAACGCGCGAGGGACATACTCCGGACGCGAAGAACCCAGGCTCAAGATCGAGATCATGTCAATGTTGGACGTCGTCTGGTAAAGGCTAGCGTGCCTCGAACCTGGAGGGGGGGTGACAGTAGGTGGCAGTGGGGAGGGAAGGGAAACAATCGGCCGGGGAGCAGTGTTGAACGAATGCGGCTCAGGATCGGCCTTGGGAGTGGTGGTGTACGATACACCGCCAGTCGACGCTGACGACGAGGCAGTAGCCACTGCAGGAGTGGCAACTGGCGTGGAGGGGGCAGTGTATTGGCGAAGGCCACTCAGGCGGGCCGTCGAGGTGAGCGGCACGCGGCGAGCAGCAATGTTGATGCGGGTGCGCAGCATGATGGTTAAAATAAGGGTATTCGAAAAAGGAGAGAGGTAGAAGGGGAGGGTGGAAGGACGCGGACGCGGACCAGTCTTGCAACAAGGGTTGTTGTGAGACGTCAAGCAGTGGGCTGTCGTGTGCAAGCAGTTGCTGTGTTCTTGGGCTGCGGTGGGCGGCCCTTTTGGGGTAGGGGGCGGGGTTGATCCCTTGTGAGCTATCTAGCGGTGATAGACCCCCTAGAGGCTTGTTGGATAAGGCGGAGAGGGGGGAACGAGATGGAGAAGAGAGATGGAGGAGAAGTTGGATGAGGAGAAGGAGACAAAAGAATGGACCAGGCTGCAGGCGGGGGCCGTTGGAAAATCGCATTCGCGGCAAGGCGGGTCACGTGACACCCCCGGGCGGCAACGGAGCCACAGCCACGTGGGAATTTCTAATCCTATTTACTCTAACCCTCTAATCCTCTAGGGGAAATTAGGCGTGTATTTACTAATTCCCCCCCCCTGTCGTTTAATACCCGGCCATTCATTATCCATGGCCGGTGTGGGGCCTCTGAGCGGGCCATGGGGTCTTGTCTGTCTGTCTGTCTTGCATCTCTCTCGTCGACACTACCTATTCACATCCCTTTCGGCACCCATGACAGCGTCCCCGGCACTCCAGACGCTGGTGGGCCGCGTACAAGGTGACCTCCTACACGAGCTCAAGGTACTCAAGAACAGCATCATCGGCAACACTTGGAAAAAGGTGGAACATGCAGGCGATGACGCTCTGTTGGTCTTGTGAGTCGCGTCGTATCGCGGTCCGTTGCCACAGCACGTACATCACAATGTGCTGCAGACCGTCCGTAAAACCCTCGCTCAACCTATTTAGCCTCTTGGAACTGCTAGTCGTGCCAGAAGAAGACGATGCTGTCGGCGCCGACATTGTATGCGAAACGGCCGTCATTATCGGCGCTCTATCTAGCGCTGGTGCCCTCACCCTCCGCCCTCTACTCGGCGAGCGTGTCCCGGCCAGGCTGGTGGGCGTGGTTCGTACTCTTCCCGCAAACCACCCTGCCGCGTCACGCATGCTGCCTCCAATCCTACGTGGGCTGCGCAATGTCCTCGGCGCAACAGCAGATGCAGTGTGGGGCCACATGTGGGGTGTTGGCGCCGAGCAAAAGGTTGTTGGTACCGGGTTGGTTGGCGATGATGTGCTGCGTCCAGCTCGAGTCCGCAAGGGTCGGGCATCGCAGTGGCGGGCCGATGCGGTAAGTGCTCTAGGCATTGTGTTTGAACCTGCAAACCGGACGGCCCTCCTGAGTCTCATCGACGTCCATCCAGACAACAACCACATCCTGTTACCTCTCTACCAGCTCCTCGCGCGTCTTATTGCCCTTCCTTCCCATCGCGAGGCATTTGCTCCAGCCTCGGAGCCGTTCGTTATCCACCATCTTCTCGAAACGCTATGCGACTGCTGGTCTCGTGGCCGCCGACCACAGCCCAGGTTGTTGGAAGCCGCTCTCGACCTGCTCGCCGCTTTGGTCAAGGGCCAGCCCAACATTGCCACTGTGGTGCGCGAGTGGGACGTGTCGGGCGTCTTGGACCCAGACGACACAGCAGCAGCAACTGGAGTCATTGGCCTTCTTGTCCAGCTGCTCGAGACCGGTCCACCAGGCGTTCGCATTGCTGTCGCCAACTGCCTCACAAACATTATAAAGGCCGACAAGGGGTTCCACGCCCGTGACCGCGTCACCCTCAACCTCACAAATTTGAACCTTCTCAATGTCGTTATCAAGCTCCTTCGCACCGAGGCCGTAGAAGAACGCGTAAAGCTGTGCTTTGTCCTCGGTACGTTCACGAACGCCCCCCCCCACACACACACGCGCTGCGGCCCAAACACTGCGCTCAACCCCCATGCTAACCTCTTTTTGCAGCCGCGCTGGTATCAGACGACGAACGGCTGCAAAAGGCAGCAGCAGAGCAAGGGTGTCCCACTCAACTGATTGGCATGTTGGTTGAGGTGGACGCCGACGAGCTGAGAAGCGAGATGGGCCACGAGGCCGCGAGTCGGTCACGCGAAGGCGCACTACTCGCCCTGGCGGCCCTGTGTTTCCAGTACGAGCCCACACGCTCTCTCATCGCCGACGCGTCCCCTCCGGTTCTCCCACTCGTGTGCTCTGCCCTCTCGCACCCCAGCTATGGCGTCCGCGCCGCTGCATGCCAGCTTGCCCGTGCTCTCAGTCGCACCGTCGCCATCCTGCGTACCAGCCTCGTCGACTCGGGCGTCGGCGAAGAGGTTGTCGAGACGCTCAAGCGCGAGGTAGCCCGTCGCCGTGCCGATGCGGTTGATGGGCCTGTCGACAGCGATGTATGGGACGTGACGGTTGAAGAAGAGCTCGGTGACCGCGCATGGACCGTCGAAGTGGCGGCGACCGCTACCTTGTCCAACCTTATTGTCGACTTTTCGCCGCTGCGATCTAAATTTGTCGCATCAGGAGGTATCGAGCTCCTCGTCGAACTCACAAGTTCGCCGTACGAGCCACTTTCGCTTAATGCGCTTTGGGGGCTCAAGAATGTGACATATCACGCTTCCGAGGGCATAAAGGCCGACGTCATGAACCAGCTGGGTTGGGACGCCATGCGCACCTTTCTTTCCCGACCGACCGTGACCGTCGTTCGGGCTCAGGCACTCGGTATCTTGCAAAACTTGACAGATGTTCAGAACGCATCCGACTTGAACCGTTGGCTCGAGAGCCTGGGCACCGATTTCCTGCTCGACGTCCTCGAGCAAGCGATTGAAGAAGAAGAAGTCCTGGCCGAACCGGCGCTTTACATTTTAAGCCAGATTGCCTTGGGAAACGAACGTCACCGGTCGGCCCTGACAGCCCGCGTCGAGCTGCTGGAAACACTCTCAAAAGCCCTCAACTCGCGCAACGACCAGATCCGTACTCCCGCCTTGCGCACACTCCGCCACTTGATTGAGAGTAACTCGCGCTCTCAACGTCCCCGCCAAGCCATCGTCGACCTACTTCAGCCATACCATCTCAAAGTCCGTCTGCGCGAGATTGCAGAATGTGCACCGAGCATTACGGTTCGGCAGAGCGCGGTTTCAGTGCTGGACCTCCTCGACCGCGCACGTACTTAACTTGCGGAGGACTGAGGAAGAAATAAACAAACCTACAGAAACGAAACGTAAGGTCTGAAGATTGTGCCAGATGGTATTTCATGCATGTCATTGTTGTAGCAAGGTTATCCCCGTTTTGTTTTACACCACCTTGAGCAACAGCCCTCCTCCCGTGGCGGCCTTGGCCACGTCCGCAGCCTTGACAACAGTCGCAAACTCGCCGTGGAGGTTGGCCGCTGTAACTTTGATAATCGTGTCAGCGGGCACCACCTCGCCGTCGGGCGTCGTTTGGTCGAATGCGTGCGTTGCATCCAGCACGAACCACACGTTGAATCCGAGGTTGCCGCCGACACGGGCCGTGGTCTCGCAGCAGTGGTTGGTCGTGATTCCACAAACAACCACGTCGTTAATCCCGTGGCTACGCAACCACGCGGCCATGTCTGGTGTGCCGTGGAACGACGAGTTGACGCCCTTGTGCACATGTAGAGCCGGTGTCGTCGTGTTTCGGTTCATGAGGAACGGCTTGAACGCACGCCCCGGGTTGGATTGGTGGAACAGTGATTGGGGCGAAGACGATTCATGCTGGACGTAGATTATGGGTCGTGAGGTGTGCTCCCACGTGTCAAGGAGGAGGGCGACATTCGTGTCGGCGGACTGCGTGGACCGCCGGCCCCAGTACGTTTGATCTTCGAACGCTAGCTGGACGTCAACGACGATCAATGCCGCGTTGGCAGGTAGTGGGACTGTTGCGGACGGCATGTGGGAATGGGTCGAGTTTTGGCTGCCGAAGGCGCAGCCTTATATGGATGGTTCAACTTGGTGACTCATCCGAGCTAAGTGAGATGGCGTCATCGATTCGATTGTACAGTGTATGCTCCGATGCTCGGGACGGGAAAGCATCAGACCCGTAGATGCCGTTTGGTGCTCGAGGTGAATGACAATGGGTGGGGGCCATGCATACACAGCAGCAAATACAAGGTGATGGAAATGGAAGCCAACGGCGAAGCGTTTTACGACGGACGGAAGTCGAGCTGGCCGACGATGAGAGGCCACACTGGAATGGGTCAGCCGCCATGCGCACTCTCCAAGCTCGCCTCACTCACCCTCTTCAAAGCCCACATGTTTGCCGTCCCTGATCTGTTTCCAGATGTTTTGCATCGTGTCCGACTTTTTAATCTCGCTCCAGTGCTTGAGGAAGAATGCCACTTGAACCTAATCGCCCGTTAACAAAACTGGTGCTCATGTCCTTGTGCTATACCCACCTTGCGGACGTCCTCAAATGTCGAACTGAAACGGCTAAACACCTCCGCGGGGATATTTGCCGCGGTCAGTTGGCCGACAATATGCTGGAACGCACGGAGCTTGAGTGCCGGCAAATCAAGCTTGTCAGCTAGGCGATAGACTGCTTTCGCAGAGACTGGACGGGGGCCGACGATGGCCAAGACGTTGCCACCCTCGTCGCTGCCGCCGAGGCTGGTTGCCATGCCGCGTTCCGAGAGCCAGGCGGCAATCCATTCACGACGGCTGCGGGGCTCGCCTGCGGCTTGGACGGTGGTTGAGCCAGACCGGCTGTGGCGCGAGCGTTCGGCAAAGGATGAAGAGAGGGGTGCAAAGTAGATGACGTCGGTGTATAGCTGAGATGTGTCAGTTTCTCAAGCGCGCAAAGAGCGTAGACTCACCCAGTACAACACCGCCCACCACGTGCTCCAAGCTGCGTCGCGGACAACCACGCGCGTCTTCTTGGGTCCGAGCGAGTGAGCAGTCGACCGCGCGCGCTTGCGTTGCACCACCGGCGCTGCGGGCTTGGGCTCGGTCGGCGGAGCATCGTCCGGGTTACCACCACCTTGTTCCGGTGTTTCGCCTCCGCCGTCAGTGGCCTCGACGCTGTGATCTTCCTCCTCCTCCTCCTCATCGTCCCGCTCGTTATCCCGGTTGCTTATATCGGGTTTGGTGGATTCCCCCTCTTCACGAGTGGGAGCAACAGACGATTCGTCTCGGGTGGTGGTACTGCTCGTGTTGATGGTGCCGGTAGTGGTGGGAGTGACAGTCGGGCCTGCCAGCAGGTCTGACAGCTCATCCTCTTCATCACTGTCGGACAAGTTGTCGAGGCCATCATCCGCATCGTCGTCATCGTCGTCATCACTCAACGTTCCTTCTACCTCGCCAAAGCCGCCGTGAAACATGGCGTCAAAGTACTCGCACCGGTTGAGCAGCTTCTTGTTTGCATACACGCGCCGAGGGGGCGGGCGGTCGCCAGCAATGCCGCGTGCGCGGAGAGAGGGGGCTGGGATGACAAACTCAATGTCAGAGTACACTGGTGGGTTGCGGTCAGTGGAATATCGAAAAGGTTCGGTGCAACTCACTTGGATCGTCAAGCATGTCGCCGACTGCTGACACGAGGTCGCGTGGCACGATGCGCTTGGGCCCGCCGGCTGCGAGGGTTCCACCAGCAACACCGCCCGATGCTCCGTCTCCACCAGACCAGGCGAGCGAATTGGGACTGCCAGAAACGGTTCCAGGACGGCCAGGTTGTCCCAAGCCAAGCCAGTATCCAGCTGGGGGCTGGGGCTGTGCCGATATGGTGCACACAATCACGAAAGAGTCGCTGGCCACGACGGCCGGGTGCAAGAACAGCTGGTCGCGTTTGCCAAACTGCTGCCAGCCCCAGTTGGCCGTTTTAACTGCGAACGTGTGGTCGCTCGCGTCTTTGGAGGCAATGGCCGCCAGCTTGCCTGTGCGTTCCTCGTGCACCTTGACTTCAAAGCGGAACCACCACAGGCCCTTGCGCACCCATTTGTTGCCGATACCTTGCTCGCGCTCCTGTGTAGTCGGCTGTGGGGATTAGTTGCGGTACATATGGCGGCGGCATCGATCAGCACCAGTAACACCGCCCGTGGGTAGTGGTGGTGGTGGGTGAGACTCTGTGTTGACTGTTACTCACCACACACGACAGGTACAAGCTGGCATACTCGCCACCCTGCACGCCAGAGTTGGGGTACCACAGCACCTCCCACAGATTGTCCGGGTCACCAAAGATGGCGGACTTGATGCACTTGCTGTGAGCGGAGGTCGTCAGCGTCGGCGTCGTTTCGCTGTTCGGGAACTCGTCACTGATCGCAGCACCACGCCTAACGGGCGCTGGTCTCTTTCGTGCAAAAGACCCCATGGCGACCACTCACGACTTGGCATCGCCTTTACTTGTCTCGTACATGGCCCGAAGGCCGCTGAGCCGCCATTCTAACGAGACGGTGGTGGTCTCTGCAAATTCAAGGCTGGTCGGTGGAGCTGCTGGCGTGGATGTGACTGTGTCGCGTCGACGTCAGCAGCATGTCATGGTACGAGAAACATCACCACTGCCAATGGCTCTCACGCACCTTGCAAATGGTCTCTTCCCGAGTGTACGGGCGCTGCCTGTTGAGCGGTGGCCATGGCGGCGAGACGGAGATGCGTAGAAGAGGTGCCGAAGACGTGGGTAGAACGAACGAACGGACGTCAAACGTCAAGTTGCCGTGTGGGATTGCGGTAATCCGGCCCATCCGAGCGGTCATGGCGTCATTAATATCCACCTGTTGCCGTCCAGCCGTCAGTCCTCCCTTTGACAACCAGACACATGCATCACGAGGTACTTTGGACCTTCCATAGCCGTCGTCACCATCGTCTTGGACTCTATGCATAGCACGCCTGGTGCACTGAGGCGATGAAAGGGAACTATGGATGTGGTGGTCCGTGTCACGTGACATCTATTTGGTTCCGCCGCTCAAGTCATTGTTGTTGACGGTTGACGCACCCTGTTGGGAGTGTTCTTGTTGCAGCTGTTGGCATCAGTCGTTCACCATTCTTGCCACAATGACCACCTCCGACTCAGACGAGCCAATACCCATCGATCCCCCTCCAAACCCACAGCCACATCCCTCACGCAATCGCACAACGCGCTCCTCACGATCCACCACCTTTGCCCCGTATCAAGACGACGACACTGTCCCCGTCCCAGCTCCCGCGCGTCGCGGGCGTCCACGCAAGAACGTTTCCACGACCACTGCACCTGTTAAGCGTAAAGATGATGATGACGACGACGAGGAGGTTGTCTTCGTTGGCGAAACGGTCATACAGGGTCTCGCGGCGCGGTTTGCCTTTGGCGGAGGCAGCGGCGCGAGTACGGCTATGAGCACCAGCACGAGCACACGGTCTACAACACCGGCGTCAAGAGCCAGAGCCACCAGGACACCCCTGTCTCGCGCTACGCCTTCGTCAACGTCGGATTCCAATGCTCCTGCCCCTCCTCCACTCCCACTGGTTGACAAGACGGTGCCGGTGCCTGACTGGCTCGGTCAACCTAGGATCCTCCTTCAGCTTTCGCGTTGTGTCGTGTGCCACCGCGACTTTAAGAAGCAGTCAGGAGTTGAGAGATGGGTACGTCTAGGTCGCTGTTTTCCTTTATGTATGGCCCCGAGCAACACACTAAATCACTCAGCACCACATCTCCACGTGTCTGCCTCCTCTCTTTCGCCCCCCAAACGACCCACCTGACCTCAAGTCGCTCCTCATTGAGGCTCTCGAACCCCACAACAAGCAATCGCTTCTTGAGCACCGCACAGCACGTGCAGACGATGTGGTTCGTGCTGCTGGCCTAATTGTGAACCCTCGTGAACGCCGTGGACCCAAGCTCAAGGTCACGACTGTCAAGGCTTCGCATGAACGTGAAGATTGGGAGGATCAAGTCCACGAGCGCGTCCTCGACCTCGTCGGCGAGCCGAGCTCCCCTCGTTCCTACTCATCTCCGTCCATATCACCTCCTCATTCTCGTTCGCATTCTCTCTCGCCCACGCGTTCTCGTTCACCGCGCTCGAGGACTCGTTCCCCTCGCCGCTCGTCCCCCGATATGCTGCCGCCAACTCAGCCACTGGGCGAGTCATCGCTTGCTTCAGAGTTTGCTCGGCCGCCGCGAACTCGCTCTCCAAGCCCACAGTATGACCTCCTTCTTCAAGCTCCGCCCGTTATTGGCCTCTCTCAGGCCGTTCGAGACTCCTTTTTACGGGAGCAGCAGGACCTGAGCAACCGCTCTGACCTGGCCCTGGGTCAAGCCAAGCGCCGCCGTGCGCTACTCGAGGACGAAGATGACTTTGGAGGTTTCTCGTCTCAACGCGTCCCCTCGGATCGTGACCGTGAACGCCCAAGATCCTCCAGCCGTTCAGTCGCTCAATCTTCACCCTCTACCCATCCGTCCGTTCAACCTCGCCGCAACAACAACTTGCCCATCGAGCCTGGTCCGCCGCCACAGCAGCCCTTTCGACAAAGGGGAGGCGCGCATGGTCCAGGGCGCCTTCCCGAGACGTCTGGGACCAGTAGCAGCGACAACCAAGATGAGCGAGAGCGTGCACGCGCTGCCCGTCTGCGAGCTATCATGGCCGGCAGAGCGTGAGCGTGACCGTGAGCGAGAGAACGAAGGGGAGGTGGACGCCGTGTCCGACGCAGTCTCAAGCTTGTTCTTGTCAACCGCCAACAATCAATTAGCGCCAATCATCCTGTCACCATACACAGTCTCAGATGACGAGTCCTTGGACACCGTTCCGGAGCGTCTCATTGATTCTCCTGTGGAGCATCTTCACACCGCATCGATGACACTCTCCCCGAACTCGCCCGACCTGCCACTGTTCACGTCACCCCCTTCGGTGCCGAGCCGTCCGTACCCTGACGTTGTCATTGTCCTATCTTCCGACTCTGAGGAGGCTGATTGCAACGATCCGGCGTGGGGCGATGCTGCCATGCTCGTCTGGGATGGAGACGTCAATGGTAGCAGTGACGGAGAGGGCAAGAACAGTGGACATGGGGAAGCAGGGCCCGCCGTCAGCGACAGCGAAGAGGACAGCTGGGGCACATGGGACCAGGACGCATGTCTGCACTGGGACGTGGATGGCGACGTGGGCGTGCGAGAGGAGGAAGAAGAGGAAGATGAAGAAAACGAAGAAGAGGATGAGGATGAGGATGATGATGAAGAGGAAGCTGGAGGTATGGGCGGGTACGACGAAGAGCTCGAACACAGCAATCCCCAGGACGACGCCGACGCCGATACGCCAAGCCAGATTCCCGACTACGCGTCCTGGGACACTGCTCGGCTTCAGGTGAGCCTCGACTGCCATGATCCGGAGCTGACAACAATAGCGTTTGGTCAAGGGGTTTGGATACCGCCTCAGCACTCAGCGCGCTACACTGGTCAAGATTGCCAGCGAGTGTTGGATGGCGCAGCACCCTTCATCCGTGCCCCGGCCTGTGGCTACTTCCAGGGCGGCAGGGATGAGAAAGGGTCACGGTACGGGCAAGGCGTCGGTTGCCAGACCACGAAAGCTCGCAGCAACACGCAGCAAGCGTCGAACGCGTACAGCAAGAAGCGATGAGGACGAGGACGAGGACGAGGGCGAGGGCGAAGACGAGAACGAAAATGGCGTTCACGATGTCGACCCCGACTCTGCAACACCTGCATGCACGGACAAGAACGCTACTCTCGACCGCCAGTTCTACAACATGATTCACGGAGACACCCAGCTGTACCTTCGCGTACTGAGGTACGAGCCGATTGCGTTTGACGAGCTCGCGAGCCGAGCTGTGCAGCTAGGGATCAAGCGGAAAGGGTGGAAGTCGTTGTTGAAGGAGTTTTTGGATAAGCGGGTGAGTTGGCCTTGCTCTGAGTTTGCAGGGGCCAGTTGTTGGTCCGCGACCGAAGCAGCGCTGACGACGTCTAGGGCGTGACCTATTACACCTCGGATCCCACAGCGCCCCGCAGGCGATACTAAGCATGTGTGCATGGGTGTGACAGAGAGCGAAAGGGAGACGGAGAGTAGCAGCAGCAGCAGCAGCAGCAGAATAGCATAGCAAGGACGTTGTGTATTGTAGTCCCAGTACGAGCTTGTATTGTCGCCCCGCGCCCTGACGTCATGTTGGAACCCTCGGACAAAGCCGGTTTTGATGGGTTGCTCCTGGTCCCCCTTCAAGTCTCTCCTAGGTTTGTGTGATCCTGGGGTACTTTTGTTCTTGTTCTTCTTTGTCTTTGCACTCGGTTCTACCTGCGCGTCGTTTTGACGGTCAGGAGAGAGACACCGCACACTAAAATGGGTCCTGCTCCTCCCGGTCCCGACAGGCCCCCATGATGGCCCCCATGAGGCAACCCCACCGGATCTCTCGCAGTTCGTTTCACCCGGCGCTGAATGTCCATCTCGCTCCGAGAGCAATGTTGTGGTGGGCGTGCACTGAGGGGTCGTTGCGATCCATGGCATGATGAGAGACTCACAAGAAGAGACGCAGAGAAGAGAGAGGGCAATAGACTGCCTCCCCTCACTCGGTTACTTTACCACCCCATCACCTTACACAGGCTCGATCCCTCAGCTCCGAACAACAACCACCACCACCACCACCACGTTGCAACGCGCCCTCCAGCCTTGGTAAATTGGTCATTGAGCGACGAGGACACGACTGTGGATGGAGCGCATCACGAGGACTGTTAGTATCCTCGTGTTCTGCTTTGCATAGATAGTCCGGCCGACCCCACACTGGGGCAGCGCCATCAGCACGAGGTCCGAGCGCACCACAGAGGCGGCTCCCAAACACACACGCCCGTCACACAACAATGCTTCTGTCAACATCACCAACACCAGCACCCAGTCTCCCATTGTCGCACCACCCGTCCGACAATAGCTCCACTCCTACATCACCGACACCACCGACACCACCGACACCACCACTCCTCACACCCTCCTCCGCAGCATCCTCGTTTCTCTTCCCAAGCACACCAGGGTCCGAGCGCAAAGAAGCATCTGTAACTTGTTATCCTGCTTCTTTCAACGATAAACGAGGTTCCGACTCGGCGGCGAACAACGAGTGTCTCTTGTCCGCACTTGAGCTCAACCCGCCCCCGTTCACGTTCGAGGCCACCGAGGCCACCAAGGACAAGCACTCGGTCAACTCATCGTCCCTCTCCAAGCTCGAGCCCGCATCTGAAGTCGAACCCTTGCTTGGACTTTTGGCCGCTCTCGCACTACTGACTCCCACCACGGAGGCGACAGCGACTGTCCCAGTCGAGCCTGTGATTTCCACCGCTGTCGATACCACAGCGTCACTGCCCCCATCCCCAAGGTCAAGCCGAACCCCCAGCCCAGTCCTTGCCTCTGAGTTACCCCGCCCCTCGTCTTCAATCTCTATCCTTCACCAGGGCCGCCGTATTTCCCGTACACGCAGCCTTACGGAGGAGATTGCCGACGCAGGTGAGCTAGTACCCGACCCTCACCTATCCGACCTCGAGGACGAGCACTGCATTCCGTGGACCGCAGCTCTCGACCTTGACGTCCTGGACACTGAGCACTTTATCCAGCAGACCAACGTCGACTACGATCGACAGCGAGCGTCCATTTCCCCTCGCACACGCGCGAGGACTGTTTTCAGCCCCCGCATCCCCAACAGGACACTACATTTCCGTCGTCTGTCGCTCTCACCGCTTTTCCCTTCGACCTCGTTCAACCCACACATCCCGCGCCATTCTGTCCACGGCCTCTTGACTACAGGTCCTCAACCGAACGTCCCGGCTGAGCACCATTTTGAAGAGACAGAGCCATCTGCGTTTGAGTCCACGCCGCCCAAGCGTCGCCGTTCAAACTCACTCTCGGCTTTCTCATTCGGTCCGTTCCGCACACGCAAGAACGTTGTCAACAACACTTTGACCATACTGGAGAGTGACCCCGCATCCCCCGTGCCCAAAGCCTCGAGCGAGCTCGATAAGTCCCGTTCCCGCACAACCCACGACACGTCGCCCACCCAACGCTCTTTTGCCAAATTGCACAAGTTTTCATTGCCCAAAATGTTTAAGAACGGGCCTGGCGTCGTCAAGCACGTGGAGAAGTCGGAGGAAGTCGAGGAGAATGGCGACATCGTCGAGACGGTGGTCACTACCACGCGCCGCCGTCCTTCCACGGCGTCGCGCGCGCCCAGCGTTCGTGCGCCGAGCGTGTATGCACCCAGTGTGCGCGCACCCAGCGTCTACGAAGACAGTGTGTACAGTCCCTCCCGTGCGCCTTCCCGCTCCATCTACTCTACCCCCTCGCCCCCATCCCCTGCCACGCCCATCCCCGCCACACCCGAGATGCTCCACCGCCACATTGTCGAAAACCTCCCCGAGCAGCTCGTCGCAAACTCGCCAAGGTACGCACACTCGCGGACCCACTCACGCACACACATACCCGTGCAGAATGTGCGCGACTATGATGATGCGCCAATCCCGCCACCAAAGCGGAGTGGCAGTGTCCGCAAACTCCAGCCGATCACGATGGGTGAGCAGCATATTGAGGGAGTTGAGCTGACACCCATCAGTCGACTACACTAGCAGAGTGCCAACCTACTTGAACGGAGGCCAGACGTACATGCAGCAAAACTCCAACACACCGTACGCTGCCCAGCCTAATGTCTTTGCTCCACAACCCGTGTACCCCTTTGCTGCACCACCAGTGGTGGCTTCCGCTCCAGTCAAGTCCCCATCCCCGAAACCCTCGGTCACGAAGGTCGAAATCGAGGTTAAGGACCGCACTGCCCAGCCGGCTGCTACTGAGACGGTCAAGGTGGGGAACGTCGAGGTTAGCGTCAAGGACACGACACTGCAGGCGCCAAAGCCTGCCGAGGCCAAGACGATAATTGAGATCAAGGACTCTACACCGTCTAAACCTGCCTCAGTGCCTGTCCAGGTCGGCAGCCTTGAGATAACGAAAGCCGCTCCTGCGACTGCATCAGCGCCATCCGCGACGATCAAGGTTGGTGACAAGGAGTATGACATTACTGAGAGAGCACCCTCGCCCGAACCCCCCAAGGACACGCTTATCAAGGTCGGCGACACCGTGCTAGAGGTCAAGGACCTGACAAAGAGCGCTACCCCGACTCCGGCCGCGCCGGCTGGACCGGTCGAGCTTGCACCTGGTGTCTCACTCAACACGGACACAGGCGCCATTACGGTCAAGCAGACCGTTGCCGCCGAACCCAAGCCCAAGTCGTCGAGGGCACCGTCCCCCACGCCAAGTGTTCGATCAACGCGCTCGCATCACCACACAGACGATAAGAAGGGCTCCCCGACCCCCAGTGTGGCGTCGCTCCGTTCTGTCGACCTCAAGATCCACGAGTCGCCTGGCGGGTCCCGTGAGATTCACGCCCATGTCCATGCTGCCAAGAAGGACGACAGTGGCAGTGAAACCGAAGACGAGAAGAAGGCCCATGACAAGGCGAAGGAGAAGAAGAAGCATAAGGAGAAGAAGCACGACAAAAAGTCAAAGTCCAAACATCACAAAGCAGAGTCGGTTAGCACGACTGACTCGGGAGACGACACGTACGCCGTCGGTGGTGTCGAGATCAAGGTTCCTCCCAAGAAGACGGACAAAGACGCCGCCGAGTCCGCGAAGGATAAGGACAACGATACCACCCCGACAAAGAAGAAGGTATCCCGTGCCAGTCGTAACATGCTGGACAGCGATGAAGAGGACGACTTGGGTCTGCCGTCTCAGAACAGGCTGCCTTATCGTCTGTGAGTGTTAGCCATTGTCTTGTGCGCAGGGTATACAACTAACCAGCAGCAACCCACGCCTCCCGTCTGAGATTGACGATTACCGTCCCCCGATGTACGCAGCTCCATTCGGTGCGCCTGTACCCCCAAGCTACTGGCCCAGGTACGCCCTCAGTCTCAGTGCCTCCATCGAAAACCTCGGCTGATCCATGCAGACCCGCACCACACCCAGCTCTGCGACCCCTTTACCTCGGTGGACCAGGGTTTGGGCCCACGGTCAGTTCTGGCATGATGCCGGGACTCGGGTACGCGTCAGGACAGCTGGGCAATGGGGGATACTTGGGTGTACCCACTGGCCCCATGCCCATGATGCTGTCCCGACCCGCCATGCCGCTTGCTCATCCTGGGTGGTATCCTGCTCGTCCAAGGCCATACTAAGGAGGTGGACAGGGGGGGGGGGGGGGGGGGGGGGATGAGTGGAGGGAGCGGTTCAGAATTGTATGTGTTTCCTCATTACGCGCACCAGCGCCGTTCGCTAGCATTGTTGTTCTCGATGGGATCGTGGTTAGATCTGAACTCGGTGGCGATGTGTCGCATCCGTTGGTGTTGAGAACAAACTAACAGTCACAACAGGAAGAACACAGCAAACCAGGTCTCACCGCTTCTGTGCCCCTCACGAGGCAATGCTCACTGACGCGTGACTGCCGGACCGACGCGTCATCTCGAACTCGATTGTGGGCGAAGCGGGTCACCGGCCGAAGCTGATGTCTTTGAGGCATGCTTGCCAAGTCTCTCCGCTCCTTGAGCACTCAGGCCCGATAAGCAGTTGCAGTGTCAGCAGCCGCGCTCGACGTGGTCCATGGTGATCCTCAGTCTGGAGTTGATTTCATCGGGACCGATAACGCGCCAAGGCCACATCCGCCGAGAGCCGCGCTTCCTCCTCGGGAGAGCCGCGCTTCCTCCTCGGTGTCTAGAGAGATCGGCCCCGTCCTTAGACTGCGTGTCCCAACCCATGTACCGTTTCCTGGACGTCAGGTCGGACAGAGGAGCCCGAACCGCGCTGCTGGCGGCATCTTGTCAAGTGTCGACGTATCTACCAAGCAATTGCAAGCAAGTCAAGCGCGCTTGGCGAATCGCGCGGCGCGCATTTCGTTCGCCCGAAATCTGACCAGTTGCCACGCGCCTTCAGCGCCAAGCAATTGCAGTCTACCCCGGCCGAAGAGAGCAGCTTCCGCCGTGGGGCCTGCGGGGCACAAGAATTCATTGCGAGTGCGATTATTGGCTGCGAAGCGATGTCGTAAGGGAGCACCGGTGTGCGACTGCGTGGTGACGACAGCTGGTCTTGACCCTAGATGAGCTGTCTCATGATCTCACGGTCTCATGTCCTCGAGGTCTGACGCGTCCTGCGCTTGCGCACACTTCTGTCGGCCGGGTTTGAGTCTCTCAAAGCCTTTTGCACAACCTCCTTCGCGGCCGAAAGCTTCTTACAGACCTCGACGCACATGGCTCTGGTGTACTGGATGGAACTCCTCAACGGTGCAATGACGGAACGATGTTCGAGGTCGGCTGATACTGGTGGGAGGGGTGTAGCATGTCGTCAATGGGATACCTTTCGGGCTGACGGGCCCGAATGCCTGCATCTGCGTGCTTGGACCAAGTGTCTAGAACAGTGCTGGGCATCTGTAGTATGTACACTAACCGAAGCCGAAAGGACACCGATGCTGCACACCACGCCCACACCGGCCGAACGGTCAGAGTGGCAATCGGGCCCAATAAAGAGTGTAGCTTTCGTCAGCACGCGGCGGGGAATCAGTCGTCCACCCCGTGGCACGCTCCCGCAATCTAATCACACAAGAGAGTCGCGTGCTTTTCGGCCGTGGACTGGTTTCACTACTGGTTAGCTGGGCCTAGGTGCCACCACCAAGAACAGGAAACTATAGTCGGTATTTTCGGCCGCGATGGTGAATTCAATTCACGAGGATGGGCCGCCATGGCTCTTACTGGAGTGGACGGTTCACTGGTATCTAATCGCTTTTCGGCCGGGCGGGTGTTATGGTGGACGCATGCTGCGGATACGTTAATACCAATAACGCTGATAGTCTCGTTGCTGTCAACCAGCTCACCACCGTTTTTAGCCAGCGTGTTGGTTGGACGGCCAAGTACGAGTGACTCGACGACCGTCCGCTATCGGCCGTGGTCAAACGGTTGTGAGGACCAGGGACCCAAGCGCCAACGAGTAATACAGGTCGGTTATCTCCTTTGGGTTGATAACCCGGCTTCACGGGGATCATCCAAGCCCGTGTTCTCCGAAGGCAAGGTGCAGTGTCCGTAGAATTACTCCATCATCAGCACTTTGAGTTCGCTTTAAAGTGCCTCTCCCTTGAGCTTCGGATTATCGCATAGTAACATGTAGGTAATGGTAATGATGGTATTAACTCTAGGCCTCTTTGCCCATCGCGAGACGCATGTTGAGGTCACTAGGACCATTGAAGTGTTTGCGACCGTCGATGAGCCATGTGGCCAGACACATGACCATGACGATACCAAAGACAACGACGACAAAGTTCATCTGTGACGCGCTGGTAACGGGGATGAAAGGCGGGAAGAGGAACACCACGGTAGTGACGGTGATGAAGATCAAGGCCATTGCGTTGATGGGACGACGCCACTTGCCCAACGACCAAACGGCGTCATTGTTGTAGTTGTTGAACGCTCGGTCACCGCGAATGAGGAGTAGAAAGATCGGGACAAAGTAGGATATCTGAAGGAAGACAAGCGACGCCGACAGGATGGCGTTGAGGGCAACGCTCGACCCGAGTTCGATGAGACCGAAGCAGCCAACCCAGCCTGAAACAAATAGGATACACCAGACGGGAACCTTGAGTTTTGGGTGAACCGGCTCGAGGGGACGCGAAAGTTTGCCGAGACCGCGATCACGCACAAACGAGAGGAGCATGCGCGAAGCGACGGTGGTAAGCCCCTGCGCGGCGAACAGCATTGAGCCAATGTTGAAGACGATGAGGCACGTGCCACCAATCTTGGAGTTTGTCGCTTGGTAGTAGACCTGGAGGAGGGGACCAGTGGTCGACGTGAGGACCTCGTCCCAGTCCCTGAGGCAGAAAAGAATGACTACCATGAAGACGAACGAAGTGGTGGAGCCGAGAATGACCGCAATGACCATCACTTTTGGCGCATTCTTGGACGGCCGAGGCATCTCTTCAATCATGTGCGTGACAGCATCGAAGCCTGTGAGGCCAAACGTGCTTTGGAGCAAACCAAGAATGAATGCCATCCCGTCCGGCCAGCCAGTTGTGTTGGTCCATCGGGCAAACACGTCCTTGGCAGGCTGGTAGTGACCGCTAGAGCAGGCAAGGAGAGTGATAATAACAACAACAATGCCGACCAGAGACCACAGACCGGCCGTAGAGTCCACGATTGGGAGGAGATGGATGCCAAAGACGTTAAGGAGGGTCGCCCAGAGGGTGAAGGCCAAGTAGAGCAGGAAGTTTTGGTACGGCGCTGGCTCAAACTCTTTCCAGAGGTAAGCCACGCCATAGACAAAGTTGGCGCCAAGCGAGGACGCCGTCGCCACCAGCGCAATCCAACCGGCATTTGCCATCCAGCCAGTGAAGAATGAGAGACCATTCTTGTAGCCAGCGGGAGCCATGATATCTTCTATCAGCATCAACCGACAGAATCCCAAGCAACTCACATGTCCAATCATATTGGCCTCCGGACATTGGCAGGTTGTGGGTAATCTCGGCCCTGTGACGGTGGTCAGTGACACACCGCTCCACGCCGTCGTTTGCTCCACTGTCTCACAGTGATAACGCCATAACCATGGCACCGAAAGCACTGGTCAAAAGGCCCCAGAGCATAGACACTGAGCCACCGCTAGGAAGAACGACTGAGAGGCTGAATGTCAGCTCCACTAGCAGTGTGCTAGGTGTACTCACGAGGCGGACCTGGATGCAAGGAGACAGTCAGTAACGCCTTTGGCGTTTGGCAGTTTGGAAGCCAGCTCCAGCTCCACTCACATCGCTGCACGATGCTGTCAGCACATCCACACTCCGTACAATCAAAGTTGACGTACCAGTCCACGAGTTTAGGAGCGCAAACGCGAGACCTAGTGCCGACAGCATAGAAAAGTTGCGTTCCAGTTCGACTTGGTGGCCCTCGAAGGCAGGCTTGACAAGGGCCGACCCAGACGCCTTCTCCTTGATACCATAGTCCGCTAGACTGTGAGGCGGAGTGCCTTCTTCGTGGGCCCAGACTTGTTGTTCTTTAGTCATGTTGTGGTGGGGATGCGAGTATCGGTGGGGTCGTGAAAGGGATGCCAGTCCTTTATAGAAACGGCTGTCACCCGGCCTTCCGAGGTCGATAACACGGCACGCGACGGCTTGAGAGATACGATGCTCTCGTTTGCGCGCACCGTGTGGGGCCTTTCCGAACCACTCCACGCCACCCCCGCCCCCACTCGTTCAGGTACTGTACACGTCGCATCTGAACAATACAATCGATCGACTGCGCATGCCGCACAAGCGTCGCTTCGACAAGCCGTTGGCCAACCGCACGCGTCGTTTGGCACACAAGCGAGCTCTGTGCTAATCTGGGACGCTGGCCTGTGGCTCGCCAAGTCGGCCCCGGACGAAGCCCCCGCACGCCGATCCTAAAAAAAGCTCAAAATCCTTCGCTAATGCATGCATAACTCGCCGCCACTGTATATATGACGTAGGGACCTCTGGGATCTGGGAGCTGGGATCTGGGAACACGTCCCCCGACTGTAGCTGCATAACGCGTCGCTAGTATCGCCTTGACCCGCCAGTTTATCTGTAGGGTGTGTGCGGCTGTACCTCATGCATTCACTGTTGTATACGCGTCCTCTATCCGTCAACTGCCTTGCGGAGAAGGTGTTCGGCACGAGCACACGCCTCTGCATACTGAGCAGGGATCTCGGGGTCGTCTTGCTCCATCCTGATGGCCTCGAACATTTCGAACATCATCGGACCCTTGAACCCCGTGGAGAGGACCGCCTTGACCTGTTGGACGACACGCGCGCCACCCATGTCGTCCTCGCCGCGAACAGCGAGGCCAGCGTGACGCCCAACAAGAGGAATGGGACGCCCGCACACTGCCCACACAAAGCTGTCCCCACGGGGCGAGTTAGCATTGATGCGCCAGGCATCAAAGTCTGAACCTTTACCAAGCGGGGTGGTAGGAGCCAGGACGTCGGAGAGCTCCACGTAGAAGATCTTGTCGCCGGGAATAGCGCGAATCCGGTCGAGAACGCCTTCAAATTCCTTGTCTGTCCAACCGTTGCCGGTAACGGGGTCCCATCCATAGCTGGGGGCCAAAGGTGTGTGGGCAGTGTCAAAGCAGAGGCCGAGGTTGGGGTGGTCACCGCGCTGAACAATGTCCCACACCGTCTCAAAGTCGGGCACACGCCATGAGAAGCACCACGACTCGTAGGCAATCTTGACAGGACGAGGCTGGCGAGCACCGAGTTCAGCAAGCCAACGCAGATCGGCGGCTGCAATGTCGAGGTCGTCCGTGGCGTCACGGAAGTCGTTGGAACCCACTTGAAGCTGCTCAATGCCAAGCTTGGAGCATAGCGGAAGCCACCGCTCGGCCTTGGCCTTGACCCACTTGGCACGCTCTGTTCCCGGAGCATAACCGTCAAACTGGTTGAGGGGCTGCAGCATGAGGATCGTGAGGCCAAAGGACGCGGCGTAAGTGATCATGTCGGGGGCCTTGGCGTAGAGTGCCGCCCAGATGGCATCGTCTGACGGGTCGGGCTCATCGGCCTCGGACCATGCGGGCGGGCAGGTGGACGCCGGACTGAAAGGTCAATGCGTGCACGTGGAATTCGTCCACTCACAGATCGGGCGTCTGGAGGCGAACCCAGGCCATGTACTCGCCGAACCCGAGCTCGAGATACTTGAAGCCGGCCTTTTGCAGTGCCGAGAACTTGAGCTCCAGCGTGTGGCACGACGCCATGCCGAGCGACGCGGTGGCGACACCAAAGCGGATCCCTTCAAACGAGTTTGTGACGGTCATGGTTACGTGGTAGTCTTTCAGTGGGGAAATGGGAAGCCTTGCTTGTGGAGCTTTATGCTGTAGTCGACATGGTTCTCGGTTGATCGGTTGGCCGCTGATTCGGACGAAGGAACCTCGGAGCTCGGTGGATATCTGTTGTCACTTCATCCGATCATCGGAGATGAGGCTCGTCTGGTGTCTGGACCCGGCCTTGGGATCGACAAAGACGATACGAGACTGCATGCAATCCGCTGGCGGAGAAGCCTTCTGCACAGCGTTACTGGATATCCGATGCACGGTGTTACTTGGTCGACAACTCGACAACTCGCCCCAGCCAACCATCCGTGCATCGGTTTGCACACGCTCATGTTTGGTCCGGCCCCAATGAGGACGCTCATAGGATGGGGCTGTGTATGTCAACGATTCAGCGGTGCATGTCGTTTCATGTCTAGCACTGCAGACCTCTACGGTATCCAGGATGCGACGGCATGAGCGACCAACGACGTTCATGCGCGATGCATCCCCGACGGTGGACGGTGGCGGCTGTCATTATCGCCAGCCACGCGTCGATGCTCAATCTTTATTCCTTATTAATGTAAGCAACCAATATCCTTATCCCTTCAATGAAATCTGCTGAAAACCCTCGCGACGGTGTTCGATTAGTCTATCTAAAACCACTTCCTAATGGCATCCCGTGTCTTGACCGTCAAAGATCAAAGACCTATGCCAAGGACACCTAAAACATCAAATTCATCGAATTCATCGGTGGCAATTTTGGAATTCATCACGGGATTTTGAAAATCACCTCCACATCCGCATGCAAAAACAACCCTTCATAACCGCATCCTCACGTTGCACCGACTTCAGCACGCTCTCAACCCAGCCGCGAATACTCACGATGACTTCAGAGAAATCGGAACGACCGCAATCGGCAGCAGATCAAGATGAAATAGTGGAACCGTCTGCCAGTGAGCTGCCCTTGCTCGTCGATGCCGGCTAACCCCAGGTCGTCTCCTCGTCGGACTCAGTTGGCTCGACCGCCTGTTACCGCTGAACGTATTCCTTGCCATGGTCATTGGTATCGTTATTGGAAAGTTTGCCGGCAACACAGAGGCCATCCTTGAAGGCGCCACTCTTGACGGTGTATCTATTCGTACGTGTTCGCCGACCTACATCGAGTTGACAGCCAGCCATCGTTGTGGGACTACTTGTTATGATGTGGCCAATCCTCACCAAAGTGCAGTACGAGGCACTTCCCGAGATTTTGAGAACGGCACACCTGTGGCGGCAAGTCCTCATTTCCATCGTCCTCAACTGGATCGTGGCTCCATTCATCATGCTGGGCATTGCGTATGCCACGCTGCCTGATCAGCCTACGTACCGCACCGGTGTCCTCATGGTCGGCCTCGCACGCTGTATTGCCATGGTCATGATCTGGAATCAACTCGCTCGTGGAGATACCAACTACTGTGCCATTCTTGTCATCATCAACTCGATCCTCCAGATCGCCCTTTACTCGCCAATGTCCCTGTTCTTTGTCAACGTCATCTCCAAAGAGCACACTCTCAGGTTGGAGTATGGAAAGACCGCCATTGCCGTCCTCATCTACCTCGGAATTCCGCTCGTCGCAGGGGTTGTCACCCGATTTACCATGCTGCGCTTGTTGGGACGTAAACGCTTTGAGGGCGTGTTCCTTACCTGGTTCGGTCCGCTGGCACTTATTGGTCTTCTTTACACGTGAGTACCGATGGCTTCCTCAGTGCTAACAGGGCAGCATCATTATCATCTGCTCTCAACAGGCCACCCGCATCCTTGATAACATTGGCGTCGTGTTCCGTGTCTTTGTCCCAATGATCCTGTATTTTGTGGTCATGTGGACCGGGGTGTTCGTGGCCTTCTGGTACATGAACCGTCGTCACCCCGACGGTGGCTATGGCTACCCCATTGCGGTTGTGCAGTCGTTTACGGCCGCTTCAAACAAGTAAGTTGGGGAGCGTGTTTATGTGTCTGTTGTTGCTGACGTACGCAAGCTTTGAGTTGGCCATTGCGGTCTGCGTGGCCGTTTACGGAGTTAATTCGGATGAAGCACTGGCAGCCACCATCGGTCCACTTGTCGAGGTGCCAGTGCTCCTCCTTCTGACCTATGTGTCGCTCAAGTTGAGAAAGGTGATGAGGTGGGATGTTTCCGAGTCTCCAGAGGGAGTTATTTTGTCTGTAATTGCATAGTTATCCATACATGTCCCATGTCCTCCATGTCACCCACCACCACAGCACCATGTGTCCCACCCACCACGCCGCCACTGAGAGGAAGGCGCCAGGCACAGCATTTAAATCAATTATTTGGTTCCGCCAGCACCCAAAATGGCTCCCACCCCGCGCTCGTCGTGTCCCGAGTTTCCTTTTTCCGTCATGTCGCTACCATCCACAGCATGCCTCGCGGACGCTCCATTGACCGCACTCTACCGCCCACGCGCTCCCTCACAGCTCAACGAGACTACCGCGCACGCAAAGTTGCCAAACAGCGCGACCTCGAAGACTCGGTCGCCCAGCTCACGGCCGAAAATGCTGCGCTGCGCGCCGAGGTAGCCGATCTGAGAGCCCGTGTTGCCCAGCCCGACTGTCTCGTCCCCTCCCAACTCGATGCCGTAGCCTCTGCGCAAGCCCAGCTGATGGCAGCCCTCCATCAGCTCGAAGGCGTCGTGGGTGGCATACCGCCAACGCCAGCCACTGGAGGGAGCTACCACTCCGCGGTACAGGAGGGCGTTGTCATGCCCCAATACGAGAATACAAGGCATCGTCAACACTCAAACCACATAACACCCTCGCTGCCCACCCGCTCCCTGTCAATGTCACCCTCACTGTCTGAAATCTCAATGTCAACCACCGATGCTCCACAGTTTGTCAGCCAGTTTGATCCCAACTGCTGCGACGGGTTGTTCGACTGCTCTGCTCTTCCCGGCATCCCGGTATCGGACACACGTTCCGTTCCTCCTCCAGCCCCGATGGGACCCCCAGTATCAATCGGTTACCATGTCCCGACCTCGACTCGAAACAGGAGCTGTGGCGGCAGCTCCGTTGTCCCCGCAATGGATCTTCCACTAGCACCGCATCCAGAAACAGACAAGTGCTGTCTAGGAATCGTCGACTGCGACCCCCCACCACCCCGCATCTCTCCTTAGAAATCTGTTGATTTTGTGTCCTTACATGTACCACTACTGTCGCTCTGTAACGCCCTCAAAGGCCGTCATCAGGACTGTACGGCCCCTGGTCCCATCGCTCATCGTACTCGTGGCCACGGTCCGCGTAACGCAAATCGGCACTCAGGCGAATCCTACCGCCTGGGTCCGTGTTGCCCAAGCTGGCATGGGCCATGAGCCACTGGTGGAATACGACGTCGCCTGCCTCATTGTTGCTGATCAGCCATCGGCGGCCTTTACCCTCGTGCCGGGCAAATATTCCGGAGTAGAGGGATAGGGCTCTTTGCAAGCCCATCTAATCCCTCGTCAGCCAATGAACACGCGGGTTTGGCCAGGTCGTACCCACGTTTGAGTTGTGTCCACTAACAGCCTCCTCCTTGCTGAACCCCTTCTCAACACCCATACGATTGAATTCGTTGTCAATGTCGCTACCGAGATTTACAGAGTCTTGGAGGTACATAAGACCGCCTTGAGCCGGGTGACAGTCGCCAACAGGCACCCAAGCGGTGACAGCCGTGTGGGTGGTCCGCCGCGGAGAAAGATGTGATCATAGTGCGTTCCCCTGGCAAAACAACAGAACATTCCTTCCATCATCAACCAGGCCGGTTTCTAACTACCACCCGAGAATCCCTTCCGTCCCGAGAGCCCTCAACCTCGTCCTGGCCAACATGCCTTGCGGTTGCGGTGCCATGAGCGGTGGAGATGGCGGAACGCCTGCGGCGGCAGGTGGGTCACTTTCATCGGTGAGCTCCAGCGCTCCTCCACCGCCGGCCAGACCACCTTTACTTGGCCAACCAGGCGGGTGGGGTGGGGACGAAAGCATGTTGCCAGATGCATGAGGGCCGTCAAAGTTCATGCCCGTAGGGGACGGCGTGAGGCGGCGGAGGCCAGGGGAGGCAAGGTCGACACCCATCATGCCCATCGGTCCGAGATTGAGGCTGAGGCCCCCTGGCCCGCCAAGGCCAGCAAATTGACCTGTGACCTCTCCTCCGTATGGACTTGCCATACCCCCGTAGGGGCTTGCGTTGCCCACACCTCCTAGGCCTACACCTAGGGCGTCAGGTGTAAAGCCATACGACACGGCGGTGGAATCGGGCGGTCGGAACGTTGTGGCGAATCCGCCACTGACACCACGTTCCGCAAGGCAGTGGCACTCGCACGCGGGGCAGTGGTCCTCCCTGGTATTGAGGATGCTGACAATACAACGAGTATGCGACGTGTGCGAGCAGACAGTGCACGTTGTTGCGAGGCCCCTGATGGGCTCGCGACAGCAAGAGCACATAGGGGGTGCCCGAGGCCGTTCACACGTTGAGCACGTATCTTGGCCCGGTGGCACGAAGCTGTCATTGCAGTACCGGCACACCGTCGCCAGTTCAAGCTGTGGGCGCCCCATCTCGCCCGACGCGGCGCCTGGCATTCCGCCTTCAACGGTCGCAAAGTGGTACTGGAGGATGGCGGTGCGTCGTCCAACAAGACCTGCTCGGAGGAGCATGTCGGCATACGCCAGTTTCCAGACCTCGGCAAAGGGGAGACGCTCAGGGCGTAGGAGTGACGTAGGAGCCGATATCTCCTCCATATCGAGGGCACCGAAATCGAGACGCACAGAACATGTCTGATGCCGGCGGCGCCGTTCGAGCTGCGGACCAAGAGCGATGGCGTGGCGTGAGAAGGCACGCCGGAGCGGTGACCCGCTGCCAAATGACACTTTTGTCGCGCGAGATCCCGGGACGCTGCTCCACCCGCTCCCGCCAGCAGCCGCGTCACTCGAGCCGGACCGATCACGATCGTTAACACTAGAACGTCCCGTGTGCGGAGCAGTGATAGCAGTGTTGCCGGGTGAGTTGAGTGGGCGTGGGCGAGGGTCACGGCTTTGGCGCTGCTGGCTGTCTCGGCGTTCCAGGATACGTCGAGGTGAGGCACCAAAGCCAGCGTTCTTTGGCGCACTGGACGCCAGTGGAGACGCAACAACCTCGCCCCTTGGGATGATCATGCCAGAGCGTGTGTGTGTCGGTTGAGTCTCGTCAATGACATCTGCTGGTGTGCGGGGCATCGACAAGACGTCAAAGCTTGTGCGGTCGCGTGGGGTGAGAGTCATTCCACGCAGCGAGATGGACGACGGGTTCATGAGAATCTGGCTCCAGCCCGATGTTCTCAAGCTGCTGGGTCCAGATGATGGGACTGGCGGGGTCGTGGGCGTAAGGCTCGAGTGGCGACGGCCGGCAGTGTGTGACGAACCAATGGTGAGTGTCGAAGCTCGGTGCTGATCACCGTTATCTCCGGTGGTGGGGAGGACAAAGTAGTCTTGCTCAGGGGAATGGTGAACCAGGCTTTCATGAACAGGTGGCGGTGGTGCTGTGCGGTCATGTTCCATGAGGATACACGCCACGAGAGCAAGTAGTTGAATGTCGGCGTCATCCATGAGTCGGTCGAAGAGCATATCAATCACCGTTCGTTTGCGTTCCATTTCACGCTCCCACATGACACGATCACGACGGGGGTCATCCTCACGCCGGAGTGCTGGATGGGAAGAGTATGGTGGTGGCGGGTCGTGCAGGAGGGCACGGAGAGAGGCCCAGATCTCTGCGTGGTCCAACCGTTTCGCATCAACAGCGTACACGAGGTTGGCGTCAATGGACGTGGTGGAATATTGAGCGGCAAGAGTCATGTCAGGTTCTTTCACGATGTGGGACACATTGTGAAGTGTGAGGGTGGAGCGCGCCTGCTCGGGCGCCAGCATACCCTTGAGCCTCCGAACATGCCTGCGGGACCGCGATGCCATGGGTCTGTTGGGATTTTCCAAACGACCTAGGGCAGCAATGGCACGATTGAGCGGGGTGTTGAAGGGGTCCCGTTGGCCAGACGGTGAACGCGATGCGGACGTGCGGGCGCGAGGTAGAACTGTCTGCTTGGGGAAGAAGCACGCCAGTTGTCCATTAGGACCAAATACGGCTCCTGTGGTGCGCACCAACATTGGTACATTTTGCGTGAGGGCCGGTGCGTCCGAGTCGGACTGGCTGCCCTCGTCGTCCAACACGCGCCTACCTGTGCGCTCGTGATAGCCCAGCAAAAACTCGGTGACGGCGACGAGACACTGGCGGCTACTGGCACGAAGCTCTTTGATGGTTGACACCATGCGATGGCGTGTGATGGGCGAGACAGTCGCGTTGCGCTCAAGCTCAAAGGTTGGGATTTCCGGAGCGTATGGGTAGTTGGGAGGGAATGACCAGTGAATGCGGATAAACGCAAAACGGTCACCGTTGGCCCATGGACCGTTGAGCGACATTGTGAGTTTGCGGAGAGAAAGGTCGACCTGGCGTCAGCAGGACGGAATTGAAACATGACAACTCACCTTTTCAAAGTTGACCTTTGACTTTGGAAACAGTTTGTGAACGAGCAGCACCTCATCCTTGAGGGGGATAAAATCACTGTTGGCATAGCTCGAATCATTCGCGGAGCCGACCCGCGACATTGACGTGGCGCGGTTGATGCTGAGCGGACGGATACCATCTCCGAGCGTCTTGCTGCGGCTGCGCGAACGTGACATGCTGTCCCCGGAAGTTGATGGGGCACGGCTGGGACCAGCTGACGAGTCCGAGTTGCCGACGTTGGCATTTGGGCCAGTCTTGACGACCTTTGTGAGCCACTCGATTTGGTCCATTTTGCGGGCAGTTCCACCGCCGCGCGTCATGCCGCTCTCACGAGGGTGCGCCAATAGCCGTTGCCTCGCGATACCACTTGGCGCCATTGGCGTGTGGTTGTCAACAATGGGGAGTGGTAGTCGAGATGTGCCGGTGCACTCGCCCGGGATCGCAGTAAACGTCCTCTTTGGGTCGGCGCCCTTGCGCGAGACTAGGACTGTGATGGGAGTGCCGCGCTTGTAACCCACACGCTCACACACTTCACGTGGAACGGGCCACACGCGCAGTTTGCGGTCCTTGCTCCAGGTGACGAGTTGAAAATCGCGGTCCTCGCAGGCCATGTCGTCGCCTCCGCGGACGCGCCACACAAACTCTTTGACCTGGTTCTGTGCGCCCTCGAAGCGTTCGACAGGAATGTCGCCATTGGCGCCATACATTTCCAGGGCTGTCTCGCCACGCTGTGGAAGTGAGAGGACACCGTTTCCAAAGGGGAGGTTGCGTGCTCGCCACACGGGGTACTCTGTCACAATTGTGCGTGCGACATAGGGCTTGTCGGCTGGGTCTTCGCCGTCGAGCCGTCCGAGTTCTGGCAGGTGCCAGGTCTTGATGGTCTTGTCAAGGGAACAAGTGACGAGTTCCTGCGCTACGCGCCTGTCCCAGTCAATGCCGTAGATCTTTGCGTCGTGTGCTTTGAGTACGGATAGAGGGATAGAACCCTTACGGCGGTCCCAGACAATAACCTCCTTGCCGTGCGCGGTAGCAAGAATATGTTCCGCACGACGGTTCCACTTGACTTGGGTTCCCGCCGCACCCCATGCTGACAAGCGCATGAACGGCCTGGAACAACCCATGCGGAGGTCCCATCCGCGAATGCCTGCGTCCATCGCGACAGTTGCCATGAGGTTGGGATCGATGGCGTGCCAGTTAATGTCCGTGATCGCGCGCTCGTGTGCGTCCACGCTCTGGAACAGGGGCACCTGGGCCGCGAGGTCCCATACCAACAGCTTTTGGCTCGAGGTTGACAGGATGAGGTTGTCTGTTACTGCGTGCGGTGACCACTGGCAGCTGGAATGTGTTAGCCCAGCCGACCCCCCCGGTGTTCAGCTACCCACTCGGCAATCTGCCATGTTCCTCCTTGTGGGACAAAGCGAGGAGCAGACTCGAGGTTCTTGAGGTCGAGAATGTACAGGCCCTTGCGTGAAGCCAGACATACATCGCGCGAGTTTGGCGAGATGGAGAGGCTGCCCACGGGCTGGTTGACGGTAATGGTTGCACCTTCCCAGAATGGATCCTCCCTCAGCAGCGACCCACTCAACAGGGTCCCTGCAGCTGCCGTGAGGTTGGTGGTCCCGCGGTCGAGCCTGGGACGCAATAGAGTGCGTGGACTGACGGACATGAGCGGCGGGATGCTGGACGGAGGACCTCGTGCGCCGTTACTGCTGCTGCCGCCGACGCCGCCGACGCCGCCTGCGCTGGTGCTCGAGCCGCGTCTGCTGGATGGGCCGCTCGGGGGCAAGGGCACATGTGACGGGGACGGGGAAAGCACCGCGCGCCGCAGGTGAGGCGACGGGCTCGCGGAGGAGCTGTCCATGTTGCCTAGAGGCGTGTCGCTAGCAAGGGCGAACGATGCGATGGAGGGGATGGTGTGAATAAGTGAATGGATGGATGGAAGGATATGTAGGTGACCGGGACGGCCGAAGCAAGGGGACCCGGCGACGCTGCCAACGCCCAAAGGACGTCATTTCAACGTCTCTCCTCCCTACCTCCGTCTTGTTGATTTTCGCGCCCACTCTCCATCCGTTCCATTTCAACCATTCCCGTCCCCGCCTCTCTTGGTGTCTGCCACCTCTCCTCCACGGCCTCTATCACGCACATTGCCTCTCCATGGCGTCGCTCACCCGCCCAGAGGCCATCACTCGCCTCAAGTCCAATGTCGGAGCCATCTCATTGTTGACCTTTGCCCGCTCCTTTTTCACCCCCTACCTCGCTCTCCGTGCGATGGTTGTTGGTGTCCTCGACTCGTTTGCATCGTCCCCACGTTCGGCGCGTGGAAGCGACTATGTGTGGTGGATTGGTGAGCACACACCTCCTTTCGCCTGATGCTGACGGCGCGCGCAGAGACGGCAATCACTGGCATGCTCCTCTTCAACATTGCCCAGGCAGCCTACTGCATCCAGTCCCCCAAGCCCGCTCTCCAGCCCACGCAAAAGGGACTGAAGTTTGTTCCTCTCTCCAAGTCGTCCCCTCTGGTGAGTGGAAACGGTGTAGTGTTGCCGCGGGGTTCAGTGGGTGGCTGACGTCTCCAGACTCGCTCGTACAACTCTTCGATACCCGACATGGTCTCGACTGCAACTTCGGCAGCCTCGCGCAACACCCAACAGTCTCCTCTTGCGCAGTCTCTGTACCGTTCGACTCCCACCCGTCCCTCACAGCTGAGCACTGTGACCCCCGAGCGCGGCGCGGCCTCGCCAGGCCACTCGAGTCTGTCATCGTCCACGGCCCGCGTCCTCAACCTCGCGCAGCCCGGTACGCCTAGCAGTACGGGTCTGTTCTACGACGACACCTCTTCCGCGTCCCCTTCCAAGGTCGCACGTGGAGCAGCTGGTGCGGCAGGTACTGCCTCCCCTGCTCCGACCACCACACGCTCCGACTTTGTGGTCGTCGACCGCGAGGAGCAAGAGTGGATGGACAATGTCTGGATGGGTGTCCGCGGTAAGAGTGAGGGCAAGATTGGTCTCTAGACTAGAGAGTACATGCAGATTACAATGAGTATAGTACTGTACTGTTATGTGTGCCACAGCTTGATGCTCTTCTCAGGCTCGAGCGAGCCCGTGGCGATCGACTTGCCGCTGGGGTGCACAGCCAGCGCGACGACGGGGCTTGTGTGTCCCTCGAGCACCTGCAAGACTCGGCGCTCCTGCAGGTCCCAGATTATAGTCTTGCCATTTTCAGAACCGGCAACGACCCATGCAGGGCGCGGTGTCTTCCTTGCCGGCGCGGGTGCTGCTGACAGTGCGCCGTCGTCGACGTCCATCGAGTTGGGATCCTTTTCCGCATGACCGTTGACTTGAGGTGCTGCCTGGCCGGCAAACACAAGTGCGGGACACGGGTATTTCTCGCTGACATACTCACTCGCCTGGAGAGTCTTGAGGACCTTGCCGTTGTGCAGGGAGTATATGCGGATTGTACTGGACAGAGTGGCCGACATGATGAAGAATGTCGAGGGAGTGAACGCGGCCGACGACCTGGATAAGGGGTGTAAGCTGGGGCTTGGTCTGTGAGAGCAGTCAAACCTACACCGGCGAGTTGGACTCGTTGTCAAACGTCTTCAGACACTGGCCCGTGTTCACGTCCCATAACCGTCTGTTCACCAGTCAGCTGTTGCAAAGGCACGGTGACTCACATCAAGCCGTCCGCGCCGCCGGTGAGGACGAGCGCACCCTCGGCGTCCCACCCGACAGTCCAGATGGCCTCGGCGTGGGCTGGCAGAGTCTGGATGGCCTTGCCACGCCGCAAGTCCCATACAATCGCCGACTCGTCGTAGCTTCCAGTTGCAAGAAGGTTGGCTCGCGGTCCAAAGGCCACGGACAGCACCGGTGCTGTATGGCCCGTCAACGTGCGCAGTGGACCGGGTCGTGATTGTGCCAGTGGATCCATGGCAAATACCAGTGCAGTGCCGTCGTCGCTTGCGGTGGCGAGGTACAAGCCGTCTGGCGACAAGGACATGTCGTTGATGCCTGTTGGTCAGTATAGGCATAGGACATGGCTGCTACTCACCCATCCTATGAGCTCGAAGGGACCGCTTGTGCTCGCCGTTTGCCGCATTCCTGGTCGTCAGAAACCGACCTTGTACATGTACCTCTTGGTGGGGACATACCAGAAGTGAACGTATCCGTCCGCGCCTGAGTTGTCAGTTCAATCGTGGTGTGTAGAGGACATACCAGCCGAGACGAGTGTTGTACCGTCATGGCTGAAGCGCAATGCAGTAACGGCGCGAGTGTGGGCTTTCAGAGTTGCTGCCGGCTGAAAGCAGGCTGCTGATGGCCCTTCAGTGCTTGGTCCCGCCGTGTCGGCGCTGTCCAGTTGGATGGCCATGGCGGCGTGGGGAATATGGAGGAGGAAAGACGAAGAAACGAAAACAAGAGCCAGAGATCAATCTCCCACCCAACTCGCCGGACGCGCCGCTGGGGCCGACTTGTCAATTGCATCATTCCTCCCTTCTCCCCCTCCACCATCCGTACCATCCACCTGCCCGCCCATCCCATTAACCCACCGCCGGCCATGGACGACTCGCTCGTGTGCCAGCGGTGCCACCAGCCCCTCCTTCGCGACACCAGCGTCACATCTTTAACTCAGAGCCAATATGGCCTCATTGCCGGCACGTTGCCAGCACCTGCCCCTCCTTCGTCTCTCCAACCAGCACAGAAGCTCCAGGCGCTCCCACCAGCCTCTCGCCCCGCCGCCGCCGCATGGTCAGGCGCAAACCCCATTGCCGAGAGCTACGTGTTTCTCCCGGACGCACTAGGCGGTGGACACGGCAGAGCAGGCAGTCCAGCACCACCGAGGAGCGCGTCGTCGGTCGCTCCTTCCTCCGCCAGCACAAGCCGTGCAGGCAGCCCCGCCCTCCTCGCCACCGAGCCTCCAGCTGCACCACCCGCCCAGCCCGCCCTGGCCGCCAAGCTGGATGCGCTGCTGTCGTCGCGCACTGCCATCGACCACCCGCTCTGCACGGAATGCACGGGCCTCTTCCAAGCCGAACTGCAGCGCGAGCTGGAAGAGCTCACACGCGAGCGAGACGCCTACATCAACTTTGAGCGTGGACTGCGCAAACGTGCCGACGCAGACAGTCTGGGAGACGACAGCACCGGACTGGTGGGGACCAGCGACGAGTGGGATGCCCTCCTCGCCCGTAAACAGGAGCTCGAGGACGAAGAACACGCACTCCGACTCTCCCTTCAGGAGCGTGAGACCGAGCTCGCGGCAGTCAAGGAGGACGAAGAGCGGGTCCGCGTCGAAGAGGCTGCGGTGGAGCGCGAAGAGTCAGAGTGAGCCTTTTGAACCTCACGTTAGGTACATGGACAAGTTTGCTCACATTATAGATTCCTGACCTCACACGCTTCCCTCTCTGGCCAGCTCAGTCATCTCGCCAATACGCTGAGCTCGGCCAAGACCCAGCTGCTCCTCAGTACCTACCTGTTACAGCATCTCGAGAACACCAACGTGTACAACGACGCGTTCCAGATTGGTCACGCGCCTCTACCGGATTCCAATGGCAAAAGCTCCGTCTCTGTTGGAACGATCAATGGTCTACGACTAGGAGGCCGTCCTGCTGTGGATTGGGAAGAGATCAATGCCGCATGGGGTCTTGTTGCATTGTGCATCGACCGCCTGGCCGTCAAGGTCGGGTGCACCTTTGAGACGTGAGTATGAATGAGGTCTTTGGTTGGGAACTGAGCTGACGACCTCTGGCTAGTTACAAAATCGTCCCCCTCGGCTCCTTTTCGCGCATCGAAGAGATCCCAGGCAAGGGCGTGTACGAGCTGTATGCGTCATCTGATATTTCGCCGGCACGTCTCCTCCAGAACAGGCGGTTCAGTTATGCTCTGGTAGCGCTCCTCGACTGTCTCCGGCAGCTCGTCGACTATGGTTACCGTAACGGCCGCGCCTGGGGCGGTGCGGGTATCGAGTGAGTGGCGCGTGTTTTGTTGTTGTTTAAATGTAGCTAACGGGCGTGAAGAATATCCAAAGACAAGATCAACGGCCATTCTATTCGCCTCCCTGGTATCGCAAGTGGAATGACTTTGGGTTCCATGTCTTTGATGGGGCTTGGCGGGTCGTCGTCTGCGCCTGGCACGGACCACGAGACAAAGTCCAAAGAGGGCAACCCAGACGAACAGTGGACACGGGCGTGCCGCAACGTGCTTGGCGTGCTCAAGAGGATTCTCGTGGTGGAGAGTGAGGCGGATCGCAGTGCATAGACATGAGTAACAACGGTTGTAAATTTGACGACGGCTATTCATCATGGGTTTGTAGCCAGGCTCTTAGCCAGGCTTGATATCGCGAGTGGAATATGCTTTCCTGTTTTGGTATAATGATGATAATGACACGGACAGCCGACGAGTGCATGTGCTGATCATGTCGAATGGCTACCATGTTTACGGGCTGTACTTCGCAGCGTGCTTCAATAAATCCCACCAGGGTTGCCACCACTACCACGGTTACCAAAATGCGGGAGTCATGTGCCTGGTGGGTGTGGTTCCAGTGGTGTCTGCGCGTGAAATGATGCATGCTGCGTGGCCCCTATCTCTCTACACCCTACTCCTCAGGCTCAATGACATTGGCGAGCACGCCGCCGGCCTTGACCTTACCCCAACCGATGAGACGCCAGTGCTTGTCAATGCGACGCGACAGGGCAATCTTCTCTCCGGGCTCACAGCATGCCGGGGTGGTGAGGGCAAGCGAGACCTCGTCCTTCTTGATGGCGAGGATACGGCCACCGGTCTGCGAGGCACCAATGTTGACGAAGAGGGTCTCGCCGACAGCGACCTTGCTGACCTTTGCCTTCTTGCTGTCATCGGTCTTGACACCCAACAGACGACGGAGAAGGTGGACATCGGCCTTGATCTCAGTGTAGATGCTGGGGCCCTGGCCGACACCGGACATGACCATACCGAGGAGACGGTCCGCACGGCAGAGCGCAGGGTCGACGAGGGTACCGACACCAATAAGACCACCGGGAACGGCAAACTGGAGGTGGTTCTGCTCGGCGAGGAGCGAGACGATGCGCGAACGGAGGGGACGGCAACGGGTCTCGCCCTTCTCGTCACGGGTGATGAGACCGGGGCGGATCTCAACCTCCTGGCCAATCTTGAACACACCCTGGAGAATCGAACCACCGGCAACACCGCCCTTGAGCTCGTCGACGGTCGAACCAGGCTTGTTGACGTCAAACGAACGGATGACAACCATGCGGGGGTCGGCCGAGAAGTCGTACTTGGGAGGGTCAATCTTGGCCAGGGCCATGACGACGGCGTCAATGTTAAACTTCAGCTGAGCCGAGACGGGGATGATGGGGGCCTGGCCGGCAATGGAACCCTCCACAAACTTGCGGATCTGCTGGGCGTGGTCGACAGCCTCCGACTCGCGGACAAGGTCCATCTTGTTCTGCAAGATGACAATGTTCTTGGGGTCGACACCAATGATCTCGAGGGCAGCCAAGTGCTCGCCTGTCTGGGGCTGGGGGCACGACTCGTTACCCGCAATGAGGAGGAGGGCACCGTTCATGACGGCGGCACCGGTAAGCATGGTAGCCATGAGAATGTCGTGTCCGGGGCTGGCGTGGCGAGTTAGCGTCACGCACACTGTATACTACCATGTAAAATCAATCCAACTCACCAGTCTGTGGCCCGTCAGCGTCGCTCTTCACTGGCGAAAGTCATGTCATGCAATCCACACTCACCGACAAACGAAACGTGCCTAATCAGGTCCATGCGCGAGTCACAGCCTGGGCGCTCGCACTTGGGGTTGATCTCCTTGGACGAAGGGTAGGAGCGGTAGCAGGTGGGGGGAGGGCATGCGGGGTTCTGGCACTTGTAGATCTGAAGAGAGATGTCAGTGGGTGACTCATGGGGTGTCGAGAGACATCGAATTTCCGTAAGGTGGTCCAGGAGGGCGGCGACGAGGATGCACAACAGCATTGCTCCTCGACATTCATCCCCAGGTGCGAAGAGCGGGACTGGCTCTCGCCACCTATCTGCGACTTTCCCTCTGGCCTCCCACGATGGGTACGCACCTTGGCGTTGGCGTAACCAAGCTTGATGGTAATGTTACGCTCGAGCTCGTTCTTGAAACGAACGGTCTGGACGCCCGAGATGGCGCGAACAGTGGACGACTTGCCGTGTGCGACGTGGCCGATGGTACCAATGTTGATCTGGAAATTTCGTGTTAGCTCCGCCGCTCGTGATGGGGAGAGGAGACGGTTCAGCGGCTCTGGCGGCAAAAGAGTGACAAAGAGCGGACTCTGTGCAGGGGACGGCTGGACTGGGGCGGGAGGAGCAGCAGCACCGCTGCTGCTGCTGACTGGAGCAGGATGCTGCACACTGTTCGCCACCGAGAACCGGGCCGCAACCTTTGCGCTGAGAATCCCTTTTTTTGCCGCCCAAAAGCGCGAGAGCGTGCTGATTGATGTGCAGCTCTGCAGCTGGCAGCCTGCAGGACACTCACGGTGGCCTGCTTGGAGATGACCTCGGGGGAGAGGGCGGTGAGCTTTGTGACGTCAACCTCGACCTCTGCGATTGCGAGGCCGGACTCGTCGGTGAAGCCGGCGCGGGGGTCGTTGACAGCGGCGGCCATTGTCGCTGATGTGGGGGTGTGTGGGTGGGAAGGAAGGCGAGTTTTTGGCGAGGGGGAGGGGGAAAGGGGGAGGGCTGTCTGGGCGAGTGAGGTCGCCGGGGGGTGTATGCGGGGACTATGAGGCCGTTGCTGGTGCTGGGGCCTGTTTTGATGGTGTGAGAGGTATAAAGGTGTGTGTGGAGGAGGCCTGATCAAAACGAGTCGATGGACCGTGGTGGAAAGCATCCCAGGCCACCGCCAGCCCGCCAGCCAGGCAGCGCGCGGCCACACCACCCCACACGCACACACGACCGCCGCCCAGGCAGCTCAGCCATGAATGTGCCACACGGCCATAACGCCGCCCTCACCCACGCCATAACGCCGCCCTCACCGAGAGCGCGCCGCCAGCCGCTCTCTGTGGCCCCGTCGTTGGGTGGTGGGCCTGGGTGTGTGCACAGGGGTTGGCCGGTGGGTGTGTGAGCAGCGAGCGAACATGGTGCACACCATCCACAACTAGTCCCATCTGCAACAACAACACCACCACAGCGACAGCGACACCATGGCCGGCCCAGGTCAGTCCTCCTATAGAGCGCACACACACCCCTCGTCCGCTCCCCTTTACTCACTCCCCGCCCGCAGGATTCCACCCCCACGCACCCTCGCTTCTCCACCGCGGTCTCGCAAAGACCCTCGGCGCAGGCATGTGGTTCTTCATCTTCTACCGCGCCAGGTAAGTGTACAAGGGTCTCACGTTCACCACCTACCCTCTGGCCCCTCTGGCCTCTATGGCAAGATGGTCGATTCAAGGCGTGCAGAGACGACACCCCCCCACTCGTCGTCTTGCGTTGCCGCCCCTGCGGTCCTTCCGTGTTGTTCAAGTGCTGCTACTCAACCACCCGGGGCCAGAGAGGCTTCATACCCAAAGCCCAGCACATCTGCCAGCGTGGTTCGCTCGCCTCTCTCCTGCACTCCATCCGACCGCAACGTCGTCCAGATGACAAGCTGACACGCGTTACAGGCAGGACGGCGCCGCTCTCCTTGGCCTCCGTCACCCCTGGGACCACGGAGACCACCACGACGAGCACCACTAGGTACTATTCAACTACCAAACAACAACGATAACAACAAACAGCAACAGCAACCAAGGCATATATCGCTAGCAACGTAGAGTGAGAGATGAAGCATACCCAGGATCCCACACAAAGGACTCGAGGAGGGCAGGCCCGCGCTCGTCAGACGGCACCGGGGGAAGGTGACGGGGGAAGGTGAGACAGGGCAGGCAAAGCGCGTCTGATCTCTGACTGTTCGGGGAGGGGGGGATACTACACCCTCCCCGCACATGACGACCAGTGTGTCAAGTTCTTGCGTTTAAAACGCGGCAAAGGGGGCGAGCTAGGCAGTTGTGACGAGCGGGACCTGTGTCAAACGCGATGAGAGGGACGTCGAGGGTATGATCCCTCGGCTGTCGGTGTCATCGTTCCCGCCATATGGCTCACCACACTGGGCGAACACCCGTTAACGGCAGCGCTGTGGTTCTCTGGCGTACGCCAGAGGTACATACATTGTTGTGGGTGTGGCCTGAGCGAGGCCGTGTGAGGATGGTAGGCGAGAAGATACGCAGGGCTAGGCAACCTGGGCAGGTGGACAGACTGGCCTCTGTTGCATCCTCGTGCCCAGTCACCTTGTCTTGAGTTTCATTGTGCAGTGGTTTTGTTTCCTGGTCCTGTAGCTGTCTTGTCTAGATTCCTCACAGTCAGAGCAGGGTACCGTCACTGAACCGACCACCGCAATGTTGAATCCACAGCCGAATCATTCATAAGTACGTGGACAAGCCTTGGGCCGGGCTGTGTCATACGCGAATACGGTGGAGTTTACTGGTGGCTAGATGCTCAAAACACTTGTACCTTGTCCCCGATGGCTGTCCATGTCACCGGGGGGCCGGGTGTGGTGGTGGGGTTGCGCCACTTGCCGGACCGATACTCTAAGCGTTGTCAGAGGTTGTATGATAGCTGTGGTGCGGTCCAGTAGTGTTTTGCGAGCCAGGTTTGTCCTAATGACATGAGCTGAAGTCGACCACTGGGACTTACCGCACACCACACAGGGGGGGCACCCGATTCCGTTGTCTCCATAGAACAGAAGCTGGATCTTGGCTGTGGCTTGAGGTTCCCATCCAACACTCCCAGCAAGCCTGGCTAGAATATCGAACCTGCCCGCTTCTGACGACCGAATACAGATACGAACGTTCACGTCCGATTGTTTCTGCAGCTCGCGCTCCCACTTTAGGAGGCACGAGTTCATCTCTACCACTGAAGCGAGGCGACCGGCAAAGTCTTCATAGACCACCACCGACTCGCCTTGCCGTGGAAGGCGGTGATTGAGCAAATCGTCCGTTAACAGAAAATGGCACGTGATACTCTGTATGCGTCTGGCTGGTAGGCAGAAAAGTATAACACTTTGGGCCCCTACCAAGCACAGGTCGGGGCAGTCAAAGAAGACAACCCCTGGTCCTGCGGCTTTGGGAATTCTGCCGCGATACCAGTCTCCAAACAGCGAGTCCGAACGCGTGCGGTAGCAAAGGGTGCGCACACGTGGGAACAGTGGAGTGTTGGGGACGGCACCAGCGATGGCACAGAACATGACATAGTCGGCTTCCGAGAAGGACGCGATGAGCGTCAAACGTTCGACAAACTGCAATGCACGTCGCGTACGTGGACTCAACATGCCTCCAGGCGGTTGAAGTCTGCGATGGAGGCTGCGGGTCACGGCCCTCTGCGTGGGGGCAATGAGTTTGTGCCGCTCGGCCAGTTCAGCAGGTTGGCCACCGGATATAAGCAGTCGCAGTCGCTCCGGGTCGAGGGTCATGTCCTGGTAGAGAACTTGCGCACCGGCGTCCCACCAAGTCGTGGACACGGCGAGCACGTTGATCAAGGATCGTTGGTCTTTCTTTGGGTTGAGGTAGGAGACAATGTGACGGACAAGTTCTGGAGGGAGGGTCACGACATCGCCAGCCCGTCCAGAGTGGTGCCCCGGAGCTTGCATAACGGGGAGACCGAGGGTGAATAGATTGACGAGATTGACGTTGTCTAGCGAGCTGGTGTAAGGAGCCAAGCGGGAGCGAGGGATCGTCACCAATTGAACATTGAGGTGAAGTGCAGAAAGAGGAAGAGAAGTTGGCAGTCGGAATACAATCGACGTGACAAATCGCATACAGCGGGTCCCAACGGATTCTGCACTGCTGTGTCAGCACAGCAGTACAGCAGTGCGTCATTATCACGTTGTTGTTGGAGAGGGGGGGGGGGGGCGAGATTTGCGAAACTCTCCCCTGTACCCCTGTCTTTGTGTCGTTGCCTCTTCCAATCCAACGGAGATCAAATTAGCAAGTTATTCGCGACGGTTACTGCAAACACAATGCTCAAAGGACAGTGCTACCTACCTACAACGCCTGCCTCGACTCTCCCCATCCCGCGGAACCGTTGTTTTGTTGTTCCGTTCTCCGGCCATTGCAGTGCTCGCACTTTACGACGAGCGACATGGGGTTTGAGGTTGACGGTCGACAATTTACCCCAGACGGAGGTGCGCACAGGCCACAGGCGTTGGATGATACGATACCATTCGCGCCACGCTCAGACTTGTCCTGATATCCATGCACATGTCAACAACGACCACACAGTTGTGACGGTGAGGAGCTGTAACAGGACCACAACAGGCAGCAGTCTGAAGCGTCTTCCCTAGGCCCCTAGAGGCACATTCACGAAACGGCTGAGGTGGGATGCACATCCGTGCTGGGTGCTCTCGCAGGAATGACCATTTGCAGAGAAGATGCTCAGATGCTCATTCTTAAAGAGCCAACCAACATGGGGCCAAGCGGGCAGGTCGCCGTTCCCATTTCTACTGTTACTTTTATCACCCATATCGTACCATCCCATCGCCACTGGTTCAAGTATGCGAGTGCTCGCGTTCGCTTGTCTAGCTGCTCTTGCATCGCAAAGTGAGTATAGAACTGTGAATTATCCGCCGATTACCGAAATGCTCATCAGTGTTTAAAGTCAGATGCTGCAATGCTGCGCCGGTCTTCTTGTCCAATAGAGACGGAACGGTTGAGCCCAACAATGGGGGTGACCTGGAGCACCACCATCTTCCTGCTGTTCCCCTCTTTCACCTGGATAGTCTAAGCGGACGTCAAGCCTTGGAGGCTCCGCTTTTTGGGCCGAATGGCATAGACTACCGGGACGTGGTCTAAGGCAAGGGGTCTAACTGCTGGCTGGTGTCTGCCATTAAAGCCATTGCCCAACACGCTCCCCATGTATTTACCACTATGGTACAACAGAATGCGGACCAGAGCGTCACTGTCAACCTTCCAGCCGACCCTGAGGTAAAAGGGACCAAGAGTCGGCCACCGCCAACAGCTTGTCACAGGGTTACCTATGATAACATTAAGGATGACTCACGACTGTCGTCACTGGATGCTGATCTGCCGTGGTACGTACCTTTGTGGACGAAGCGTACTGTACAGTGCAAGACACCCGCAATGTTCTCAAGAAAACGTGTTGACCCCATGTTGCAGGTGGCCCCGCGCCGTTATGTATGCGTTGATGGAAGAGCGCAAGGTCAATTGCGACAGTGGACAGCATCCCAACCGTGTTATACGTTTTCCGACGCATGCGCGGGGAAACCAAATACTTACTGTACACCACAGGGTTTAGAACTACTGCTCGGACAGAAAGTCGATTACATTAAATTGCCCAAGTCCATCGCGAAACTCAAAGAGCACTTTCAAGACGCAGGTGACAAAATCACCCTTGTGGCCTCGAAGGCCAAGCCTGACGGGTTCGAAAAATTCGAGAATGCTGAAGGAGAGGAGGTAGTCCTCACCAACAACCACGTCTTTGAGGTAACGTCAGTCACCTCAAAAGGGTATGTCACAGGTCAAAGCAAAACGACATCTAACAACTCGCAGTGCAGAGCTTCTTAGCCCTTGGTACAGGTCAATGACCAAACATTACGACTGGGAAGACCTCAAGGGCAACCTCATCGAAATCGCCAAGGCGGATATTCCGCCCGTCCAACCAAACAACCGTCGCCAAGCAGCCAGTTGCCCATCCCCTCAGGCTAAAGCCCAAGCCGCTGCAGAGGCAGCCGCCGCCGCGGCTGAAACTGCAGCTGTAGCTGGGGAACCTGCTGCCGCTGTAGCTGCCGCCGTAGCCGCAGTAGAAGGAGCTGGACCCGTAGCTGCAGCTGCAGCGGCAGCAGTTGAGGCTGGCCTCGACCCTTTTGCAGTCGCTGCAGCCGCTAAAGCAGCCGCGGAAGATGTTTACAACAGTGATTTTTCATCGTCCACCGACTCTTATGGGTCAGCGCCGGCTACCGACGGCCGGATTAAAACATTCATGCCTACCGTGGCGACCACCAGGTCTGCTCAGTCGATGGGAACAGAGGATGGGCCATCGGCAACGGTGACTCCTGCAGACAGCACCCCAAGCCCTGCTCCGGAATCGTCCCCGCTTTCTGATTCCACAAGCACGACTTGGACAGAGAGCAACCCAACCCCTGTCGCCGAACCGTCCCCTTCTGCAGATTCAACACTCACGCCGTCGATGCCGTCCACCGAGATGCCCACCAGCCAAGCTCCCTCAGACGAGGAGACGGCGGCCACTCCTGCGCCATCGACCTTTGTGTCCCCAGAAGTGCCACCGAGTACTTTTGTGACTCCCAGTCCCGACGTGACTGAGAGTCCCAGTCCAGAAGTGGCTGATACCCCGAGTCCAGAAGTGCCAGGGAGTACTTCTGTGACTGATACTCCCAGTCCCGAAGTGACTGAGAGTCCCAGTCCCGACGTGACTGACAGTCCCAGTCCCGACGTGACTGAGAGTCCCAGTCCCGACGTGACTGACAGTCCCAGTCCCGACGTGACTGACAGTCCCAGTCCCGACGTGACTGACAGTCCCAGTCCCGACGTGACTGACAGTCCCAGTCCCGACGTGACTGATACCCCCAGTCCAGAAGTGCCAGGCAGCACTTCTGTGACTGATACTCCCAGTCCCACAGCAATGGAATCCCAGCCGACGCCATCAACGACCCCCACAACAAACGTTTATCTTACCCACCCGCCTTACCCGATACCCGTTGTATCCTCCCTCACGTCTACCACCACAGACAACGTCTACCTTACCCACCCACCGTACCCGATACCTCCTATCCCACCCTGTGCAACATCGCAGTGCTTCACTACCGAACCCACCACCCCGCCCACTGATCCCCCAACGCTCGTTGAGCCAACCCCTACACCAACTCCTTCACCCTCATCGTCTTTCAGCTTCGACGATCCCATTACAGGTGCCATGTGTATTGCCCCCGACGGACTGGGTATGATGCCCTGTCCTACCTGGAATTAGGCTTAGTTTAGCGCCTTGCTGCCGTCTTCTCAGTGCTTCGCGATACCAGTGACTTGAATAGCATCTGGAATGCACAATACCCGTCGTTTCTGAGCCTTTGATACCGGGGGACATACTTTGAGTCCCAACTTGCAGTTCTTGTAAACGTTAAACAGCTAACATTGAAAGCACCCCCCAGCACCCGTATTGTGGCTCGGCCGTGGGGCACTGCTAAAGCTGTTGATTGTGCACTCGTTTAAGACAGTTAACCATTGATTACTGGCCGGAGCAGCACGAGCGGTGTCACCTGTCGGCTCCATGGAAGTGAGGGGTAGAGAGTGCACAACGGCACATGTTCGCCTATTAGCAGTTTTGCCGACCGTTGCCGCGCTTGAAATTCTGTTAAACTCCTGTCACCTGTGGCATCGTCCTGCATATGTTCAACCTGCAATACCACTCTCACCACGCCAGGCAGTTTAATGCGGACGGTTCCGAATGGACGGTGTGCTGCGAAGATGCTTGGTTCAGAGGGACACCAGTCTGATTCAAGATTGTCTTTACAAGTCGTTTCGTTCGACAGTTTAACAGACAAGTGGGGCTTAAGCACCATGCTGACGAGCATATAACTTGCTGGCCTTGTTTGACATGCCCTTACCTCACCCACACACACCCATTCTTCAATCCAAATACCACCACCATGCTCACTCGCCCAATGTCCAAGTGCGCTACGTGCCCCAAGTTTCTCTCTGGCGTGTGCAGCGGCAAGCCGCAACCCGTTGCCAGGGCGTTGGCGACCCAAGTGCAGGACCTGCGCCGCGACAAACGTGAAGGAGACATCAGCAGCACGTTTACGACTTTCTCTGGCCGCAAGCCCGAACCCCTTCCTCCTCGCTTCCGTGACCTCAAGGTCAACCTAACCTCTGGGTTTGAAGAGGCCATCCAGAAGAGCTGGGATAAGCTCATCGAAACACTCAAGGTCAAGACTGAGGAAGTGGCAACGCAGCGCGAGAAGGTGGGTGAACTGGCCGGCACACTACTGACTCTCCAGATGATCCCGATCGCAGACTTCAAGGATGTGGCCGCTGGGACAGTGCCTGCTGAAACCGAGGCAGCGGTGCGTCGCACTGGTGTCATGGTCGTACGCAATGTCATGCCCGAGAAGGAAGTCAATGGTCTCCTTTCCGATGCCCGCGAGTATTTCGCAGCCAATCCGTTCCGGGGGTTTCCCTCGGATGAGGCTCAGAAGGTAAATGCGGTGAAGCCTGTGGATGATACTTACGTCAGGTGGTGTACGAGTCCTACTGGAGTCGCTCTCAAGTACGCGCTCGTTCACACTCGAACATGCTCGCCACACAGCGGTACATGTTGCGTTACTACCACGCTCCAGCCGAACAGCGAGGTGTGTACCATGTTCGCTTTTGAAGACGCTAACCTTTAGTCGACCTCAGTACCCCGCTCTCTTACTGTGATCGTGTCCAGATCCGCCCACCTGGCGACACAAAGTTCGCTCTTTCCCCTCACGTCGATGGTGGCGGAATCGAGCGCTGGGAGGACAAGGCATATTCGTCCACGTATCGCGCTATTCTTCAAGGCAGGTGGCAAGAGTATGACCCCTGGGACATGACTGGACGTGTCGAAGCCAACATGAACATGTACAATGGTGAGGTCCTCGTATCGATCCAAACTCTAACGGCAGGTCCCGGTGGATGCTCCGTCTTCCGCGCGTTCCAAGGATGGCTGGGTCTCTCTGCCCACGGCCCAGAGCAAGGTAAGCGGCTTAGATGGGACTACTGACATGGTGCTGACCGTAAAGGCACTCTTGTGGTCCATCCCATTCTTCAGGAGTCAACGGCATACTGGATGCTGCGTCCCTTCTTCAAGCCAACTGTCAAGGGTTCGCTGGAGGGCTGGAAGTTTAGCCTTGACGACACTGAGGGCAATGTTCTCTTCCACGGCGCTAATCCTGGTACCCCGCAAGAACACACTCCCGAGAACCACCCTCACCTGCGCCTCGAAGAAACAATGATCCCCTATCCTCAAGTGGAGCCCGGAGACACTGTCTTCTGGAGCGCCGACACGATCCACGGTACGGAGATGAAGAACACTGGTACGCAGGATGCCTGCGTCTTTTACATTCCGTCTGTCCCTCTTACAGACGGCAACATTGTTAGTATAAAGACTGGGCAGCAGATGCGCCAAGGTCACGTTATTCTGGTGAGACGAGAAGCTGGCGCTAACCTTTGCAGCAATACATCGCCCAGCAACGCGATTCGTTCCTCAAAGGTGTCCCACCTCCCGACTTCCCTGGTGGTTCTGGCGAGTCGCAGTACGCCGATCGCGCCACCGTCGCCGACATTGCTTCAGTCGAGGGCAAGCGCGCACTCGGCCTCGCCCCCTTCGAACGCGTGGCTGGCGGTGGCAAGGCGAACGCCATGCGCATGGCCGCCAACAAGGCTCTGGGCTATGCTTCCGACTAGACTCTGAAGGGACTGTGAGAATGTGAATGTAAACGTGTAATTTGGACGGCGGTCAGTCTCGTCAGGTGGCGTTTTGGAAAATGCCCTGTTCTTGGTGTGCGGTTGGCACTGACAATGTCCATTGCGGTCTTGTTTAACCCTCTCTACAAGCAGCCTCTATCTATGAAGCATATTGCGACTTTGACCTCAAACGCGGACCGACGCGCGACAAAACGAATCTTCCGTCAGCTGCGAGATTCAACGGACACTCACGGGATGGGTGCAAGAAGTGCAGTGAGTCCTGCAAGCAAGGCGGTGGCTCCCTCTGGGCCGAGATTCTTGTACAGCTGCATCTGTCAGTCGAGACGCCACGCCTCACAGGGTTACTCACCGGCGTGGCAAAGAGCGGGAAACCAGCAGCCCATACGCAACGGAGCAAGGTGTTGCCGGCCATGGCGGAGGCGGCGTTCTTTGGGTACGTTGCGATAAGGAATCCAAACACGCAGGTGAAGATGTAGACTGCCTAAGAGGTTGGTTAGCCTTTGGTGGTGTCACACTTGACTCACTCCGACGCCAAAGATTAGAGTTCCAATCATTGGCATGATCCATGGCATCTTTTGAAAGCTCGAGAGCGAAAACCAAAGCAGTCCTAATGGTGCGAGGATGGCACCCGCCATGCCCACGGGTAGGCGTGCTTCGGGTGGAGCCTTGCCGCCTGCGATGATGGATTTGTCCTTGATTCCCCGGACGAACAGTGGCTGCGTCGCAGTTCCGATGACCATGCCGAGGCCCAATGCAAAGAAGGCAAGTCCAGTTTCACCCAGTGTGCTGAGAGTCAGCTCTGGCCTCAAGACGCGCGTTACTCACAAGTTGTACAGTGTGCGAAAGGTGAAGGGGATGGCGTTAAAGAACAGGTAGATGATACCCAGTACCAGTGCGGTCCAGAGGTCCATGGCCAGTGCCATCTTCTCGACAAGCATCATCTTGATCGGTACCCACAGTGCGCCAGGGAAGACGTCCCCAACGGTGCGGTCACTACGCTCGGCGGGTGAATGCCATGCAGCCTCGCCAGTCTCGGAGCGTTTTCGCCTCGCCTCCTTCTTGAGTACAATGGGGAGGAACGTTTCGGGTACAAGGAACCAGAGGAGCACGCACTCGACGCCCGACCAGCCGATGATAAGATAAAAGGTTGCGCGCCAAGTGACGTTTTGGTTGAGGTAACCTCCGAGGATCGGACCCAGGCATGGGCCGGACAAGGGTGCGAGAGTGTAGATGGCCGTCGGCATGTCGGTTGTGCCAGGACGAAATAGGTCGGACACGCTGCATGTGAGTGTTCGAGATCGCGTATTGTCACTCACGTTCCACCGGCGACCGAAAGGAAACCAGCGCCGCACAGGCCGGTGAGGAGACGAAATACGAGCAAGATGCCCATGCTCTGCGCGGTGGCGATGGGAATGTTGAGGATGGTGAACAACGCGACTAAGAGAGGTGAGTCGGAATCAAGCGCGGGCTCACTTACACGAAATGAGATAGATGATAGACCTGCCGTAGAACTCGCTGAGCGGTCCCAGGAACACTGCCGTCAGTGACACTCATTGGGCATTGACATACGAGCTCCGATACCAAATCCGAGGACGTAGAGGCTGACACCGGCGACAGCTTCTATGCGAGGGACGTCGAACTCATCCTCGAGGTTGCTATAGGTGCTGGCCTGAATGGAGCTCGCTACAGTGACGCACACTGCAGCGGAGCACACTACCAGCAGGATGGTCCATCGCTTGAGAGCCGACCAGTTCCAGGGGTGGCGGGGGTCGGTGGGAGCAAAAGTGACTAGGTACGGGTCTTGCTCCACAGCCCACTGCTCGGCAGCACCGGGGGCGAGGAGGGGGTTGGAGAGGTCTACCGACTGCTTTCCGTATGGAATCGAGCTCCAAGACGATGGCGACGACGAATGGTGGGGGAGTGTCAATGAGATGGACGGGCGAGGTGAGGATTCTGGGACTATTGTGGTCGAGCTTCCTGCCAGGGGTTGAAGCTGGTAGTTGTATCCACCGACGTCTGCCTCTTCGTCGCGGGGGTCGTAGAGGGAAGTTGGGCTAAGGTTTGGGTGTGGCGGGGCAGCGCCGTTTGGGAGAGTCGACATGGAGGTGGTGCTGGTCTGGGTCGAGGGGGTCTCTGGTGACCAAAGGGTGTTGTACGGTGGGTATGCGGTCATTGTGACCTGGGAGGATGGATGCTAGCAGCAAGATGATGTGTTGCGACTGGAAATATCCCTCTCTGCCTTCTGAGAGAGCACAGGACGAGGTTTGGTTATCTCCGTGGTTTGTTGCCACCAGGCGGCCGGACAACGGCACCAAGACAAGGGTATGTATCGCCTCTTGGGGCTACTGATGGTAGAGTAAGTATGGGGAGCATCGCCTCTAAGCTGAAAGCTTGTCCACTCGCTAATGTGTCGTTGCATGCATATGCATGCGCGAAGCGGGGGGGATGTGCAATTATGCAACGAGGCGGTGAGAGGCACACAGATCACAGATCACAGATCTCAAGAACGAAAGAGGCACAGCTTGGGGGGGGTGCCTGACCCGCGAGTGTGAGGCATTTGTTATCCAAATGGTCCCGTTGTAATCGTTTTGGTGCAGCGGTGTTTGTGGCACACTTTATGCTGTCTGACCATCAAAGGTGATCCAAAAAGGCGGTGGTGTCGGTTTAATCGGTTTCAAACTCTATAATCTGGCTGGGTATCCTAGCAGTCTGGCCCGCGCTCGTCCAGTCCAGATCCATTCCGCCGTCCGCCGTCCACTGGCCATCTGAGGGACCAAGTCATCACAGTACATCCCGCCTCCCGCTTCACCCCACAAGCCGAAAGCCGACAACCTGCTTCGGGCCAGTGCGCTCAGAGCTCCACGTGTGAGGAGGCCACTCACACAGAGCACACAGCAACAGGCCCACAAAGGGCACGTTCGACGGAATTCCTGTGCAGAGAGAAGCATCGAGGCATCGCAGAGGGCGGCGGCGCAGGCTAGCAGGCATCCCACTCGAGGTAACGGTCCTCAATCTCCAACTTCAAGCTACGCAGGCTGTCCTACGAGGACCGATCCCACTTTCACTGAAGTCTCACTGCGCATCTATAAATGACCAGAGGGTCTCCAGAAGAGTACCACAGCTCTCGACTTTCGTACGCCTACCTACTCCTCCACAGCCACAACCTTCCCCACCCACAGCCATCTCCATCTCACCCAACATGTCCGAGTCAGTCACCATGAACGGTCTCACCACTCCGCCCCTCAGTCCCGGCTTGATCAAGAAACCCGTCCAGCTTCCTTCCCTCGACGTCAAGATGGCCTCGCTCAATCTCTTGGACCGCACTGGGCCCTTGACGGCTACCGCCACCTCGCCCTTCCACATGTCGCCCATCATCGGTGCCACCCTACTCACCGCAGCGGCCAAGCTAGCCCGGAACGCCGAGCCCCCCATCATGTCCCCGACTTCTCCGCTCGTCATGTCGCCCATCCCGCTCAGCAAGTCTGCCTTACTCGGCGCAACCGCCGCTACCGGTCTCCAGCTCCCGCCCAAGATGTACCACAAGATTCTTTTTGAGGGACAGATCCGTCCCGTGGCGATCACTGCGTTTGAGGACCTCCTCTTCCTCACCCGCGTCGCCAAGTGGAAGGTGTCTTACCACGAGGGCCGTCCCTTCAACCGTTCCGAGCAGCTCCCTTACTGTGAGCCAACAGCGAGTGTTCTCAGCTGACCAACTCAGTCGGGCGCGTCGATGAGAAACTTGTCCGCCATGCACTCGACCAGACAATTGCCGAGATCTGGGATTCGGAAGACAAGCGTGACATCGCCGATCGCGCCAAGGCTGCAACTCTGTCCAACCTCGTTGTCTCCCCCTCAACCCCTCTCGGAGAGGTTGTCGGCGCCCTCCAGAAAGCGTTCGAGCTGTGCACAAAGAGCATTGAGCGCTTTGGTGGTGCGGGCTTTACATCCATTCGCTCGAGCGGTGAAGCCAAGTCTGCCTTTGAGCTTACCCTCAAGCACCGCCCCGACCGTCTCGTCATGGAGTGGCCCTCGAGCATGGGCGAGCCCGACCTGCTTGCCGCCTTGACAAAGAACGCTGAGACCCTCCGCGAGACCGACACGGACCCCACCTTTGTCGACTTTGTCGCCTACCACGTCGGCTACGAGCTTCTCCGCTCCGGTGCCAAGCTTGACACCAAGGATGCTCGCTGGCTCGGTACTCCCGGCTTCCGCAAGGACACTCAGACGTTTGTCTCCCTCACCGACCCGGGAGAGGGTCACATCTTTGGCACCACTAGGCGTGCGCGCTGGCTCAAGGGCGCCATCTGTCACGTCGAGCACCTCGAGCGTCCCGGCAATCTGCCACGCGAGGAGATTGAGTCATACCGCATTCCCTCCATCTTTGAGTTTGCCCGCGTTCGTCTCCACACGGGCAAGTCGGCCCCCAACACATACTTTGTTGGCCGTCGCGTCAAGGACTCGGTCTCGGGCAACTTTGCCCACGACTTTATCAAGGTGGTCAACCTGACATCGGCTGCTTGCTCGGCCGCGTTCCAGCTCGGCGCTGCTGAGACCAAGGTTGCCATGGATGGTCTGACTGCTAGCGAGCAGATTGCCTACATGCGCGCCATGTCCGGCCACGTTCTCCGCAACTACAAGCAGGTCCTGTCCGCTGCGTACAACCTCAACGCACCTCTTGTCGACGACCTCGCAGAGCCCATCGTGGGCGAGGATGGCAAGTCCGAGTGCCCTGTCCTGACCGACAACTTTGCTGTCGCCAAGCGCGGCATCGAGCTCGCCGCCCTCGGCGGTTTCGACAAGGTCACCTTTGACGGCGCCTCGGACACGTACCCGTCCAAGTGTGTCATTCTCCAGGTCAGCTTTGAGAAGGCGCTCGAGCTCGTCCACCTTGCACACCAGGCCGGTCTAATCACCTACATGTCTGCTGGTTTCAAGTTTGACCACATTGCCGACGCCGTGTATTCTGGCGTCGATGGCATCGGCATTGGCGGCGCGCAGATCCTGCGTTACATGGACAGCAAGACCGGTCACCACGGACCTTACACTGAAGAGTTTATCGACCGCATTGACGCGGAGCGCGACCAGGCCGCAAACTCGCTTCGCGGTCGCGGTGTCAACCTCCTGTGCCGTCTCGACCGCATGTTTTACGAGGGATCCATCACCACGGACGAGGAGACCCTCCGCCAGCCGCTGTTCGAATCCCTCCGCGACATTAACGAGGAGGCGATCACCAGCATCCTCGCCTCGCCTGTGCTCGCTGGGATTGTCGCCATGGAGCACGACGGCGAGTCGCCTGTGCTCGGAAATGCACACCGTCTACTCCGCAAGAATACCAGCGACGCTCTGCTCAAAGCCAACGTTCCCGCCGCGTTTGCGGCCAAGTGGGACAAGCTTATCCGTGACCTCTTCGCCTTGATCAAGCACCCGGATGAGGAGACTCTTGCCCAGTACTACCGCTCTCAGCCGTGGACTGAGCTCAGGGAGGAGTACGCCAAGACTGTGAGTGTCTGTCGCTTTTGCCAGCATGGGCCATGGCTAACAAGTCAGATGATGACGACTCGCGGTGACAGGCTGTACACGATCAAGACTGCGCCTCATGCGCTTTGAATTTCCCGCTGGAGACAATTAGTGGCCATTGACATTGTATATAGGGCTGTGTAGTTTGAAAACGCACGATGTGGTGTGATGCACGAAATGACTGTGTGACTGTCAGAGATGCAGATGCAAAACGGGTTCTGATAACGGCGGGGCTGTGCATATGCTGTTTTCTGTACCTGGAGGAGTGTGCAGTATATGCTTAATGCGTCTGGCTGGCTTGCATGGCCTGGCCGGTGGCCACCGGAGAAACACATTAACGCATTCTTCGATCGAATGGCGCTGGTGGGTTCCGGTGATCCCGGTGAAAAGAGGGCGATGCTGCCAAGAATTCCAAAGAATGCAAAGAATCCTATTTCGGGCAATGAATCGTCCACACGGTCCAGCGAGATCCACCCCACCTCCCGGGTTTCTCAGCGCCGCGTACATTATAGAACCCAACTGCATGCATGAATGCAGACTACTATGCAAGCTGCAAGGGCTGTGTGTGCACCGCACCAGACACCAAGCGTACGGACAGGAGACCGTCCTTCTAAGAGTTCACCGGGTGCCTGGCGTGATGACATACTTTTACGAGCCGTTTTGTCCGAGATCCCAGACCTGAATGCCATTCACGTCCATCCCGAGATCCCAGTGCGTTCAAGCGGTGCCGTTCGGTGAACCCATACAACACAGCGCCAGAGCACGGCCCCGGCCGGTCCTTAGCCGTCACCTACGTCCACTGCCTCCCAGTCACGGCGTCCACCGGGCACGAGGCACTGAGCAGCCCCCACAGCCAAGCAGAACCTACAGCATCGCATATCCGCCCCCCACCTCCTGACGGCCAGGCGGCCAGACCACCGCCCGATCAAGGCGTCCCACATATCGTCGTTCCACAGCTCCACAGATACACTAATCTCCTCCATAGCACCGCAATACACGCCCTTGGAACCACAGCGTGACTCTGGTTGAGATCTGGTATTTGTTTCACGCATCTGCCATATCCGCAGCGCCTCGGCAATCTTTGACTGTTCGTGGCACAGCCTCAACGCGGCTTCGAGGTAGGCATGTTGAGTCCAGACACACAGCCCGTCAAGGGGCACTTTACGCTCGCTCAGAGCATATAATCAGAGGATGTCACACTCTTCCGACCTCACCCCCACTACTTGCGCTCTCAACCAACCACTTCACACCTCTCACACACAGACACTCAGCATGCTCGCTTCTGTTTTCACTGTCACGCTCCTCGCCTCGCTCCTGGGACGCTCAGTCGCCGCCCCCACCCCGGCCCCGGCTGATGAGGACCCAGCGCTCGCCAAGAGGCAGAACGCTCCGCTTTTCGGCGGCTGGGACCAGGACCAGAACGTCACCGAGCTCGTCCAGGAGCTCTCGGACCAAGTCAACCCCATCGACGCCGATGTTCTCCTCCCCGCTGACGGCTTTGTCTTTGACTTCTTGAGTAAGTGCAGATGACCGTAAGGCATAAGTACATAGCTAACAAGTGCAGAGGCCAAGAGCTTTGGCGGCGGTGGCAAGGACGGCGGCGTGATTCTCGCCGACAACACCATCTTCCCCGGCGTGGTTGGAAACGGCATGTCGTGGCTCGTTGGATTCCTCGGCGTGAGTTGGCTGGCCCTCTCTGACTTTGGCCAATTACTGACTCTGTTCAGCCCTGTGGTATGGTCGCTCCCCACAACCACCCTCGTGCCGTTGAGTATCTCATGAACATTGCGGGCCCCCCTCTTGCTGGTGGCTCTTTCAATGAGAACGGCTCGCCCTTCTTTGAAGGTAACGTCTCCGCCGGCGAGGTTGTCGTGCTTCCCCTCGGTTCGGTCCACTATGTTTCCAACACGGGCTGTGACCCCGCACTCATTGCAGCTGCTTTCAAGTGAGTGGTTTCTGGTCACAACGTTTGATACCCCTAGCTGACACCAACTGCAGCTCTGAGACACCCGGTGTCGGCTTCCTCTCGTCCATGTACACCGCCTTTGACCCAGAGACTATTGATGCCGCCTTTGGTGACGACTCCGCCCAGGTCTTTGATAGTGAGCGCCCACGAGGAACCACCCCTGCGCCATCTCACTAACACCTCTCAGCCTCAAAGATCCCTGCTGCTGTCAACCTCGGCCACCAATCGTGCCTCCAGCGCTGCGGTATCAAGGCCGACACGTTCAACATCAACGGCAAGCTGTCCAACCCCGACCTCATGAACATGGCCTTTGCTGGCTACCTCAAGGCTCAGAACTTTGACTTTGCCGGTTACGACGCCTCGACGTTCCAGCAGTACAACTAAGGATGGCACGAGGACATGGATTTCCAGACCAGAACAATGTAATGGACTGTATATAGAGGAAACTCTTCGTAGAGTCTAAATAATTAATAAGTGTATAGAGGTGAAGGCGACCTGGATATGAATAACTTGAGCTACTTGCAAACACATTCGAGGTCGGAGCCATTGCTAGCCCGAGCTAAGGAGAAACTGCTTTTTCTTTGTTGACACTCCTCTCTAAGATGCGGCACTGTCTCACGCCCAACGGCGTCTGCCATGGGCAGGCAGTGCTACACCAGCAGTTGTACATGAGACCCGTTGCGCTAAGCAGTAGTCGTGTCCCGTGTATGACATATTACTGCAGTTTTCAACTACAGTATGTGCTCAATTGGTGGCATTGGAGATCACGAGGCACATATGTACAGTACACAGAGCAGGCTGTGTTGCCGCGTGCCGAATTTGCCACCGACTCCATAGTTCCACGTTTGCCACCGTATGTAGTCGCAAACCTTCTTTCATGCATCCCCTTCTCTATTATTTCTGATGCACGACACAGCTCGACCCAGGGCGCCCGCAAGTGTAAGACAATCCACATGTTCTGCACAGGACGAGCAGCGGCTTGCCATACCTTCTGCGGCACGTGGCACCGCATCGATGCCCATCTGGGCTATCCTACACATTATTTATAAGCCTTGCACCGCTTGCCATTATTCAGCAGCACCGCGTCGAACGCGGCATGTGTGCCTCATGAAGTTGAGCGCTGGCGGTCCCTTGTCGGGTACATAACAACTGACACCGGCACACTACAGGCCTCACCCATCCCACTGGTTCTCGCCCTTGCCCAACTCTCCCTCGCCATGGTGTCCTTCCAGAATTGGCGCGACCGCCGCTCGGCTGACAAGACGGCAGCCGAATTCAAGTCTCCAGAGCCCGTAACCAAGACCTACAATACTTCTAGCACCCGCACCGGGCAGCGCTCCATGCCCTCAAGGCGCCTCCGGATCCTTTGTCTTCACGGCTATCACGGTTCAGCCTCTGTCATGCGTTCTCAAGCATCCTCCTTCGCTGGCGAAGTGGCTCCATATGCTGATCTGGTCTTTATCAATGCCCCATCCCTCGCCAAGGGAAGCTACGGTTGGTGGCATGCCCGCTCCAACATGGCCGGAGGCGGTGTTGTGTACTCTGGCTGGGGCGACACCAAAGCGAACCTCATCGATGTCTTTGCCAAGGAGGGTCCGTTCGACGGCGTCCTTGGCCTCAGCCAGGGAGCGGTCCTTACCAGTATCCTCTGCGGCCTCAACGGTAGCCACGGTATCAAGTTCAACTTCGCCATGATGGTTGGCGGCTTTTTGGCCAGCGATACCGAGCTTGAAAAGCTGTACGAGCGCCACCAGAGGTACTCCCTCCCCTCCATCCACGTTTACGGTCGCCGTGATGGTATCGTCAACCCCAGCGCAACCCTCGAGCTTAGCCGCGTGTTCAAGAACCCGACAATTGTCGTTCATGAGTGAGTTGACAGGCGGGGAGCGTGGGCATGGCTGACGCACATATGCACAGTGGCGGTCACGTTATTCCGCAACAGAGGGATGCCGAGGCGAAGATGGCCGCATTTGTCGTGGAGCAGTGGGCGAAGGCTTGATGGGAGATGGTAGAAGGAGTATGTTGTTGTACATAGATGGATGCATAGCTATAGATGATCCCTCGCCTCGATGCCTGTGGTATGCCTGACATATTCAAGTCCATGCCATTACAGTCGACTTCAATGCATCACCGGTCACCACTCCAACTTTGAATCTCCGCACGCACTCTCCCCTCCGCACCCGTTGGTTGCGGTCGCAGCAACGCCGCCCATCTCCTTTGCCGTGTCCTTGCGAACCATCCACTTGGACGCACCAATCACAGCGTCCAGTTCGTCTTCCGGGGGCAGGAGGATGAGCAGCTGGCCGGCATCGGCCCGGACTTCAAACGCCAGCACCGAGTACTGCGCATCGTTTGTGCAGTCGCCATTGTCTAGTCTAAAGTTGCGCTTATGCAAGGGGCAGCTGACGTAGAGGTCGCCGTCCTTGTCGCCAATGATGCCGTGGTCGAGGACGAACGCGCGCTTGTGCGGGCACATTTGCTGTGTGGCGTAGTAGCCCTTTTGCGGAACGTGGAAGATGGCCAGCTGCGAGTCCTTGCCATACCTCACCGCCGCCGACGTCGTGTTTTCGTCGTTTGGCGCCAAGTCGGACACTGTGGCCAGCGGGACCCACTTCCACTCAGACTTCGGCGTGGGCAGGCTGGTTGCGGCAAACTTTTGCGAGGGAAACTCCTTGGGCCAGTCCGCGGCGCGGGGCTGACCGCGCTCGGCGATGATCTCGATCGCCTCTCTGCGCTCGGGAGTGTTGACAAACTGGCGGAACTTGCTGCGGACGTCGGGGTTCTGGACGGCCTTCTTCCACTCGTCCTCGTACGTGTCAACCAAAGACGCCATCTCTGCCTCCAGATCAGCACAGATGCCGAGCTCGTCGTCGATGAGAATGCGCTGGAGTTTGGCGAGGCCCCCATCGAACGACTCGACCCATGGCGCTGTGCGCTGCAGGTGCTCGGCGGTGCGAATGTAAAACATGATGTATCGGTCCAGGATGCGAACGACCTTTGACGGTGGCACGTCCTGGGCGAAAAGCAGAGCGTGACGGGGGTTGGCACCACCGTTGCCGCCAATGAAGACTGGCATCAGCCACAGCCCAGCCAACCACACTCACTGTTCCAACCCTTGTCCGTGGCAATGAGACCAAAGTCTTTGGACTGGGCCTCCGCGCACTCGCGCACACAGCCAGACACGCCACCCTTGAACTTGTGCGGCGCACGTACACCGCGGTAGCGGTTCTCAAGGTCAATAGCCAGTCCCACCGAGTCACCGACACCAAATCGGCACCACGTCGAGCCCACACATGACTTGACAGTGCGAAGTGACTTGCCGTACGCCTGTCCCGACTCGAGTCCGACAGCTTGAAGTTTCTCCCAGATATCGGGCAGGTCTGGCTTCTTGGCGCCAAACATGTCGATTCTTTGGCCACCAGTGATCTTGGTGTACAGGCCGTACTCGGCTGCAATCTGGCCAATGGCAATCAACTGCTCGGGCTTCACCTCGCCACCAGGGATGCGAGGGACGACAGAGAATGAACCATTCCGCTGAATATTGGCCATGAACTTGTCGTTGGTGTCCTGGTTGCCGTGGTGCTTTGGGAGCATGACGTGCTGGTTGTGAAGACCCGCAAGCACACTGGCAATGGCGGGCTTGCAGATCTCGCACCCTTGTGAGTTGGGGACGCCAATGGTCTCCATGATGGTTCGGAAGTCCTGCAGTTTTTTCACCTTGACCACCGCCAGGAGGTCCTGACGGCTCATCTTGATGTGGGCACAGAGGCTGTTGTCAGCAGAGATTTACAGAGCGGCACCCACCTCTTGTTGATCTGGTGGCCCGCCTTCTTCATCTCGCTTTTGAAGATGGCCGTTACAAGAGGCACACACCCGCCGCACCCGGCCCCAGCCTTGGTCTTGCACTTGATGTCTGGTAACTCGGTGATGCCGTCCTTGACACATTGAGAAATGACACCCTTGGTAACGTTGTGACACGAACAGACGACAGCGTCGTCGTCTAGGTCGTCCCCATTCTCCTCGCCGTTTGCTTTGGCACCCAGGATAAACTGAGAGGGCGGAACGTCGAGTGCTTTCTGCTCCAGTCAGACACAAACCTGCTCTCTTTTCACCTCACCTTCTTCTTGGTGATCGCAACAAGCTTTGTAAAGTCGGAGACGTCGCCGATCATCATGCCGCCGATCAAGTGCTTACCATCCTCAGTGAACAGGTACTTTTTGTACACGGATGCGATGGGGTCGTGATAGGTGAGACATTTGATGGGTCCGTCGGCAAGCAAGTGTCGTCGACTCGGCAAGGCCTGCTTGATCGCCACCTCCCCCTCTGCCGCAGGAGCCGGAACAGGGCGAACTGGTTTGGGGGGCTCACGCGAGTCGGCAAAGTAGTCTCCAAAGCTTGCGACGTCCACACCCATCAACTTTAGACGGGTAGACAGATCAGGGGGGTTCATCTTGCGGGGTGCGTGCGAGCCCCGTCCATACGTCTGAGTGAGGTTGAACGCCAGAATGTCGGCCATCTCCACACCAGGCGCAATCAAGCCATAGTAGTTTCCCCGCCAGCTGGCACACTCGCCAATTGCATAGACGTTGGGGATGTTAGTCAACAGGCTGTCGTCCACAATGACACCGCCGTGCCGGGCCGTGTGGATGCCCGCTGACGCGGCGAGGTCGTCGCGTGGTCGGATACCGGTGGCAAAGATGACCATGTCGGATTCGATCCGTGGATCGTTGAAACCGGTAAATGTCGGCTGGCCGGCATCGTCCACAGACGTCGAGATGCTCTTGGGCGAGCACCTGGTCAACACCTTGACACCCATGCCTTCGATGCGCTTCATCACCAGCTCTCCTGCAGGAGCGTCCAACTGCCGGTTCAGGGGGTAGTCTTGACGGATCATGATCGAAACGTCGGGTACACCGGGCATGTCGTACACTGCTTTGGCTGCTTCCAATCCAAGAAGCTGGGGTCAGAACGTAGGCAAAGAGGGAATACTCACACCTCCACCGACGACGGTCGCCTTCGTGACATTGTCCCTTTCTGCGTACTGGATAATGCCTTCCAGGTCGGCGATGCTGCGGTAGACGAACATGCCCTTCGTCCGCGCGGCCTCCTCACGGGTGACGTACGGCGGTACATCAGCCACCGAGCCTGTGGCGAGAACCAGAATGTCGTACGAGAAGGTGTTTTGACGTGATGTAATGACTGTTCGCGTCGAGGGGTCGATACTGGTAACCTACAGGTGGTCAGTCCCGGGGGGGGGGGTGGCGTTGTCACTGCGGGTGCCTACCTGTTCGCCGATGTGAAAAGCAAAATGGTCTGGGTTCTGTTTGGCATACCAAGACACTTCGTTCAGATACAAGTCCTCAATGTTGCGGTGTTGAAAGTATTCTGGGTGTCAGGATGATTGTACGCCTATGAAACTCACCAGTCAAGCCTACACGGTTGTACGCGTACGTCGGCTCCTCGCCGCACGTCCTGATAAAATACTTGCCCGCAGTGTCGAGGGTCAGGAGCTTCTCAATGAACGCAATGCCGACCATGCCAAGGCCCACGACCATGACCTGAGTTCGTCGTTCTCCTGGCAAATGAGACTTGCTGCGACTGGCCTGGCGGGCAGTGCTTGTGCGGCGGGTACTGCGGCTACGGCTGGCAACGCGGTCCATCCGGCCGCCGATGCTGCCGGTTCGGCTTCGAGCTCTGGCTGTGGTGGACATGTTCGATTCCGTAACTGGGGGGACTCGTGGGTGCTCGCTTCAAGACCATCCGTCAGAGTCTTATGACGAGAGTCGGACGCCGCGGACGAGGCCCACGCGCAATCACCAACGTCTTGGCATTGTGCTTGACGAATCCCGTCGCGGGGATTGCACTCGGACTGGAGAGTCGACTGGATCTATGTACATACATATCCGCAGTATCGTTGGCGCTGCGCGGCGTTGGCGGCGTCGGGGGTCCGCAGTGTGGTGACATGTAACCCTGGCTGGGTGAGTTCTTATCATTCGTAATTCCCTGTCTCCATCGCGATCCTTCGCGATTGCCAAGTTCTACACTGATTCTATTGCTTATCAGTGGCCTTCGATCGCGCGCCCTGCAAGGAACCGAAATGAGGCGGCGGGGGGGCGGGGGGGCCACCGCAGTTCCCCAGCCGTCCACTCCCAGTCCCATCCACGGTGCTTGTCAGCCCTTCCCGCTTCTCCGCCGTGGGGCTCAGGTTCATTACCATATATTACGAACTAGCGGCGGAAAGTAAACAGACAACGGAAGCCGCGAGGGATAACGCGATAAGCCGATAAGGCCATCTTTGGCTATGGCACTGTGGCGCTGCCGCCCAGTGGCCCCGTGGTACCGTCACCCCACAAGGACCCCCATGCGGCTCCATAACAGTCTAGCATTTAAAGGTGCTGCAGTGTTCCCCGTCTGCAAGCATCCAGCCAGGACCGCTTTCATTCTCCCATACGAACACACCCCACCGCAATGGACGCACTAAGCCCAGCAGAAGTCACAGCAGGTAGGAAACGTCCAACGGCGACTCGCTGATTGGGCCAGGCTTTGTGAACACTGGCGCGAAGAAGGCCGCTCAGCCCTACTATGTCTCCTTCTTCAAGGCGTGGATGGCCGGCTGGATGGTGAGTCACCTTAGAGTCACAAACTTGCCCATGTACCGGTTGTCTACTCAGGACTAATTGCCAGCTCTGTTTCGGAGCCATGCTTGTGCAGCTCATCCAAGGTGGCTCTGGCACTCTGCGAACCGACTACCCGGCCTTGATTTCGCTTCTTGCAGCATTCTTCTTTCCAGTCGGTCTCCTGATGCTTGTCATGACGGGCCAGGAGCTTGTCACGGCCCACCTCAGTGAGTGGCGTCTCCATTCAGCAAACTGACGCCAGTGTTTATGCCGATGGCCTTGCTTAAGCGCCGTATCAAGGCCTGGGAGCTCCTGGTCAATTGGATTGTTGTCTTCTTCGGCAACTTGGCGGGCGCGCTGTGCTACGTCGCTTTCATGGGTGAGTGTAAGGGGAACTGCTCGAGATCGAGACCTAATGTTCAGGGCACTACTCGCACCTGTACAACACGGACGCGTTGATCAAGTACTCGCAGACCGTGTCCATTTCCAAGACGGGCGAAGGCTGGGGCCCCTGTGTTCTGCGAGGCATCGGTTGCAACTTCCTTGTGTGCACCGCAGTGTGGCTGGGTGCCGGATCGCGCGAAAACTCGTCAAAGATCATGGCCATCCACTTTCCCGCTATGCTCTTTGTGTTCCTCGGCTTCGAACACGTCGTTGTGTGAGTTGCGGGTTCGCGTTCGTCGCTAATGAACTCAGTAACATGTACTACATTCCGGTAAGCGCGATTTGGTACCATTTAGTATTGGGGCATGCTAACGTTTAGATGGGAATGCTCAACGGCTCGGGAGTCAAGGTGTCTCACTACATTGCCCAGTCCATGATTCCAAGTCTAATCGGCAACAGTGAGTGACTGACGTCTACTTCGCTAACGTCTTCAGTTATCGGTGGCTGCCTACTTGGTATCCCTATGGTGCTCTTCTATGAGTCGCCTGAGCTTCCGCTGTTCGATCGGCTTCCCGGCCGCAAGAGGAGTGCTCGCAGGCCGTCTGTCATCGTCGAGCGCTCGAGCGGGCAGGTGACTCCCATTGACAACCAATCCGTTATCGACCACAGTGTTAAGCCTGGCAAGGAGCGCTCATAAAAAGGGAATAACGTTGTATACAGCTCGAGCAGTCAATACCATTGACGGCGAGCCAATGTTATGATCGTGGATTTGATTGGGTTGCATTTACCAGCAAAGTCGTCTCCTCCAAGCGGAAGCCATATATGTACATACATACCCGCGATTACTTGGTTGTCACTGCAAAGTGGTGTCGCGCGAGCGGGGTGTCGCGGGGCCGGGTGGTCGAGACTGAGAGGCTGAGTTGAAGGATCGAAAGCAACTACATACCCAGATCGTGCTCGAGTGCTGTCAACTCTAACAGTATGTGCCATTACCTTACGTCGTGGTACTGTACGTAACAGCCGATGAAGCTCATTTTCAACAAGTCCATTCAGAGTTACTACGTAAACATCGTTTTTTTTTTTCATTTCCGTCCTTCCATTTCCTTTCAGTTCTTCCTTATTTCACGTGCATCTTTTCCGGCCCCTCGATAACGCATTCTCTTCAAGCATGGGGCTTCTTACTAGGCGTCAGATTGCACGCTGCGACGGTAGGCGGGCATGAGTGGATACACCAGGCCTTTCTGGCGCAGAATGTAGCGCTTGAACCAGTACGGCGCGACCTTGGTGACTTGGTAATTGGAGAATGTGTGAGCAGGGACGGCGAAGACTTGGTCCAGCTCTTCGAGCGTGAGCTGTTTGGTCTCGGGGACCCAGAGGTAGATCCAAACAAAGGCCAGCGCGTTAAGCCCAGCGTAGAAGCCGAAGGCACCGGTTGGTGTGAAGGCGCGGAGGAGGCGGGGGAACGTGAGCGAGAGTACGGACGCCCACCCGTTATTCCATGCTACGCTGAGGGCCATGCCTTGCTCGCGTTGGGCCAAGGGGAATACCTCGGCTGCGTACATGAATCTGGAGGTGTCAGTGAGGGGCTCCATTGCCATCGGCTACTTATGTTTCTGTTTCTTGAGACTCACGGGACAGGACCCTCGCCTAGCGAGTAGGCAATCGTAAAGAGGTATACAAACATGGCGACGAGCGAGGTTCGGATGGTCTCGTCCTTGATGAAAAAGCAGAAGCCGCCGGCGAGTAGTGTCCAGCACATGTTGGGGAACGTAGCGAGGAGGAGCGCCCGGCGGCCATACGTATCGATGGTGAAGACTGCAGGGATAGCAAAGACAAAGTTGAGCGCGCCAAAGCCGATGGACGCAAAGAGTGCTTGCGAGTCCGAATATCCGCCCTGCTTGAAGATTGTCGACGAGTAAAATGACATGACTGGAAAGTTAGCCCACACGCGGCAGCGCACTTCGGCTGACTCACTGTTGATTCCGCACATCTGCTGCGCAAGCATGACGACGAGTGCCGCAAGCGTCGCGCGCCGACAGCGGGGGATGGTGAACAGCTCGACGATGCGAGAGACATACGTGCGTCCCTGGACAATCTACCTGTCAGCCCCCGTCGTGCTTTTGGCATACCTTCTGTTCCTCCGAGTACTGGACATATGCGTAGAACAGATCACGGGCAGCCTGTAGCTCAGTGTTGCGGATCCTGCGCATTGAGTGCCACGCATCCACCATGCGGCCCTTTTTCATGTACCACCGCGGGCTCTCGGGACAGAACAGGATGCCGACGGCGAGGGGTACGGCGGGGATGAAGGCGGACCCGAGCTGGAGGCGCCAGGCAATCTTTCCAGTGTCCTTGACCACGGCATTCGCACTTGAGCGTCAGTATGTGCGTCTTGTGAGAGGCGTGGCTCACCAGAACCCGATGAAGATGCCAAATGCCGTCCACAGCTGCCAACCCATGGTGAGTGCGCCACGGATAGGAGCAGGCGACAGCTCGGCGCAGTACATGGGCACCGTTGCTCCCTTGGCACCAACACCCAAACCCATGACAAGGCGCACAGCAACAAGCGCTTGCCAGCTGTGCGTAAAGGCCGAGGCGATGGGAGTGGCGATGAGGCAGAGGGCGGTGATGAATATTTCACCGCGTCGGCCGAATAGATTGTTGAGTGGGTCCGACACTGCAGTGACCGTCAGCATTGACTCTGTCAAGTGACAGGTGGGACTGACACCAGCATCCTACCATTGCAGCAGCAATGTATGGGGACGAATTAACAAAGCCGACTATCCACTCGTCTCGCGCACCACCTGGCTGGCCAATGGGTGTGGCGATGCCGAATTCCTGGGGGAACGAAAGGTCTGTCGATCAGCATAAGACACAAGCACAAACTCACTTGCGCCATTGGAACCAGTCTGGTCCCAACCCTGCGTGGCCGCTCCAAGTGCACAGACAACCACTGAATAGTACATCATCCACGGCAGGTGCCACTTGTGAGCCAGCTCGTAGGCGAGCGACGTCTTGTCATCGTCGTCGAGTTCGGCCATGGCGGCAAAGTCGTAAGGGCGCTGCGCTACGAGCGCGCCCTTGCGGAACACATCTTTGTATTCCTGGAGACCGTGGGCATTGACGAAGTCGTCGACCTGTGCGAGGACGCTGTCCTTTGAGAGGGCGACTAGGGTATTCTGGGGGTCCGCTTGTTCCACGTGGTGTACAAACGGCTTGCCGCCGTCCTTGCTGTCGATAATGTCAGAGTTGGACATGGTAAATTGGTATGGTCCAGAGCGATGCGGGTCCCCAGGTGAGATTACCTGGGGTTATGTATCAGTGAGGGCTGGATACACAATGGGCACCGGATCAACGGAATTGTTCCAATGGATGTTCTGTTCCTGGCCGACTCTCCGACAACTGGCCGACTCATCCCCGTCCATATCGCGCCACATCCGAATAGCCTGTTCCATTGCTTCAGGCTATCAAGTTGCCCTGTGTAGGCCTACTCGGCAAACTGCTCTTCGATACTTGACATGATCGACAAGAAAGCTTGGGTTTGGTCAATGTGGTTTACGACACGGCTTTGCTTACCAATGAGGTACTGGGCAATCTCACTGTTGCCTTCTGTATCGCCTGGCAAGCCCTCAAGAAGTGTAACGGCCACTACGCGGATTTTGGCCACCAGGGAGGGACCGTTGGCCGCTAGAGCCTGGATTGGAAGGCTGACATAAGCTCAGTGTAATGTGATATCCAGCAGACCGCTTACCCGTGTACCGTCTGGAGCAGAGTTTGGTACACCATCTGTCGCCAGTCGTTGTTCTCGCCCAAATCTACTGCCACCAATTCAGCAGCTGCTGTCAGCTCGCGGCAAGCACAGATTCCCCACCATTTCTCGGTGGTGTGCCTGGAGCTCCCGCCGATTGGAGCAGACGTTCGCGCAGAAGTCTGGACTGTCAGACTACAGCCAGTGTTAAGGATGCTCACATGAGTCTCAACCTGGTCATGGCCAATGTCACCTGCACGTTGGCTTTGAGGACAAGATACCCGTCCTGTGGTGAGTCACCTGGATTGTCAAAGAACTCGTCGACTTGCGCGAGTAGCGCCGTTTCCCATCCCGGTACAGGACTGCAATCAGGATGTGATACTATGTGCAGCGGGTTCAAGCTCACAAGGCTGGAGATGAGGCCGACAGCTCAAGTGCAAATGGTGCCGGTGTTGCTGTGACTACGGCAACCAGACATTGGCGCAGATCGCGTACGTTGCGGAGCTCCCGAAATAATGTCTCAGAGTCGGCAGGCGGACGGCGAATGACGTCTCGTTCCTTTACAAGGATGTCCCCGAGAACACTGGTCAAGGTGCTCAGCTGCTGATTATTATTGGGAACTGACTTACGTTACAATGCGCGTGAGGACATTGAATCCGGCAATGAGCGGCGTGCTGGTACCTCTTGGCAGGTAGCCGTCCGCCGTAATGCTGGAATCGTGTAGCTCTCGGGGCAACTCTGCAGAGCCAGGCCCACGAAACTCGTCGGACCGGAGGAGAATGGGCCTGTTATTCGAGATGGCCTCAACCTTATCAGCATTGTGAATGAGAAACCAGACACGACGCCCGCGTTCAGCATCGATCGGTGCTTTCTGTCAGCCGTGTGAGTGATTGGGCAAGGCCTTACATAGTCCGGCGTACGTCTGCCGTCAGCGCGTAACGTATCGACCGTGCCCGAAAGCTACTCACTTCCTCATCGAATAGCCGCATGTCGATGGCTAGCTGGAGGGCGGTTCCCATTGCCGCACCAGTCAGGACACCGTCGCCGTTCTTCTGCAAAGTGAGGACTTTTCATCGCCTTTGTTATCGTTACCTTGTGAATCACGAGCATGAGATACCTCACAGTCAGCGACGCTTACACGTGCAAGTAAAGGCTCACTTGATTGAGACCAGATCTACACTCGGGCTGTCCATGCTCCGCCGCACCACAGCATAACATGCCCGCAAGCAGTCGTTGGACAAGGTGCGGGCATTACCTACAGGCAAAAGACTGTTGGGCACGTGGCCGAATGTGCAGGACAACATGGCCATAACCAGGGCTGTCATCAGCCAGTCAAACTAGGGAAACCCACCAAAGAACATTGGGTTCCTCTCGTCTTCGCGGGCATCGACGGCATCCATGAATGTTGGGTAATGGACCACGGGAATAATGCAGTAGACCTTTGCTATGTCAGGGGCCGTTCTAGCAAAGGTACTTACATGGTCGAAGAAGAGTTTGAGAATGCTGAGCGCAGTATTTCGGGGAAGGATGTCTGCAATACGGGTCGACTGCAAGGGAGCAGCGTCTGCTAGGAAAGCTGAAGGCGACTGCAGGCTGACAGATGGAGACGGACGCTGGGCAATATAGGTGATCGGTACAAGAGGTTCTGGTGGGTTGGATGAATGCTGAGGAAGCAGGCCAACGTGTGTATCGTAGCCCTCGCAATCGATGAGGTGCGGTTCCTGTGAATGCTGTGGGCCATCCGGGACGGGCAAGTGGTGCTCAGGAAAGGCACCGTCCCCCAGATTGTGCACAGCGTGTTCCTCTAGTTCAAGTTGTCGCCCAGCATCGTCGCCGACCCCGTGAACAGGGTTTGCGTGCGAGGATGGTCGAGGTGAGCTCCGTAGGGCTGTCGATGTTGATACCATGGACGAAAGTCCACTGTCAGATTGCTCCGACCGCAGCCGATCAAGGATGACCTGCTGCCGTCCCCGACGTTTGGTCGGTGTTCGGTACGTACACTGCAGCGACCACGAGCCGCAGTTCTGTTCTTAGCTCATGCGCATTAATATCAAACCTACCTCGCAGGGTACAGCGCTCACTCCGTCCACAAGCTCAACCGGACGTCCTCTCATGTTGCACTTGAGCTTACGCGCTCTGCAGCCGTCGCAGCTGGGACCCGTCGCAGAGCTCCCCGAGCGACCTGGTATGGGGGCCAGCGTTTCGGAGCCGATAACGGTTTCGTGCCGGGTGCGTTTGGAGCTCGGAGGCGTCATTTCCGATGGTGATGATGTATAGTCTATGGCTGAGCAAGTTGGGATGGGAAAGAACGATGAAACGGGACACGAGAATCCTGGGCTGGGTTGTGGAGCGTGGTGGAGAGAGGCTCTTGGCTCTCGGAGATCCATCGGAGATCTCTCGGCAATTCGTCTCGGCCAAGTTCGGACTGGCGACTGGCATTACATGGTCATGTTACACATGCATTTGTATTCCACAGGTGCTGTCTGTTTATCGAGTGGTACACTAATCTATTGCTTATGGTCCATAACAGCGTTCATGATCATCTTGGTGAGGACAACGTCCTCCCTGCCGTCCATCACGGTGGTGGGGAACTCGGTGCCCTCCGTGACAGCCTTGTACAACTCGATGAGCGTGAGGTTGTAAAAGTCGACATAAGTTGGGCGGGACGTATTCTCGTCATAGTCGCCGTTAGGGAGCACCTTTTGAATTGTTACATTGATAGGCAGTGCCCGAATGTAGGGACTAGAGTTAGCAAGAACTGGGCCTGAGGAAACCGCACCTGTCAAATTGAATCTTGATCCTCTCAGTGCCGGTGTACACTTCAATGTGTGCGTCAAAGAATCCAACGTCGTCGACGCCCATCTGCTGTCAGCTGTGCACTGAGAATCGTCCTGCACCTCATAAAGTGTGTTGAATGCACCGTGATCGAAGAGCACCTGCCACCAGTTCGGACGCTCGAGGTCTCCACGTCGGCAAGCAAAGTGGACGTGGGCCGGCATACCAATCGCCTCTCGCATGGCGGAGAGGGCATGGGAGCTGAACGCTGTGAGGATCTGCCATGATCCGAGGTTTGACGGGTCAGTGAGGGCGGCGTTCCCAAAGTTCTCAACCAGATTGGCCTCCGCACGCGACTTCACGTCGGCTGCCGCTCCGGGAGGGAAATCGGTAAACATGCGCTGGTACATGCCCGTCTGAGGAGTGAACCGCGGGTTCTGCTATGTTAATTCTGTCCCTTGGTGGTTGCTCCTGAGTTTTGAATGGCACTCACTCCACCGATAATGTCGCGTACCCGGACATACTTGATGTCCTTGCCATTGATTGCGTCCTTGAACCGCTTGAACGCAGTTGCGTAGCGGCGCATGTATCCCACAAAGATGACCACATTGTTACGTTTGCGTGCTTCCTCCAGCGCGTCGGCCTCGGACAGGGTCTGTACCATCGGCTTCTCGAGCATGACGTGTTTGCCTGCATTGGCACACGCGATGGCTTGGTCGGCATGGTACTGGTCTGCAGAGCAGATGAACACTAGGTCCACGGGGACGGACGACGCCAGCAGTTCGTCTCTGTATGAAGTCAGCGCCGACGAGATATGGATACGTACACGGACGAGAAGCAGTTGGTGATTCCAAAACGTTCCGAGCAGTGCTTCAGAGTCGAGGTAGAGATGTCCACCAGCGCAACAGCCTTGAACATGTGGTTGGCGATGATGAGGTTTGGTATATGCGTGACTTGCGCAATCTCCCCGCAGCCGACAACTGCGACCTGCAGCACAGGGCTTGAGGTTGTGGTGGATGTCATGGTGAGTATTGAAAAACGTGTGAGGTGGGTCCAAGGTGAACTCCATGGCGGCGGTCAATATATGATTCAAGTGGGCTGGCGGGAAGCTGGAGGCGTCTCAAAATCGTGTCGTTGGGAGACACATTTGTCCGGCCCAGTGTCGGATCGAGATGCATCTGCTCCGAGCCGCACACGAGCCGACAAAAGGCCGAGTCTCCGGCAGACCTCCGAGCACTATGACGACAATGTGATCCCGTGGTAATGCGGCCTACGGCAGATGGCAGGTGGTGTGGTGTTCGGATATGTTATACAGTCTCTTCCTCGCATTCAGATAAAGCCGTCGCCATGCAGCTTTGTCGCTTTCCCCATTCCCATCACAGCCGCATTCAACATGATTGCCCGCATCGACACCAACACCACCCTGCTTGACCAGCTCCTGGCTCTGGGCCTCAAGATCGACCTCGACTCATGCGACGTCGCTTTTGCCAGGACCCTGCCGTTCCGCCCCGCAGACATGACTTCGAACCAAGCCATCATCGCCGAGGCCATCCTCGACCCCACCAATAAGGAGACTGTGGAGGCCATCGTGCGGAGCTTGCCCGGCATGGAGCCGTTTGATGTCTTTACAATCCTCGTAAGTTTACGTGCTTTGGGTATCTGTGTGGCCTTGTCGCTTATTGTTTAGCATGCCAAATTTGCCAAGGAGATCCTGCCACACATCACCGGCCGCGTCCTGGCCCAAACGACCCCGAGCAAGCCGCACGACCGGGAGGCTATCATTGCACACGCGCGGGCGTATGCCAAGGCCTACAACGCCGAGGGTATTTCCAAGTACGCAAAGTCGAGAGAGGTTTGGGTGCTGACAGGCAGTGACCGGTTCTGTATCAAGATCCCGACAACCACGTCAGGCGTGCAAGCTGCCGTCGTATTGCAGTCTGAGGGTATCCAGACGCTGGGCACAGCGCTGTTCAATGTCGCACAGGCACACGCCGCTGCGCAGGCCGGCATGTACGCTATCAGTCCTTACTTTAACGGTGTGTATTGGGCCCATTCTTGTAGCCGCTCTGACTTCCAGAGGTAAAGGCGCACGACGCGGCAGAGCGATGGCCCGACGTCGCAGACCCAGGCCTCGAGCACCCAATGGCCCACCGTATGGGCGCCATTCGCGATGCGTACGACGCTCTCCGCGCCCAAGACAAGTATACGCCGCAGATCAAGGGCGCGTCGTACATCTCCGTCTTGGAGGTGCTGGCGCAGCCCGAGCTAGGATGCGAGCACGTCACGCTGCACCCTGGTCCCATCGAGGACCTCCTCTGGGCGACTGGGCAGCCAGCATTTGCGGGAGGCAAGTGGAAGCAGCGTCTCGCAGAGTACACGCCTGAGTGCACTCCGTGGACCGCACCCAGTGGGCCCGACATGGTGAAGCGGGACACCCAGCGCGCCGCCCACGACCCGCTCGGAAACGCACCCACTTCGCCAGGTGTGCACTACCTCGCTGATGGTGTCCTGGATGCGGCCAACGACGCTGACCCCGCCACCAAGCAGCGGTTTGAGGACGCCATGGCGTGTTTCGTCCGTGCCGAGGACAATGTGTTGGAGTTCATCGCCGACATCCAACGCTCGTAGTGGGATATCCAATGCAATGCATTGTCTTAACGGATCTGAATCATGCTCTGTGTGACTCGAGAACATGCTGGCCATGCTTTCCCTTTGGGGCCAGGTAGCTATCGATAACCTACTGCATGTATTATGCAAATATGCCCCCAAAGCAGACGAAATCTCCATAGTCCGCGCGTCTACATAGTAGACATAAACAGTGCTTGGGCTGCGAGCACATCTAGTGCGAGACCTCAACCTGCACCGTGCACTCGTACATTGGGGCCAAACTGAGTGCGGTAGTTACGAAGCACAACCCAAAGCACATCCCACGATGCAGGCGGCAGTATCAGTATGCCCGACCCTGCCGCCAGTCCACATTTGGCACTCCGCGTCGGCAACGCCTCCGATCCACCGACCACCGTAGTGGGTGGTCGGCATCTGCCAACGGCGGCATGAAAAAGAACGACTCCACACCCTCCGGGCAGACGACGACCCCATTTGCTAACCGAGGCCCCACACCCGTTGCTGCTGCCATTGAGCCCATCTGGCATCTAGAGCAACAGCCTGACTCCTGCCTCACGAAACGCCAGTCTGGCGCCCCGCCCAGAAGAGGGCGGCCCCGCTGCCGACACTGTCGCCCACCCCACCCATTGTCGGCCTTGCGGCCGCCCAACTCCACAACTCACCCCACAGTCCCCGTTGTACGTCGGCACCCTGCCCGCCCACTGTCTCGTCTTATCGCTGTCCATGCATTTATATCGCAGGCCGGATGTTCTCCATGTTGCCCCGCATCAACAAACAATGTCGAGCAAGAGCCTGCAAGACCTCACACCCATGGATGAGAAGGACGATATTTTCACCGAGACTGTCACCGCCGTCGACATCAACCCGGAGCCCGTACACTACACGCGATGGCAGCGTTTTGTGTCCAGTGTATGGGACTCGTGAGTGGTTGCAACACACACAGCGCTGACGGCAGGGACTATTACCTCAAGTCAGACCTCGAGCGTGGCCTGGTTCGCAAGCTCGACTGCGCCATGCTCTCGGTGCTTTGCTTTGGCTGGCTCATGAAGTACATTGACCAGACGAATGTGCGTGACAGAATTGTGCTGGGCACCGCTCACGCCTGCAGCTCCAGAACGCCTATGTCAGCGGCATGAAGGAGGACCTCCAGATGTTCGGCAATGAGTATGTTCGCCTGCTCACCATCTACAATGCTGTATGTTATTCCCTGCCTCTGCGCATGCTGACAACATAACAGGTGTACTGTGCCCTTCAGATTCCGTCCAACCTCATCGTCATGAAGGTTCGCCCCGCGTGGTGGCTTGCTGGGTGCGAGCTCGGGTGGACAGTCTTCACGTTTGCGCAGGCTGCGGCACAGTCGACCAGCCAAGTATACGCATTCAGGTTCTTCGTTGCCTTCTTCGAGGCAGCCTTCCAGCCCGTCAGCTACTTCCTGATCGGTTCGTGGTACACCAAGAAGGAACTCGGCAAGCGGATGGCCGTCTGGTACTGTTTCATGCCTGCCGGCCAAGCGTTCAGTGGATACCTGCAAGCCGCAATTTTCAAGGGGTTGGACGGCGCGCACGGCATCGCCGGCTGGCGCTGGCTGTACATTGTCTGTGGCTGCATGACGGTGCCGGCAGTTGTCCTGGTGTTCATTTTCGTGCCCGACTTTCCGTCCACCACAAAGATCTGGTACCTCAACGACGAGGAGAAGGAGCTGGCCTGCAAGCGCTGCCTTACCAACGGCACCAACCCGCTCGAAGGTGCCCTCAAGCCTGCCGTTTTCAAGGAGATGTGGCGTCATTGGCGCATCTACATGCTCCCCCTCGGCTACATCTTCTACGGTCTGTGCGTCCAGGCGTACAACTACTTTGGCATCTTTCTCAAATCAGAAAACTTCTCGGTTGAGATGCGCAACATTATCCCAGCATCTTCCTGGATTGCGAGCATTCCCGTCCAGCTGTTCATCGGTTATCTGTCCGACCGTCTCGGCACGCGCTTTTGGGTAATGACTGGTGTCCTGGCCTGCCAGTTGGTGCCATCCGTCATCCTCACCGTTTGGCCTGCAAGCACTGGACTCAAAATCTTTGGCTTCTTTGGCAACCCTCTCTTCTTCATTACTTCCCTCTACTACACGTGGCTGAGCGAGATCTGCTCCCACAGTGCAGAGGAGCGTGGCATGGTCCTCGGCGTCACCAACACGGCGTTCTACGCCTTCAACGCGTTCCTCCCCAACCTCATATTTGTGGCGAGCGACAGCCCGTCCTTCCGCAAGGGTTTCCCGACCCTTACCGCATGCCTTGTGGCCGCCTTTGTGTGCATTGTCATTATTCGTCTCCTGTATTCTCGACAGCAACGCCGCGAGACACAGGAGCGCTGCGCAGACGAGGAGCGCAACGTCTGAAGAAGGGACACGGGCGCACGGGGCTGGGATCGCAAAGGAGCTGGTGGTGGTGAGTGGTAGTTGGTTGTTAGCACTCTTGTAGGCAAAAGAAGTAGTCATGTCAGATGTTTCGAGCGTTGGTTTCAAGCCTGGACCAAGTGAAGCGTGAATGTTGGTGATTTCATGATTTTGTTCGTGAGGCACACGTGAACGGGGGGGGGGGGGGGGTGATATGAGGCCATGAGGCGAGTGTATGTGGAGGCAAATGGATCATGGAAAACATGAGGAGTATAGGAATACGGAAAGTGCGTGCGGCGCATATATGGACCCGGCGGTATGTGGGAGGCACCAATATGGAGAACGCGATAAACAGTCGAGAGACACAACACGTGACCTTGCACGTGACCCGGGGTCTCCGCAGATCCGCAGACCATGCCCCCCCATCATTTTGCTCCCGCTCCCTGTCGGCCCTATGTCCGCTCGGAGATATTCCGCCCCCACTTGTTGTTGCTCACTCCGTCTCGCCCACGACGCTCGCCATGGCCTCTGACGACGTCGGCCAGCGTCGCGCCGCGCCGACAGGCGTCCCGCGCCTCTCCCTGCGTCCCAGCGACAGCGCCGTCGCTTGCCAGCGCTGCCACCACCGCAAGAAGAAGGTGCGCGGCCCACGTTCGGCCTGCCGCTGACGTTAGTGTGACCGAGCGAGACCGGCTTGCGGCGCCTGCAGCCGCGTCAATGCCGCGTGTGTGTACGACATTGCGATATCGGACCGCTCGAACCCCGGGTACGTCTTACTGCAGCCGGCCTCTGGAAGGGTGCCCGGACGTGGTGTCCTTTGACTGATGCAGAAGCAGTTTCGTGGCAGACCTCTTGAAGGAATCTGCAACACTGCGGGAGCGCATTGCCGAACAGGCCGACAGGATTGCCCGGCTCACGGCACAGATACGTGACGGTGCGGCTATGGGGCAGAGCCCAAGTTTGGTCACTTCGGAGGCCGTGGCGGAGGCTCCTCCACCCCCCAGCCTCCACACAGTGCCCCCAAGACTGGCTGCGCGACCCGCCGTCGGCGGCTACGGCCCAAGCCTTGCGGAGCGCATCGTGTGTCAGGTGCTCACGACGGACATGGGCTTGTCTCTACGGGGTGCGATCGGACAGCAGTTGGGTGCGTCTGGAGACGACCCGGAGGACGCACTGTCTTCGAACGCGATCACGGCGTGGCCGCCCAAGTCACTTGCCGTCAAGCTCGTCGATCTTTTTTTTGAGTACCATATTGCGTTTTACCCCATCTACAACCAGGACGAGGTTGCAAAAGAGTACGTGTACTGTGTGGGCCAGCGTGCTAAATGGTAGTATGGACGAACTCTACGGTGTAACGCATCCTGGCGTACCAACCCCGTCAACGTTCACTGTGCCAGACTACCGCATCTTCCGTCTATTTCTTATCCTTGCGCTGGGATGTAACCTCCTCGAGACGGAGCGGGGCACACCACGGACCGACACGGCAACGTCGCTGTGCAGATATGCTTTGGAACACTTTCCAGCAGTGTTCCGCGTCAGTGATCTGGCGTGTATTGCTGGCCTGGTGACGTTCACGCAGTACTGTATCCTCGACTTTGGCCGCACTTCTCCATACCATGTTGTCGGGGTAGTTGCCCGCTTCGCCATGGAGCTGGGTCTGCATAGGGACGACTCCTCACTCCCGCTTGCTGAACAAGACGCCCGGCGACGCGTTTTCTACACTGTGTACAACCTCGACCGCGTCGTGGCTGTTTCCCTCACAAAGCAGGTCACGATCCCAGACAGTGTCATTACCGCCCAGCTGCCAACTGCCTGCGCTACCCGTCTGCAGAGCTACCTGGACCCAGCCGAGTGGTTCGCACATGCGATGGCCATGCGGCGCCTCTCCGGCATTATTCTCGACGAGGTCTACCTTGCACCTCGGCTAGGCGACCTCGAGGAGCGGGAACTCACCCTCGCGCGCATCCACAACCTTGTTGATGACTGGTACGACGGGATACCTCGCGATGCGGCGGGCGAGTGCGTGCCGCTTTTTGAGCTCTACTACAACGTACTCCTTACCAACCTACACCGTCCCTCACCACTGTGCACATCCACGCAAGCGCTGCGCATGGTGTCGTTGCGCCGCACTGCGTACCGCACTATAGAGCTCTACAGGGCAGTCCGCGCACAACGCGGCCTTGCAGAGAACTATGTGCACCTTGCCAACATTGTGACTGTCGCCGTCACCGTTGTGTACACCCTTTTGGAGGCGGACGGCAACCCGCGCAATCTGGCACTCCGTGCATGGCGGCGCGAGGCCTTTGCGCAGGTTGACGTTTGCGAGCAGCTCCTGGCCAATTTCTGCATCAACTGGCCTGGCGTGTCACGCTTCTGTAGTGCGTTCAACGTCCTTGCCAACGAGGTCCGCGGCAAACTCGGCGGCCAGCCAGCACCTCCACCAGCCGTTTGGCCTCTCGTTGCTCCACAACAGACACAGGTGTCCGGCTTTTCAGATACAGGGACGTCGCCCCAGTTCTCAGACCAAGGGCAGTGGGATGCGTGGGCGGCTCCAGCACTCCTCACAGAAGCAGACATGCAGATGGCCCTCTCAGGCATTGGCGTGGACGCGCTCCTGGCGAGTGTGGGTCTGAATGTGTTTGCCGAAGTGGAGTGAGAAGATGCATATTGTGTAGCAGACGGTACGCTTACACAAAGTACATAGAGTTGGAGATATGTACTAGTGGCCGCGCTGCACACCCAGCTAGTCAGGCCCAGATATGGCGGTCATCCGTTCACCACCTAGACAAAAGCAGCGACCTCCTTTCCAGCCTCGACGTCCTTGAAGCGCGCCACCACTTCCTTCATGCCATTGAAGAGGAAAGTACCGTCCCTACCAGCGATGGCAAAGCCGACCGTCGTGCCGAAGTCGCGGCGGAGGCGCGAGATAATGTCCGGCCGCCACTCGAGTCCGCCAAACCCGACGAAGACTGTCCGACCGTCGACAGACGCGGCCGCCGCCGCGCGACAGATACGAGAAAGCGCCTCGTAGATCTTGGGGTTGGAGAATTCACCACCAATGCCCATGCTGCCAGTGTCAGCGCATTCTTGTGTGTCCCAGAATGGTACTCACTCGTCGCTCAGGTCGTGCACGCCAACGAAGATTGCGTCAATGCCAACCACAGCCGCGATGGCCTCGACGTTGCCAAGGCCCTCGACAGTCTCAATCATGGGGGCCGTGATGGTGGTGGCGTTCTGGGCCTCCTGCGCCTGGGCAAAATCGGGGATCTGGTACTGGAGCTGCGGGGAGAATGCAAGGGGACGCTCGCCGAGCGGCCGGTGCTTGGAGTACTTGACCATCAGTTTGGCCTGCTCGGCGGTGCCGACGCGGGGGACAATGATGCCCTGTGCACCGTTGTCGAGCAACCTCGAGATCCAGTCGCTTTGCAGCGAGGGCACGATGCAGATGGGAGCGATTCTAGAATCAGTACAGTCACAGCACCGCGTACCCACCCATAGGCGAGCGAGGTAAAGCACAAGTCCGAGGCTGTGTCCAGACCCGTCTTGTGGTGCTCAAGGTTCATGACAAGCGCGTGGTACCCAGCAAGCTTGGCGAGGTTGACGACCTCGGGCGAGTGACACATTTGAATGTAGTACGCCGGGGCAAAGCCGCCGGCAGCGAGGAGGTCCTTGAGGGGGTTGCGGCGGACGAGGGGGAGTACCTTGTCGAGCGACGCGAGGACGTCCTTGGTCGGCTTGGTGGAGCCGTTGGTGGTAGAGTTTCCGTTGAGGGCAATGGGGGACATTGTGGATGATGAGTGCAGATACTTTGGTCCCCATCGCTTCCTCACACTTATATATGTCGCATTCTGTAGTTGGCGTTGATGAACATGATCAGAGATTTCGTACGGAAGTCGGACGCGTCGGTGACATGACGGGTGGGCAGGCGTCGGCACATGGCCCGACGCCACGCTACTTGGGTGAAATGGCTGCAGAGTCGGCCCAGTGCCGCCTGCTGATGTTGCTTTCTGTCGGCACGGTCACCGCCTCTGTTTTTCCATGCCACCATCGCGTGGTAACTACGGTACCGGTGTGTCGGCGTTGCACCGATCCTACCTTCTTCCTCGTGCCGTCGGCGTCGGACTGCCAGCCGCAGTGGGTTCGGACGTGCCCGAGTGCCATTGAGCAATGGAGAGCAAGAAGGATATTTAACGTATACTGGGGTGTGTCAACTACGCCCGTCCCCAAGTATTTTAACTGTTTTATCAATGACGCAAGACACCAACAGCATCCCCAACGCAGCAAATGGCCCGAAGGTCAACGTCGTGCTCGTGCAGATCCGCCCGGCACCGGCAGACGATGTGATCGGCCAGTGCGCGCACATGCGCGAACTGGTCCTCAAGGCGGTGGGCGAGGGCCCGACGGACATTGTGGTCTTACCCGTACGTCACACCTATCGTCTTGCGGTATCGCTGACGTCCAGGAGATGTGGAACACGCCTACGGTACGACGCGGTCGCTGCGAAGGGGCTAACCGTAGACGCACGACCAGCTTGTCAAGTACGCGGAGCCTATCCCACCACTGGGCACGGCCGAGGCGGAGTGGCCAGAGGCGGCTTACACCTGCCGTCAGCTTGCGGCTGTCGCACGCGAGGCGAACATCTGGCTTGTAGGAGGTACGGCCCACGTCTAAAACTGTCACTGACGTCAGGGAGCGTCCCCGAACTCGAGGACGGGCGGCGGTACAACGCTGCGACGGTATGGTCGCCATCAGGTACGTGGCAACTGCAATACGTGGCTTGCTGACGCCAGGCGCGCTGGTGCAGAAATATCGCAAGGCGCATCTCTTTGACTTGTGTCTGCCGAAGATGACCTACCGCGAGAGCGACACGTTCTCGGCAGGCAATAAACTCGCGACGTTCGATACACCGTTTGGTCGTTTTGGTCTCGCTATCTGTTACGACCTGCGCTTCGCAGAGATCGCTATGCTTGCTGCCCGTCAGGGCTGCGTGGGCGTGTTCTACCCCGCTGCGTTCAACACACACACCGGGCCGCTGCACTGGGAGCTGCTTCAGCGTGCTCGTGCGCTAGACAACCAGATCTACATCGCAACGTGTAGCTGTGCTCGTGACGAGACAGCTAAATACGTCATCGTGAGTCAACTGTCTGGTCAACAGCTGACGACAGTACGGGCATTCGATGGCTGTTGACCCCATGGGCCGCGTCGTCGCCAGCGCCGAGGAGAAGGAGACAATCGTGCGCCTCACATTCGGTGAGTTATTGCTGTACAAGTCAACAGAAGGCTAAACCGCACCCAGACCCCAACATCATCGCAGAAACGCGCGCTGGCATCCCCTTGCTGGAACAGAGGCGCTTCGACCTGTACCCTAACATTGCTACACTTCCCATGTGAGCGGCTTGCGGTGGAGGGTTATAGCATTTACAATGTGTACTTCGTTGGAGCAAGGAAGTGTTCCTCCTCGCGGGCCGGGCTGGCATCGCCGAGGCGATCTGAAGTAGAAACAATGCAATGATACCATTTGATGCGGGCCATCGCAACCACGTTGCTGACTAGGCAATGACACGTCAGCTAATGGCCCGTGTGGACCAGATTGATGATTCGGTGTTTGCTTTGGAATAAGTAGGATTGGTGTGTGCTTTGTATGCTTTCTTGGTGTGCGGGATGCATGTGTTCACGGCTCAAAAAAGTGTTCGGGCTTGACCAAGGGATTGAGCCGCCTTGCAGTTTGTTAGTTGGGCAATTGGGCCGGGCTGCACTCTCTCGCGTCTCGCAGTCATTATGTTCAATGGTGTACATTGTGAACTTCACAGCCTCGAGGGGATAGTGCTGCGTGCTCGGATACATTACCATGGTGTTCGCACGGCGAGGATTTTGGTTATATAGCTGGATTGTAGTCGTCAAGAGCATACGAACGATACCGCTCAAGCCCAGACGCGATGTCAGACCCGCCGACGCGGGGCCATCATGTAACTCTCATTCGACTTAGGACCGTGTCAATGAAACGCCAAGCTTCCAGGCGTCGTTGCACTGAGCAAGGGAAAGTCTGTGAGTGAGCCCGGAGTCGCCACAGGATAGCCTACTCACGCCGGCAAACGTTTGTGACCTCGTTTCGGAGCATGACAGGCCCAAAACCGTAACACCGAATCACACGGGTGAGCCGCCCAGCGAGATCTTCGAGGTCTGTCCTGCTAAGATCCACAATGTCGACAACCAAGCTCCATACCCCCTGCCCATCGAGCTCGTACGCATCCACTGGATGCATAGGCTCTAGGAACGGTACAGCCAGTGGGCCAGCCTGCCCGGCCGGGGGGATGTACTCTGCTGGGTCGGTTACGTTGTCGAAGGCGGCCGCTAGGAGCTGCTCGAAGAGGTTCAGAGGGTCATGCAGCGGGGCCGTGTTCAACGGTCTGTTTACTGGTCGTGGCGGGTGTAGATCGCCGGCCGCCACGTCGGCACCGCGGCTCTGAGCGAACTTTTGGCAGACTGCATGGATCGTATTCAGGTGTGGATCGCACACGGACGCGAGGACGGCCAGAAACGCTTGGCGGGCAGCATTGAGGTCCAGGGATGACACATTGAGGTCCACAAAGGCCATGGCCGGGAGCGGTTGCACTGCAGGAGGGGGAGGTTCTCCTGCCGATGCTGGGCTGGGTATGACATTGTGGGTGGTTTGACTAGCTGACGACGAAGTGAGGAACTGGGGGGACGTGGATGAGCCATGCCCGTTCGACACTGATTGGCGGGCTCTTTTTATCAGCAGAGGTACAGCAAGGCCAACAACTGTTTACAAAAACAAACACGAAACCACACTGACTGTAGTATAGAGTCTCCCAGACTGTTCCCCAATAGCCTGGTTTTCAACTGCTGGTTCTCCAGTATCAGGCGTTGAATAAGGCTCTGTTTCTGCTCTCGGGCGCGTTGTTGGGCTTTCCGATTGATCGCTCTACGCTTTTCTTTTCGTTGTTCGCCGTCTGGGGAGTCATCTTTGGACCGAGTTAGTCCAGGCATTGTGGGAATACCGAGAGCTGACAGATTGATTTTGGGTGTGACAGCAACATCACTGCCGTGAAAGTTGCATGGTCAGTGATCAGTCCGAGTGACATACGTCAGATCCTAAACTGATGCGGAAACGGCCCTGAACCTTCCACGAGCTGTCTGAGATGTCTGCTGGGCACTTCATTGCGCCATTGCTCATTGCATGCACATGGTACACGCGGTCTGAATTCTGGAAATGACGCAGAGGCTTGCCAATGGCCACACACTGGTACACTGGCCCACCCCGGCCGCGTCACCCCCACCGCGATTGATTCATATCGCCAAGCCACATCTCTCTGCGTCTCAGCCGGGAATAGCCACAAACTCTATTACATAAGCGTGCGGGTTGAGTCAACCTTGGGGCACGACAGGCAGAGCCGGCAGAGAACTGACATCACGTGTCTCATGGGGGTTGAGTCAACCCCCACATGCCACACTCGTCCGACGTCTCCATCCCACCCACATCCTCATCGCATCGCACTAGTACACACAAGCCTTGACGAGCAACAGACGCAGCACCTGCTGGGCGAGCAGACTGACTGGTTACTGATGAGGCACAGCGTGGTGCTCAAGACATATATAAATGAACATCACCACCCACGAACTACTCAGTGACTCACCCCCTCAGACCAACACCACCCAGAGCGATTCAGCAATCCAGCGACTTCCTGCACAATGCTCTGCCATTGCCTTGTCCTTGCAAGCACCGTGGGGCTGGCCCTCGCTAGCCCCGTCAACCGCTGGTACCACGAGTCTCTCGGTGCCAAGTGAGTCGGCGTCGGAGTGTCGCTGATCGCTGACTTGCAGCTACTTCCAGACCAATGGTTTCCTGGGCAACCAGCTCGTCTCGTCGTACATTCTCCCCGACGGCACTCTTGTCGCAGGTACCGCCGAGTGGACGCACGGTAATGGCTCGGCGGCCATCAACGACCCGTCCCCATTTGAGAACCACGTACGTAACCACCAACCTCACTTTGCTCACACCCGTAGCCCGACCCATTCCTCAGCTCTGGATCCGTTATCGTCGTCGGGAAGCAGGTGTTGGTCACTAACGCGGGCTCCAACACGTTCTCCGCCTTTGACATTGACCCGACCGACCCGGCCCGCCCCATGTACAGCAACAGCTATCCCTCCGGCTACGAGTTCCCCAACTCCCTCGGCGCCAGCCCTGATGGTAAATACGTCTGCGTCCTCAACGCCGGTAGCCAGAACGGTTTCATCTGCTACGAGTCATCCGACAGCGGGTGGCAACACATGCCTACATGGGACCGTACATTTGGGCTCAACCTCACCACCCCTCCTCACGGGTAGGTCTCAGGTCCATCCACGAAATCGGTAATACATACTAAAGTACCAGCCCCGTGGGTGGCACACCCTCGCAGATCACGTTTGCATCTGACAGTTCGAGAATCAATGTCGCCATCAAGGGCCATCTGCCCACGGATCTGAACAACCCCACTGGCAACTTTACGAGCGGCGCCATCTACGCCTTTATGGTTACCTCTGACGCGGCCGGCCAGGTCACCCTCGCCGACAAACCCGTTGTGTACGACGCCGGGCTCCCTTTCGGTCTTCTGGAGGACATGGCCAACCCCGGTGTCTTCTTCGCTCCTGACCCCTCCGCCGGGTACGAGGCCTTTGACTTTGCCGCGAACGCCTCTGTAGCTGGTACGGTTCCAAACCAGGTGGCTGTCTGCTGGGCTGCCCAGAGCAACCTGACGAACAACTTTTACGTTGTCGACATCGGGGGTAAAGCCAACATCACCGAGATTGCCATCGACTCCACGACCCTCCAGGGAGAGATTCTCTCCCAACACTCGCTTGGGACCAATGCCTCGGGCACAGACGTGTCCATCTTTGCTCCGCCAAGCATGCCTACCGAGAACTGGATGTATGTCAATGCAGCGGCTTACGAATCGGTCCACGCCTACAGGATTACCGCGCCGGGCAAGTTCAGCCTCTTCCAGCGGTACCGCTTCTCGGACCAGCCCAAGGGGACAGTGAGCAGCAAGGGTTTTGCTGTGAGTTCCATGTCCGCGCGACTTATTCTAACTGTCTACAGGGTCAAGCTGTCTACTACAAGGCCTAATGGCTGGCGTGGCCGAGAGACCATCGTTGACATGGCGTTAGGAGTACAAAACGAGGTGTAATGCAAATACCGCCGACCAGACGTCAGGGGAAAGCCTAACAATGCACATACTGTTGACGCCGATGTGTCGGCTGGCGCTTGATGTACGCGTGTCCTGGCTGATGCTCTCAAGAAACGGACCCGGGCTGGACCAGGCATTTGAGCAGAACAATCACTCGTCGGGGAGACGGACTCTGCAAGCTTTGATACCTGTTCCAGCACTCGGGCCTGTACGTTCTAGCGCTCGGGCTTATGCGCTCTGGGTTTTCGGGTGTTTTTTCTTTTACCCAGGCGATCCCAGGCGACCGCAGGCGAGTTATAGGTCACGGTTCAGGAGCTCAGGAGTGGCAGCTCGGGGGCTATTCGTTACAGTGCCTGGAGTCGTGGGTTAGGAACTCCCCGAAAGTTAGAAAGTATTAAAGTACTCAAAGCACCACGTGGCATCCAAATAGTCGTTCTAGTCGTTCTAGTCGTCCAGTCGTCTAGTCGTCGCCGACACACGGACAACTGTCTCGGGCATGTGGGTCGGGGTTGAATCTCGTCGCCTTCAAAATGACGCAGACGCCACCGATCCACACCGGCCACCGGCCACCGGCCACCGAGGCGCCAAGACACAACACATTGATGTTTTGTCTCCACACACTTCCCCACTGTTTCACTCCACTCCACTGCCCGATGCAACATGGAGCGCAGCCGCCGCCTGACTGCGTACGGTCTCACATACACCCCGCGCTTACAGACAGGATGAACAAAGGCACTAGAAGTGGCCGAAGTGGCGACAACAACTCCAAATGACAGGCTAGAAACACACACGGGCAGAGCCTCAGCGGTGGATTGCCTTGGACCCAAACCGAGACTGTCTCCCCGGCCTCCAAAACATATATGTACCTAGCATGCGATCAAGCATCAAGACAGGGGCACCTGAGCCGGCGGCCGCAGGGCGCACGCGGGGAGCGTCGGGTTGAGTTCTCAGGCCCAAAGATCCAGCCACCTCGGCTGTCTAACGTCCCATTGGAATTTTCTGTATAATAAGTTGGCATTCCACGACCCCGTCGGTGCATTCTCAAGCAACACAGTAACAGCGACACATCATCCACCATCCATTGCCACCATCACCATCCATTGCCAGCACCACGTCTACTATCATGGCACCTCCCCCCGTGCCCCCCGACTCCCAGTCCGACTCCCAGTCGGACCCCAAGATCGAGCCCCAGTCGGACCCCAAGATCGACCCCCACGTGCCACCCGACTCCCATCCCCACCCCAAGATCGACGACACGATCGAGCTGGATGCCATTGCCCGCATCGCGTCCCGCCTGCGCTCGCCCTCGCTGTCGCGGCACCCGACGACGCACGATGCGGCCGCCGAGCAGATGAAGAACGACCCGCGGCTTGACCCCGACAGCAAGGACTTTGACCACTACCGCTGGGCGCAGACGGTGCTGCAGTCGGTCAGCCGCGCGGGCATCGAGTTCCAGGAGCAGGGCGTGGCGTTTGCCGACCTAAGCGTATCGGGCTCGGGATCGTCGCTGCAGTTCCAGCAGACGGTGGTGACGACGCTGCTGACGCCGGCGCGCATGCTGGCGGATGCGCTGCCGGGACGTCGGCGCGACCAGGCCAACAGCCGCACACGCATCCTGCGCAGCTTTGACGGCGTGTTGCACAGCGGCGAGCTGCTGCTGGTGCTGGGCCGGCCGGGCAGCGGCTGCACGACGTTCCTCAAGACGCTGTGCGGCCACCTGAACGGGCTCACACTGGCGCCCGAGAGCCGCATCACGTTCCGCGGCATCGACTTCAAGCGCATGATCACGCAGTACCGTGGCGAGATCACGTACAACCAGGAGATCGACCAGCACTTCCCGCACCTGACCGTCGGCGAGACGCTGGCCTTTGCGGCGTCGGCACGCGCGCCGCAGCAGCGGCCCGACGGCATGTCGCGGCCCGAGTATGTCGACATGATCGTCAAGGTGATCATGGCCGTGTTCGGGTTGTCGCACACGTACAACACCAAGGTGGGCGACAACTTTGTGCGCGGCGTCAGCGGCGGCGAGCGCAAGCGCGTCAGCATCGCCGAGATGTTCCTATCGCGCACGCGCATCGGCGCCTGGGACAACAGCACGCGCGGTCTGGACTCGGCTTCGGCGCTGCAGTTTGTGCGCTCGTTGCGGCTGGCGGCAGACATGGGCCGCTCGTGCCACGCCGTCGCCGCGTACCAGGCGTCGCAGCCCATGTATGACCAGTTCGACAAGGTGGTGCTGCTGTACGAGGGCCACGAGATCTTCTACGGACCGTGCGACCGCGCGGTGGCCTACTTCACGGAGATGGGCTGGGACCGCGACCCGCAGCAGGTGTCGCCCGACTTCCTGACGGCCATCACTAACCCCGACGAGCGCCGGCCGCGACCTGGCATGGAGGCGCACGTACCGCGCACGGCCACCGAGTTTGCCGAGATCTGGAAGAACAGCTCCGAGCGCCGCCAGTTGCTGCAGGCCATCGCCGACCACACGGAGCAGTTCCCCATCGACGGCGACGGGGCGCGCGACTTCCAGGCCAACCACGTCCGGCAGCAAGCTCGCCACACACGGCCCGTCAGCCCGTACCTGCTGTCCGTGCCCATGCAGGTGCGGCTTTGCCTGCGGCGCGCCTTCCAGCGCATGCGCAACGACCTGCCGACCACGCTGTCGACGGTCATCGTGCAGATCGTGCTGTCGCTGATCATCGGCTCTGTGTTCTACAACACGCCCGACACAACCGCCGCCTTCTTTCAGAGGGGCGGAGTCATCTTCTTCGCCGTGCTGATGAACGCTCTCATCACCATCAACGAGATCATGCAGCTGTACAGCCAGAGACCGATCGTGCAGAAGCAAGCGCGCTACGCGTTCGTGCACCCCTTTACCGAGTCGCTGGCCAGCGTGCTCATCGACCTGCCCATCAAGCTGTTCCGCTGCTCCATCTTCAGCATCGTGCTGTACTTCATGGCCAACCTGCGCCGGGAGCCCGGACCCTTCTTCATCTTCTATCTGTTCCTCATCACCGCCATCCTGACCATGTCGGGCATCTTCCGCAGCCTGGCGGCCGCCACCAAGACCGTCAGCCAGGCCATGGGGCTCGCGGGCATCCTCGTCATCTGCATCGTCGTCTACACTGGCTTCACGCTGCCGCAGACGTACATGAAACCGTGGTTCGCGTGGATGCGCTGGATCAACCCCATCTACTACACCTTTGAGGCACTGATGACCAACGAGTTCCACGGCATGGATTTTGCCTGCGCGCAGTTCATCCCGCCCAACCCCACGGGCAGCGCCTTCATCTGCTCGGCCGTGGGCGCCGTGGCTGGCCAGCAGAGCGTGTCAGGCGACCGCTTCCTGGAGGGCAACTACGGCTACTCGTACGCGCACCTGTGGCGCAACTACGGCATTCTCCTGGCGTTCATGGTCGCCTTCCACGTGTTCTACCTGGCGGCTACCGAGTTCAACAAGGGCGACGAGTCCAAGGCCGAGGCGCTGGTGTTCCGACCGGGCCACGCGCCGGCGGCGCTGCGACAGGGCGGCGACGACGCTGAAGCGCTGGCCAAAGCAAACATCAACGACACGGTTGGGCCGGGCAACGCGGCCGGGCCGATTCACCTGCCCGAGCAGACGGACATCCTGATGTGGCAGGGTTTGCAGTACGACATCCCCGTCAAGGAGGGCACGCGGCGGCTGCTGGACGACGTCAACGGCTGGGTCAAGCCGGGCACGCTGACGGCACTGATGGGCGTGTCCGGCGCGGGCAAGACCACACTGCTGGACGTGTTGGCGCAGCGCGTGTCCATTGGGGTGGTCAGCGGCGACATCCTGATCAACGGCCGCCTACCGACGTCGAGCTTCCCGCGCCGCACCGGCTACGTGCAGCAGCAGGACCTGCACCTGGAGACGACTACAGTGCGCGAGGCGCTGCGCTTCAGCGCCGTGCTGCGCCAACCCCGCGCCACGAGCATCGCCGACAAGCACGCGTACGTCGAGGAGGTCATCACGATTCTGGGCATGCAGGACTTTGCCGAGGCCGTGGTGGGCTCGCTGGGCGAAGGCCTCAACGTTGAGCAGCGTAAGCTGCTGAGCATCGGGGTCGAGCTGGCCGCCAAGCCCACGCTGCTGATCTTCCTGGACGAGCCCACCAGCGGGCTCGACTCGCAGAGCTCGTGGACAATCTGTACGTTCCTGCGACGTCTGGCCGACAGCGGGCAGGCCGTGCTGGCAACCATTCACCAGCCCAGCGCGCTGCTATTCCAGACATTTGACCGCCTGCTGTTCCTGGCAAAGGGAGGCCGCACCGTCTACTTTGGCGACATTGGCCCACAGTCAGCGACACTGCTGGACTACTTTACGCGCTTTGGCGCGCGGGCCTGCGGTGAGATGGAGAACCCCGCCGAGTACATCTTGGAGATGGTGTCGGGCGATGGTGCGGTCGACATTGACTGGGTCAGCAGCTGGAACGGCAGCTCTGAGCGCGTTGAGGTGCTCGCCGAGCTGGGCCGGCTGCGCGCACTGGCCGACCGCCCGGACGGACCGCACCTTAACGAGGACGGCTCACCCATGGACAAGACTGCGATGCGCGATATGGAGAAGGAGTTCGCGCTGCCCTTCCACAGCCAGTTCCGCTACGTGGCCATGCGGGCCTTCCAGCAGTACTACCGCCAGCCCGAGTACATCTACGCCAAGTTCCTGCTAGGCATCGTCACCAGCCTCTTCATCGGCTTCTCGTTCTGGAAGGCCGACTCGTCTGTGCAGGGCTTCCAGAACGCCATGTTCAGCATCTTCTTACTGTGCACCATCTTCTCGACACTTGTCAACCAGATCATGCCCAAGTTCGTTCTGCAGCGCGAGCTGTATGAGGTGCGCGAGAAGCCGTCGCGCGTCTACTCTTGGCAGGCCTTCATCCTGTCGCAGGTCCTCGTCGAGATCCCGTGGCAAGTTCTGTTGGGCATCTGCGCTTGGGCCTCGTTCTACTTTGCCGTGTTTGGCGTCAGCGGCTCGCCCGAGAGCCAGGGCCTGACACTCATCTTCGTCGTGCAGTTTTACATCTACGCCGCCAGCATGGCCCAGATGGTCGTCGCCGCTATTCCGGATCCAGCGCTCGGCGCCATGCTCGCCATGCTCATGTTCGGTCTGTCCTTCATGTTCAACGGCGTCATGCAGCCGCCCTCGGCGCTGCCTCGCTTCTGGATCTTCATGTACCGCGTATCGCCTTTCACCTACTACATCGGCGGCATCAGCGGCACCGCGCTGCACGGCCGCGAGGTTACCTGCTCGGCGGCCGAGCTCAGCGTGTTCGACCCGCCGGCCATGCAGACGTGCGGCCAGTACCTTGCGCAGTTCCTCGAGGTGGCGCCCGGCCGACTGTACAACCCCGACGCCACGGCCAGCTGCGAGTACTGCTCCATGTCCAGCGCGGACCAGTACCTGGCGGCGCGCGAGATCTACTACACAGACCGGTGGCGCGACTACGGCATCTTCTGGGCGTACTTTGTGTTCAACGTCTTCGGCACAGTGACCACGTACTACATCTTCCGTGTCAAGGTGTGGCGGAAGAAGGGGGCAAAGTGAAGGCGGTGAAGGCAGGGAGGGGGTTACGGGGTATAGGAAACCCGAAGACATCAAAAGTGTCCCATTCATATCCTTCATGCACGTTGAGCGCCTAACTGTATAGTGTTCTCTAACGCGCGTCCCCAGGCCTCACTAACGCTGGTACGGGATCCAGTGGCAGCATTTTTGCCACATTGCCTTCCTGACCTCTGGACAATGACGAGCAGGCTGGCATCTGTGTCGACCGGGTACTTGCTGTCTGAGCCACCAAACGAGTGGCCAGAGAACATAGGGCCGTAGCCGCGAGTGACGCCGTGGGCACCAGAGTCGAGGGCGCGCTTGACCATGTACTCCTCGGCGTTGGGGATACGGATGATGGGCGAGACACCGTACTGGTCACTCGCGTTGGCGAGCTGGGTGCGCCAGCTGGTGATACACTGAATGACACGAGGCAACGGCGTTGGCTTGGGCATGGCAGACCACCGCCTATGGCATGACGAAAGTCCTAGCCGCTGCCATACCTCCTCCGCCTATAACGAGCGGGACTCTACTCACCTCGTACTAGTCGGTGTCACCGATCTGGCCGTGCTCGCCGTCAATGAGGCACCAGTTGAGGCCGCCAATCGACACGAGCGAGCGGACGACAGTGGGGCCGGGGAAGCTTCGAGGTCAGCAACTGGGCCCAGTCCACATAACCCAGCTTCTTGTGGGATGAGGGGGGTCAAGCGACGTTCATCCCAGCTACGTTCCGTTTTACGGAACCGCCATTGGTAGCTACGCCTCCTACGCGCTACTCACATGAGCCAGAATCCAACACCCTTCTCCTTGTTGGCACCCCCTAACCCATAACGCCCTAGACCATGCGCACACCCCATTGCTCAATATGAGTACCGGAAGGCAATGTTCTGCAACTCGACAATTGAACCTGACAAACCAATTGCGCAGAAGAATTGTTTACGCCATACAATTGTTCGTGCTATCTTCATTATCTAGCATTGTTTCTTCTGAAGTCACGCTTTTTACTCCTGACAAACACTGTGCAACACTTGGGAAATAACGAAAATGAACAGGTATTGTTCTGATTACGTATTATGCACATCTCAATCTGCGGTGTTCTCTCTGTATGTGTATGGCAAACAATGAACATCTGCCCTTTTGAGTCACATTGTAGGGACTTGAGCCTTGTCCTTTGACAACCGTCTACACATTTCAACAATCAAGATTGAGTCCTGCCGTCGGATAAACTGACTTTGTTCGATAACCCTTTAGGACCCCAAAGAGTAGCGAATGTAGATCTGTGATTAGGCGATGACACACACCTTTTACTCACCACATAGGCAACGATGATCATACAGGTCAGCTGGCCGAGGACGACATAGAGAACCTTTTTGTTGACTCTCCATCCTGGCAGGTCTAGCTCTGCCTCTTTGGCCTTTTCCCTAAACTCGACACGCTGGTCCTCGGACATGCGAAGCGAATGGCCCAGCCATCGGCCGTCAAGGTAGTCGTAGACAGGGCCGAGGATAAACTCAACGCACTTGATGGCGATAATAAAGTAGATGACAGCATCGTAGCTGTTTGTGCTGCTCTTGTCTTGCTGACAAGTCAGCGAAACGCCTTTGTGGATAACTCACGATAGCACCGGCAGCAACATCCATGATGGTCGAATTGGCATTTTGGAAGGCTTTCCATACTCCAATAGCGGTTCCGAGTAGTGCGTCGTCTCCAAGGAGAACGGGAATAGTGCAGAGGAATGTGATGGCGTTGGACGAGAGGGCAAACGAGGAAATGAGGATGGGGGCCAAGGGGTGGACAGTAGTCAAGCCGATAAGGACGAAGACGACAATGTAAAGGGCAGCAGTGCTGGAGACTAGGGTGGTTCAGTGGGAGGCTTTAAGAAGGACTCACCGAAGGCCATTCGCCATCCATACTTGTCAAAGAACCAACCAACGGCTGGGGTGAGAACAATAGGGATAACACCTTGGAGAGAGGAATTGTATCCAGCGGCAAGTGCGCTAGTGCCACGGGTTTGGGTCTGTATGTCCGCCAAGTTGGAGGTGTAGACGCCCACTGAGCCGTTTTGCAACACCTGGGTTGCGCAGAAGATCCAAAAGAACATTGGACTGGATCAGCTCAATCGACAAGAATTACTTACAGATTGCCCAGTGCGCGGATGGGGAACTTCCGCTTGCTCCAGCCTTCTTTGGAGTACGCCTCGCGGCCGAGGACGGGACGGTAGGCCTTGGGCACTTTGCGCTCATAGAACCAGTAGACGCAGCACAGGACAAGGTTGAAAGCACAGAGAATGGTTGGGATCCATAATGCCCAGCCCCACCAGCCATTGACATTGCTCAGCGGGACGGCAGTAGCCTTGGCAATGATGCTGATCACACGATTCCAGGCAACGTCGATGCCAAATGTGAGACCAAGCTGGCTACCGTGGAACCAATGGGCGTACAGCTTGTTTTGTGTTGTCTCAATGATTGTAGAGCCAAAGCCCATGATGATCCGACCGCCGAGCATCAAGCCAAAGCTACCAGTGTTCGCAGACTGCCATCAGAACAGACTGATGATGATGTGACCCACCAAGGAGGAGATAATGGTGCCAATGAGGATGAAAACAGAAGAGATGATTGCGGCACTGCGGTCAGATTGAACAGATGAGACCACCCACTATGTCGCACCCCAGTAATCAATACCAATACCACCGATAATGGGCAGAATGGCGTTGATAAGGTTATCGGCACTAGCAATTGCACCGTACTGAGCATTGTTGATGCCAAGCTCTTTGCGCAAGGTCGACTTGAGAGGCGAGATGACGGCCTGAGCGTAGCTGCTGCCGGAGGAGAAGAACACAATCATGACGAATGCCACGAGCCGGTATTTGAGAGGTATGGTCCGTGGGGGCTCGACATTCTCGTCCAAGAGAGAGGGCAAGTGATCCTCCTCTGCGGGCAAGTGACGCTCTCCGGACAAGGTGTCGAGGTTCGCCTCCTTGGAGGGTGAGGGAGTGGAATCTTCACGTTTCATAGTGTGAGAGGATGAGAAGAGTTAGGAGCTGGATGTGCTCCATCCAATATATAAACCCAGCATCATTTTGATGATTGCATGAGACGATAGATGCAACAAACGCGACTTTGATCTGCGGCCGAAAAGTCGGGTATTGGACTCATTTAGGGTTCCCGCGGCAGTTGCCAAGCCAGGGTGCCCGGAACATGTGGGCTAAAGCAGTGCAGTGCATATGAAGGGAACGCTCAAGTTGCCGAGTTATCGAGCTGACCGGTGCCAAGGCCAGCGGCTTGAAGAGATCTGATCGGAGCCGTGTTCTGAGCCGTGTTCTATGGCCCTATGGGCGTACAAGCTCAACCGCGGGTAAAAAAAAGGACACGTGTGTCGTGGTTGCGAAGCAACTACGAGTCTGCGCATGCCGACTGCACCATGTGCATACAGTGCAGGATTCGGCCGAAACCGTGTTCGCTGTATATCAGATTAGGTAGGCTTGACTATGTCGTGGGTTGGATGCCGATGGGCAGCTGGGGCTTTGCCTGTAGGAGATGAAGCCACCATCAGCAATGAATACCTCAACTCGCTTGGGCAATGAATGCCCTATACAAAAAGTCGATCAATGCGCTCCTGGGGGAATTCCATTCCAAGTCTTCGCCCCTATCCCCAAGCCTTCTCACGCAGCCAACTATAGTTAACAAGGCGAGTAACATGGTAACATGTGCCCGATAGAGCTGATCAACTTGAGCACACATACATCAGTAGTGAGCATGGCTTTGCGCCACTCCATGTTGGTGGAGTGGCATTGCTTGGTGAAGAATGCTTGGCAAGCCACTGCCCAACCGAAGTCAGACCTGCACACGTGTGTCACCACTCTACCGGAGCAATGTGCTCCCTAATGTTCTCACTATAGACTACACCTTCAAGCCCTAACCTCAAGCCGTACCCAGCTCTTACAGCACCCTAACCGCCGTCGCGGCGGTCGCGCGCGCCCAGCGGTGGCCCCGGGGGCAAAACTGCCCAGGCACCCCCGGGGCGTGGCTGTTTTTTTTTTTTTTTTTTTGTTTTTGGCCGTCGTAACCGCCGTCACTCGGGCGGGATGGGCTGGTACAGGATCGAGCGGCAGCATTTTGCAAGCCGTACCGAGCTCTTACAGCGAAGCCTACTAGAAACCAGTCTCAGTTTTTACCAAGACCAACCTAGCCCTGATCATTAGAAACGTGACCCTGATAAAATCAAATCAGCTCAAATGGCCATTAGGGAGCTCATTAGTGGAAGCATATATATGTGCCACATTCACCCTCAAGCTGGACGGGAGACGGCTGTTAGATGTAGACGTGCTGTTGAACCACGAGCCTGTTCCCCTGGTGACGTCGCATTCACATTCAGGTGAAACAGGGGGTAGGGGGCTGCATCGGTTTTGACTACTAAGAACTATGGGAAGAGGATACTATAGTAGACATGGCAGTTTCTTGGCTCAATGGGACCAGAGATCAAAGTTTCTCACTCTGGCGCGAAGGAGGGTGAGACTGAGTCTGATACAAAGCATCCTGTGGGAATGGGGAGGTAGGACCTCACCCCAGGTGTGGAGGGCTTGGGCAGTCCTGTGTTCCATGACACCACCCAAAGAAAAGATGAGGGGAGTGAAGGGGGTGGCAGCAGAGCTAGGGAGATTTCTGAATTTCTCCCTAGATACAGAGTCAAGGAATTTGTGGACAGTGGCAGAAGCCCTCTCCAGGGTGGATCCAGTGAACCCAGGTGGGGAGACAGTGGTCCTGGTCTGGACAGAGCCCAGTGACACAATGGAGATGTCATACTCATGGTTAGGGGGTAGGGGGCTGCATCGGTTTTGACTACTAAGAACTATGGGAGGAGGATACTATAGTAGACGTGGCAGTTTCTTGGCTCAATGGGACCAGAGATCAAAGTTTCTCACTCTGGCACGAAGGAGGGTGAGACTGAGTCTGATACAAAGCATCCTATGGGAATGGGGAGGTAGGACCTCACCCCAGGTGTGGAGGGTTAGGGGGTTAGGGGGTTAGGGGTAGGGGGCTGCATCGGTTTTGACTACTAAGAACTATGGGAGGAGGATACTATAGTAGACGTGGCAGTTTCTTGGCTCAATGGGACCAGAGATCAAAGTTTCTCACTCTGGCGCGAAGGAGGGTGAGACTGAGTCTGATACAAAGCATCCTGTGGGAATGGGGAGGTAGGACCTCACCCCAGGTGTGGAGGGCTTGGGCAGTCCTGTGTTCCATGACACCACCCAAAGAAAAGATGAGGGGAGTGAAGGGGGTGGCAGCAGAGCTAGGGAGATTTCTGAATTTCTCCCTAGATACAGAGTCAAGGAATTTGTGGACAGTGGCAGAAGCCCTCTCCAGGGTGGATCCAGTGAACCCAGGAGGGGAGACAGTGGTCCTGGCCTGGACAGAGCCCAGTGACACAATGGAGATGTCATACTCATGGTTGGCCAGCCCAGAGGCATGGGAGCCAGAGATTCTTATGTCATTCCTCCTGTGTGTAGTGTCACTGATGAAGGGTTCAAGGTGGACCTCAATGTCTGGGATGATATTGAGGGTGCCAGCTATCACCTTCTTCACCTGCTCATGCCTAGCCACAGTCCACTTGGACTTGTGTGGGCACACTTCATCATGTCCATGGAAGTTTCCATGTCCACAATGTCTGCAGCTGGGTGAGGTGCTGGGCACCATTGTCCTCAGCTGCAGAGCTGCTGCCACCTCAAAGTTGGTGAGCCTCAGGATTGCACTGGAGGGGATGGCTGAGAGCCACTGCCTGCCAAGTGCTGAGGAATTCTCAACCAGTGCTTGTTGTTGGAGGGGAGGCAGAGCAAGTGTCAAGTCTGCCTGGGTGGACTTGAAGGCATCCAGACAGAGACTGTGCTGGGAGGGGGGCTCAGGAGGGTCTGGACCAGGATCACCAAGGAGGGGGTGAAGTATGACAGATGCAGCTCCAGTGGAGGCCACATAAGCCAGGGGGGCACAGGTGGAATGGGAGAGAAGGCCAAGGCCACCCAGCTTGACTGGGAGAGACAAGAGGGTGTTGTCCTTCTCTGGGTCCATTACACGTGCAGCCCCTCTGATACTTCTTGCCTTGTCCCATAGGGCCATGTCCAAGTCTTCCCAGAGTTCCATTAGATCCTCAGACTTGAGAGTCCTCTGGAGGTGTCTAAGGTCCTGCTGGACTGCTTGGAGTAGGAGAAGCAGGGCATGCTGGTGGGGGAGGTCCACCAGTTTGCCAAGCTTGGCCTTGGTCATTGCTATTTTGTCTTTGAGGAAAGACTCTCTAGCAGACCTGGGACCCACTGTGCTGCCCAGGATTCCGAGCCCATTGTCTCTGATGTCACTCAGAGATTTTATGGAGGACTTGGCCATGTTGAGTGAGAGAGTGAGATCTTGCTGGGAAGCAAAGAAGGACTCAACCTCACTCAGCGTGCTGTCAGAGCTACTCAGGACATAAATGTCATCCAAGTAGGCTAGGACTGTGCACTCTGGACCTAGGGCAACAATCAGATCCTCTAGGAGGGGTCTGATCCCAACAGAGAACAGGAGGGGACCCAGAGGGTCACCCTGTCTGACTCCCTGGGATGAGTGGAGAGGAGGTACTCCTGGCAGGACAAGGTCAGTGGGCTTGTTGTAGGCCCACTTTGCAAGCCTGTACAGGACTGGGGAATACTTCCTGACAGCTTGGGCAACAAGTTGCCTACCAACACTGTTGAAGGCATTGGTAAAATCAAGACTGGTCAGGTGGGTGAACTTGTGGTTGTCCAGTGCAGTGTTAACTGCATGGACCACAGGTTCAACACCTCCTTTACTGCCAACTCCAAACTGGTTGCCCAGCAGGAAGTCTGGCTTCAAGGAGTGCCTTAGGATAGCCTTTGTGCAGAGTCTGTACAACAGTTCTCCAACAGCAATAGGTCTGATCCCTCCCCCAGGTTTGGCAAGGGCTACCAGCCTGGAGGAGCACAACATCTCCTGTCCAGGAGCAGTGCCAGAGACCATCATAGTGCATAGAGAATGGATCATCTCCATGACTACTTTGGACCTCATGGCAGCTCTGAGCAGGGGCACAGTCCAACCAGATACACCTGGGGCAGTGTCCACTTTGAATGACTTCAAAGCAGAGTGGAGGGCTTCAGTGTCTGGACATGATCCATTGACTGGGCCCACACCACTGCCAAAGGGATTGGCTGGACCAGCTGGGTGCTTGGCCTTTAAGGTATTCACCACCTCTGGTGTGGGTTGGACACTGGCAGAGCCTTCCTCTAGGAGGTGGGCAGCTGCACTGATCCTTCCCATCTCCACCATCCTCTGGGCAGAGGGGGCAGAGGGAGTCACAGATTTTCTGAAGGATGCTTCTGGGAATGTGACCCAAGGGTAGCTCTTCAGTCTGTCTGTGGGTCTCCCACCTTGGTAAAGTGCTGGAACAAGACCTACTTTGGGGAGAGCAAGGAAGTTGAGGACAGTGCCTTTGCTGGGGGCTTAGGGGTTAGGGGGTTAGGGGGTTAGGGGGTAGGGGGCTGCATCGGTTTTGACTACTAAGAACTATGGGAGGAGGATACTATAGTAGACGTGGCAGTTTCTTGGCTCAATGGGACCAGAGATCAAAGTTTCTCACTCTGGCGCGAAGGAGGGTGAGACTGAGTCTGATACAAAGCATCCTGTGGGAATGGGGAGGTAGGACCTCACCCCAGGTGTGGAGGGCTTGGGCAGTCCTGTGTTCCATGACACCACCCAAAGAAAAGATGAGGGGAGTGAAGGGGGTGGCAGCAGAGCTAGGGAGATTTCTGAATTTCTCCCTAGATACAGAGTCAAGGAATTTGTGGACAGTGGCAGAAGCCCTCTCCAGGGTGGATCCAGTGAACCCAGGTGGGGAGACAGTGGTCCTGGCCTGGACAGAGCCCAGTGACACAATGGAGATGTCATACTCATGGTTGGCCAGCCCAGAGGCATGGGAGCCAGAGATTCTTATGTCATTCCTCCTGTGTGTAGTGTCACTGATGAAGGGTTCAAGGTGGACCTCAATGTCTGGGATGATATTGAGGGTGCCAGCTATCACCTTCTTCACCTGCTCATGCCTAGCCACAGTCCACTTGGACTTGTGTGGGCACACTTCATCATGTCCATGGAAGTTTCCATGTCCACAATGTCTGCAGCTGGGTGAGGTGCTGGGCACCATTGTCCTCAGCTGCAGAGCTGCTGCCACCTCAAAGTTGGTGAGCCTCAGGATTGCACTGGAGGGGATGGCTGAGAGCCACTGCCTGCCAAGTGCTGAGGAATTCTCAACCAGTGCTTGTTGTTGGAGGGGAGGCAGAGCAAGTGTCAAGTCTGCCTGGGTGGACTTGAAGGCATCCAGACAGAGACTGTGCTGGGAGGGGGGCTCAGGAGGGTCTGGACCAGGATCACCAAGGAGGGGGTGAAGTATGACAGATGCAGCTCCAGTGGAGGCCACATAAGCCAGGGGGGCACAGGTGGAATGGGAGAGAAGGCCAAGGCCACCCAGCTTGACTGGGAGAGACAAGAGGGTGTTGTCCTTCTCTGGGTCCATTACACGTGCAGCCCCTCTGATACTTCTTGCCTTGTCCCATAGGGCCATGTCCAAGTCTTCCCAGAGTTCCATTAGATCCTCAGACTTGAGAGTCCTCTGGAGGTGTCTAAGGTCCTGCTGGACTGCTTGGAGTAGGAGAAGCAGGGCATGCTGGTGGGGGAGGTCCACCAGTTTGCCAAGCTTGGCCTTGGTCATTGCTATTTTGTCTTTGAGGAAAGACTCTCTAGCAGACCTGGGACCCACTGTGCTGCCCAGGATTCCGAGCCCATTGTCTCTGATGTCACTCAGAGATTTTATGGAGGACTTGGCCATGTTGAGTGAGAGAGTGAGATCTTGCTGGGAAGCAAAGAAGGACTCAACCTCACTCAGCGTGCTGTCAGAGCTACTCAGGACATAAATGTCATCCAAGTAGGCTAGGACTGTGCACTCTGGACCTAGGGCAACAATCAGATCCTCTAGGAGGGGTCTGATCCCAACAGAGAACAGGAGGGGACCCAGAGGGTCACCCTGTCTGACTCCCTGGGATGAGTGGAGAGGAGGTACTCCTGGCAGGACAAGGTCAGTGGGCTTGTTGTAGGCCCACTTTGCAAGCCTGTACAGGACTGGGGAATACTTCCTGACAGCTTGGGCAACAAGTTGCC